TATGAATGATTAGTAAGCTAAATCGCGCCAACTAGTAATACTAATCAATATAGAAAGACATTTAAGGAGTAGAAGAAGCTAAATGTCACCAAAAGTTTGTTGCGCAAACCTACAACTTAAAAAATAAAATTTGATAAAAATCCAGAAATTTCATAAATTTGTTGTATATAAGCTTAGTACTGTAAAAACTTAAGCTTTAGTCATTTACAAACCACGTTATTTTAGTTATGTTTTCCACAAGCTTAAAAGGTTGTAATGCTGTTATTCAAAGCCCTCTGATTGGCTGTGCGAATGGCGGCCTGTCGAGAGAGTCCCGACTTTGCCTTTCGAATATTTTATTTTCATTTGAAATACAGCGTTTTGTAACTGTATTCGAAATTAGTGGTAGCTTTTTTAAAAAGGTAGTACTTGCGGGAAAATATTATAAGGATATGGCAGACATATTTACTTGGAATTGTTGTCGAATTTATGTTTTATACAATTGGCTTAGGGTTTGTAAAGTTATTGTTTCACGTTACAAACCACAAAAGTCTCGTGAGGTTATACTACAGAAACATTTGTATTTTTTTAGTAATCATGAGATTTACCCCTTCACTAATTGTTTACTTGTTATTAAACTAACCTTTTGATCACACATGATACACGTATTAAACTTTATTAGGTAATATGTTGCCTTCCAGGTGTTTTAGTAAAATACGTTGAGTGATGTAAATAGTGATATAATTTTACGTAAAATCTTCATTTAGACTTTTGACTAAAGACCATTTTTATTATAATCAGCCTTTTATCTTCAAAATTGTTTATGTAATCGGTTTGTCGCTACATCAACATGTTTCTATTGTAAAGTCTTGGGATGGAGCTTAATCTGGTCAACGACTTAACTTTATTAGGTTTTCTAATCCGCGCTTATTTATAATAATGTTTTCGTTTATGTAATTTTTATATTTTAATTTTTACGGATTTCAGGTGGGTCAGATTGTGACAAAATGTTCGCTACTAATGACTGTTCTACTGCTACCACTTTTGGAAATCTTGTGGAGTCACAACTGTTGCATATACATATATGGTACATTGTCTGAAAAAGTTTTGGCATGGACTTAACACTCCACATATATAGTTTTTGCTTACTTTTATTACAGCTCGGTCTACTACAAATTCATTATATTCAATGAAAAACGACGATAGTTTGGTCTACTACAAATTCACTTTTTATTGCTAGCCTAAAGCAGCCAATCCGTTTTCTACATTACCAATTTTTCTAGCGCATTCATTTCAATTCTTGTCCAAAAAGACTAAGAAAATGACTTTTCGAACTGTAAACATCCATGTTAACATCATAATGGCTTCAAGTGACGAAAGTCGGCTACATTTTGCAACTACAAAAAACAGTGCTATTTTTGGGCGAACCCTCATGTGAGAAAAAGTAAACGGTATTAAAATTTATTTTAGCGGCATTTAGAAACAGCGGAAATCTTGGGCGATTAAACCGCGTCTTCTGGAAAAAATTCCCTTCAGACGGGCTTGGTTAGGTTTTGCGGTTTAGGAATTTCGAAACGTTTATGAAATTAAAGTTGTAGGGTTTTAGTACACGCATGTTTTTGTACGTCTTCTAGGCGTATGAAAACACGTGTGGGGATAAAGTTTGATGTAGGGGGTTTAGTGTTTCAGTGCGACGTAGGGAGGTAAGTTAAGAATTTATATTGGGTTGTAGTAAAAGGGTTTTAGGCTTGACTTTTAGGTTTGAAAGCAAACAACAAGTGGCTTACACCTTGGTTACAAACAACCAATAAGTTTTAGGTTTAAAGCTACCATTTTAATTTTTTTTTAACTAAAACTTTTTGTCTTAAAAGTAATACAATACTATATGAAAGGTACATTATCTTCAAGTTTTTGTATTGCATAATAACAACTCCCTAGTATCATTTGCACTTTTAGTCACCGCGTAGTTTGTACCAAATGCTTCAGACACTCGTTATTTATACTAATTATGTAGAAAAAAGTTACGCTACTCGTTTTTTTACGTAAGTTGTAAACTCAGCTACAATTTTTCAAATATTAAGAGGTTCGCAATGAGAAGAATGGTTTTAAAGCATGTTTTGTAAATTATGACGGGATTACACTGTAGCGTTCTGTGTTCTGTTTGAGGCATAGTCAGGTGAATATAATGTTGGCATGGGTTTTTATGGTGACGTAGAGGGTGGGTTTTGAGGGTTTTCAATATTCTGTGTAGTAGTGAGTTTTTTATTTTTTGGTTTATATTAAGGTTTAACGCACTTGTAGCGTAGGGTGGGTTGTGTAGGCTGGGGTCAAAATTTAAGTCGCTGCAAAAGTTGTCAACGTTGCCGCAGAGTTCTACAGCTCACTATACGGACCACGCAACGGGGACTTTGTTACTTCAGGCCGTGACTCTTTGGTAGGCTAAGATATGGTCGGTAGGGCCGGGTAGAGTAGAGTAGGGCAAAGTAATATTTTTTTACAAATTTACAGTAAAATAACAAAAATTAAAAATACCAGTAGACAAAGGAAAGAATGTTTACGAAGTACAAACTACAGTGTAAGGATTGATGTGTGATCACTCTGTCAGTTAATACTGTTTACAATTGTTAAACCTTACAAAAAATGCCCTTTAATCTGCTACATCTTAGAAACCAAGCGTGTTAGTCATAAAATTAAGCTGATTATTGTATTTTCAAGTTAATTACTACGCAATATCTATAGGAAATTGCCTCTTAATTTATATATTTTTGAAATTATTTTCAACTTGTTGGGTTTTGACAGGTTTTAATTAGAAAAACATTAGTTTCAAGTGTAATATAGGGTTCTTTTTGGGACGAAAAAGTTTTGCCAGGTTTTTTTCTTTAGGCTAGAAGGTTTTGCGAGGTAGTGATTAGGGTACCTGATGGGGTACTCTTGGGGTAGGGTATGTTTGTCTTATTTCTTAACTCTTGCGGATTCAAAAATTCAAATTTGACGCTTGTAATTACCGTACCGCCTTTTATAGCTACGTATTTAGATTACAAAACCTAAAACCTGGCTAGTAATGAAAAGTGAATTTGTAGTAGACCAAACTATCGTAATTGTTCTTCCATTATAATGAGTTTGTAGTAGACCAATCTGTGATAAACGTCAGTAAAACGATTTCCATGCAGTGTTAAGTCTATATCAAGGCTTATCTAGACACCATTTTCCTTAACAAAAGTACAAAAATATCCCATTTCTACAGTTTTTAGTTACTGTAGCCCAACGGGCCATGTAGCAAGTTACATTGGGGCTTACCGCGGGGCTTCAAATTTATCCACAAAGAAACTAAATATACTTTTCGCTTCCCACCTTCGCTCAAGAACGACGTTTGTCGCTATTGTGCAACAAATTACAATTCAAATTTCAAAACAGTATTATCTTTGTAAAGAGTGTGGGATTAAGGGCGTTGTAAGGGTACTGTTCGGGGCTTCTGGATTTTGGGAATTTTGCGGTAAACTTTTACAATAAATTTGAAAGATTGGGACAAGAGTTTAAAATTATCGGGGATTATAGGGCAGTTGGTACGGATGGTACACTTTGAGTGGTAGGGTGGTTGGTATGGGTTTGTAGGTTGGGTATGGTAGGGTAGGGCTTTTAAAGTAGGGTAAGGTGAGGCGTGGTATGGCGTGGTAGGGTAGGGATTTGAAGGGTAGATTAGGGTAAAATACAGTTCTGTACAGTACGTTAAGTAAGGTAGGTTAGGATAGAGTAGGGTATTGCAGACTAAAGTACCACTCCGTACCAAACCACACCATAACATTTGCTCTAATTTTTAGTTTTTTGCCATTTACCACCTAATCATCCCTGAATAGGACGAAAATACAACATAACATACAAGAGTAAAGACTAAAACTACGTCGCAGACTCTGGAATTATCTTTTATTCGAATAATTTTTTAATCTTGGTTCAGGATTAAGCCTTGGCGCCGCATTTCAGTCGAAAAAACGCCGGATTTACAAGTTCGAACGGGGCTTTAAGGCGATGAGTAAGGCTGTAAATGATAGGTTACTGTAATGTTGGCAGGGGTTTGGATGGTTTAGTAGTGGCATGCTTAGAGGCATAGAGTTAGGATTTTCAACATGTTGCCAATTTTTTGAAAAAAAAATTTCCATTTTGAAAAAATTCAACAGGGGGGACCAAGCTCAAATTAAAAAAAAAAATTTTTTAATTTGTATACTTAAAAACAACTTTTCACCCACCTTCTAGCCTTTACAATGTCTTATGACCCAAAAAATTTGCATAATTATCATAACTCCTCTAATTATGCCCAAATTTTTTCGAAATTCACCCGCCAAAAAACTTTTTTTTGCGTTTGACAGAAGCCGGCCAAGACAATGCATTCCCAGGCCATCCAAAAGTCGTTACTTTTCGCACTGTACCTACATTGCCGGATCGTTTTTGCGGTTTTTATGAAGCCGAATTTCGAAAAACGCTTTTGGATTTTTAGTTTTTTGAGATTTTTGTGGGGTTTTGAGGGTTTGAGGGGTGGTTTTAGTTTATTTTTGATATGATATGAAAAGGGTCTTGATTGGGTATGATGAAGAAGATATTAGAGAGTATTATAAAAGTCATTTGAAGTTTCAAAAAGTTTGGTTTGTTATGAAAAAAAGTTTTGTTGAAAAAATCCACAGGGGGGGGGGACCAAGTTCAATTTTTCTAAAAATCAAAAAAACATTTTTTAATTTTTGATTAAATTTATTTTACATATGTCATTTTAGTCCTACTAATAGTTTTTTTACTATTGTTACTCAACCGACTGGTCGATAAATCAAAAATTAAAAAAAAGTTTTTTTAGAAAAAAAAATCCACAGGGGGGGCCAAGCTCAAATTTTCTAAAAATTAAAAATTTTAAAATTTAATTTTTTTTACTTTAAGTCGTGATATTACCGTGATAAATCACGTTCAACATCTATCGTGCTTTATTTTTTTACTTTTCTATAACATTTTTCCATTTATCAATAATTCAAATTTCAGCCGTCATGACAATGATGGAATCAGACGCACTGAAGATGGAGCAGATGATGGAGGTCTCGAAATCGAATGTCTTTTTCGATACCACCTTCTCAGCGCCCTTCCCCAACTTTCCCAACTACCCGCTTCAATCGCTTCATCCTCAGGGCATGTTCAATCTACAGACTCATGAGCTTCAGGAGCCCGACTCACCCGGCTCTACCTCCACCACGAACTCGATTCATGGTCAACGTGATGGCCTAACCAACATGCTACAGAATCAGCTGAAACACTCGCCGAATCTGCTTCAGAATCAGATGAATGAGCATCAGATGAGCCAGCTTCAGAGTCAGAATCAGAAGAAGCAGCAGTTGGATGACTCGAGGGTGAAGCGGCCCATGAATGCCTTCATGGTGTGGAGTCGAGGCCAACGAAGGAAAATGGCTACGGAGAATCCGAAAATGCACAATTCGGAGATCTCGAAGCGGCTAGGCCAGGAGTGGAAAGAGCTGAGCGAAGTGGATAAACGGCCGTTTATTGACGAAGCCAAACGCCTCAGGGCGATTCACATGAAAGACCACCCCGACTACAAGTACAGGCCGCGAAGAAAGAGCAAGACTCAGGGAAACGTACAGAAGAAGGCCATGAATGCCAACATTCATGCGGCACAACATCTACAGTTCGACGCTTTGAAGCATCAGAATGTAAGTTTTTTGGACGAGCGGGGTAAAAAATTAATTTTTTTTTGAGTGGGCGGGGTACAAAATTATTTTTTTTAAATTGGCAGGGTAAAAAAAATATTTTTTGGCATGGGCAGAGTAAGAAAAATGTCATTTTAGAGTTTGTGGAGGCTAGAAAATGCATTTTTTACCATGGGCGTGGTAAAAAAATTATTTTTTTTAGTTTGGGCGGGGTAAAAAATTTCATTTTAGATCTTGCTGAGAGTAAAAAAATCCAATTTTGTGGGATGGGCAGGGTAAAAAACTATTTTTTTTTGGCTCGGACAGGCCAAATAAAGACCTTCCTTATCAAAACACCGCCCGCTCTTCATATGTTTTCGCTAATTACTTAAATTCAAAGCGAGGCCATATGGCCAAACTTTCGTTTTGTGTTGTGTTAAGTGGATTAAAGAAGTGAGAACGCGGCATTTTCGAAAAATCTTTTAATTTTAACGAGCACGGCACTAATAAAGACATAAGAGGCCCGGCCGCTGGCGTTATACTGTAGCTTTTTTTGGAAAGTTTTGAAGATTGAGGATACGGAAGGGGGAGGGGGATCAAATGGGTAAAATTTGGGTCGAAATGGCATTATTTTTCGGAAAAAGTTTTAAAATGAAAAAATCTAGAGGGATTTTTAAAAATTTAAAAATTATAAATTTTGGAAAAAAAATTTTTTTTCAATAAACAAAAAAATTTATAGAATGACGTATCAAGTCACTTTTAGTACATCTTGTCTCAAATTAGGTCTTTTACGGCATAAAAACCCTTAATTTTACCTATTTTTGCGAAAAAAATCCACAGGGGGGGGACCAAGCTCAATTTTTTTAAATTTCGAAATTTTTTTTGATTTCAAATTTAAAGTTAAAAAAACAGAACTATTAAGATACTGTCAGTTCAGTTTAAGCCTAGTTTAATAATATGAATAAATTCAATTCAAACTTTTCAAAATTTTTTCAAAAAAATTCACAGGGGGGACCAAGCTCAATTTTTTAATTTTCAAAATTTTTTTTTGAATTTTTAATTTAAAGTTAAAAAAAGAGAAGCATCAAGATACTGTTAGTTCATTTTAAGCCTAATTTAATAATATACACAAATCAAATTTGAAATCTTGCCTATTTTTCAAAAAAATCGACAGGGGGGGGGGCCAAGCTCAATTTTTAAAAATTTCAAAAATAAAAAATTTTTTTTTCAAATTTTTGGCTCTAAAATTACTTAAATTTCAGTTCTCCGCCTACCCCAACTGGAACAACATTCAAACGCCAACGACGGCAGCCAACTACGACTTTGGCATGTACTACAACTTGGCCAATCCGTATCCTCAGGGCGGCTCACCGCAGGGTTATAACCAGTTCCATCAACAGCCTCAACAAACGCATCAGACCCAAATGACACAGCTGGATATGAATCCGAATGCATTCACGCCGACGTTGTCGCTGAAATCGCCGGGTAAGCGGAATGTCACTATTGATTTTCTAGGGGTGGGGGATGTTTGAGGGGGGTTTTTGGGAATACAGTAAGATTGATGGGTTAGGTTTGGATTGTTAATGATAGTAGAGATGTTGGGGTGTAATATAAATACTATTTTGAACAGTGCCTAAGAGCTAAAAATTTCAAAAATTTGAAAAAATCTTAAATTTTTTGCAAAATTCTAAAAAATCTAATGTTACAGTAACCCATCACTTCAAAATTTAATAAAAATGCCATTTTTAGGTAACACAGACGACTCCACCGCTCCCCCATCCGCATCATCCAACTCCTCGACGAACACCGTTCAACAGCAGGCTGCGCCCCCACAAGCGCAGGTCGCGGCCGGCCTTTTCGATTCGACCGACTTTTTCGGCCCGAACTACGCCGCCGCCATGATCGGCTACACCGGCTTGAACTGTTTCGACGGCATGAACGGTCTTCAACAGCAGCTCCATCATCAACAATTACAGTAATAGCGAAATTTTGAAATTTTTTAAATTTTTGAATTTTTTGAAAAAATTTGGCCATGTTTCTTTCTCTGTGGTGTAATATTATGTCCGAATTTGCGTTTAATATTGTTGTATTCGATTTGAAACCGCACGATTGTACAGAAATCGTCTTTAATTGTACCATGTTCTACCTTGTTAAAGAGCTTTAATGAGTCATTTCGGTCCCACTCACTTGTAGTTAGTACCATTGTGCTATAGTACAACAATGTCTTTTATGTCTTCTTCATAGTACTATATAGTATTTGAGATTTGAGAAGGGTTTCATCAAGTTATGACGTCTTTTCTGGCTTGTTCTAGGCCAAAAACCGTAAAATTTCGAGTTTTTTGGGCAAAAAATGGCCATAACTTACATCAATATAGCTCATAACTTACAAAATGCAACTCAAATACTCTTAATACTATTACAAAATGCAACTCAAATACTCTTAATACTATCGTAATACTATTGCGAATACAAAGGGACCAAGTTGTATCATATTGACAGTGGTACTGTAGCCTGAAATTATGTTAAGATATTAACTTTTGCCCCAATATGGCTTGTTTCAAAGGGTTTTATGCTGTTTTTAAACGGTTTGAACTGCACTTTTTTGCCATTTCTAATACCATGAGACCATGAAAGATGCAAAAATTTAACTTTCGTGTTTTTGGTCCAAAAAGGAATGGCAGAAAACTGAAAAAATGGCCGAAAAAGGCTGAAAATTGGGGTTTTTGAAGAAAAAATGGCCAAAAATGCCATTCTTTAATGGACCAAACATTTTTTTTGCATTTTAACTTTAAAAATTTAGCTTTTAATTCCGAAAAATTTCTTTCCGAACTCCAAAAACAGCCTAAAACCCTTTTAAACAAACCCGAAAACCTCCCCCTCCCCCTTAGTACGTCATTGCGTTATAGCGAAGATATTCCTCTGCATGTCCTTAGGGTGTAATGTTTATTTGATTGATGTTTGTTGTTCTTGTACACATATATACCTTTGTATTTTATTGGAATTTTATTCGAATTTATATGAAAATTGTGTGAAAATAAATCATATTTAAATTAAGGTTTTTTGAAATTTTTTTAATTATCCGCCCCCAAAAATTAAAAAAAAATTTACCCCGCCCTGAAAATATTTTACTGTATTTTGCCTTGCGTTGCTTTAAAAGTGCCTTAGACAGCTTAAAAATGAAAATTTTGACCGGTCAAAAAGTTCGTAAAAAGTAATTTTTTAGGTACCAAAATTAATAAAAAATGATTTTTAGGTCAAACAAATCATAGAAAAATATTTTTTACCGGTCATAAAGTACGTAGAAAAAATTTTTTTAATTTGTTCTAATTATCCACCCCCAAAAATAAAAAAAAATTACCACGCCCTGCCACATTTTAATGTATTTTACCTTGCCTTGGCTTAAAAGCGCTTTAGGCAGCTTAAAATGAAAATTAAGCCGGTCAAAAAGTTCGTAGAACAATATTATCGACCGGTCAGAAAGTTTGTAGAAAATCAATTTTTAGGTCATAAACTTCATAAAAACCCATGCCAAACATAGTATCACAACAAAACAAGTTAAAAAACCAAAGTTTCAGGTTCCAAACTACAGTAAAAACCCGAAATTTCACTAACCTTGAAGGCGGTTGGTAATATACTCGGCTCAATTATAATATATTACAAGGCGGCTTTTACAAAGAATTACCCAACCGGTCAAGGATGTTCTACCGTATGATGGTTGGCACCTTCAAGGATAGATTTTTTGCGGTCGGAAAGTTTAGAGAACGTGAATGAAGTAAAAATTTAAAGAATAATAGTATTTACAGCGTATTTTACAATACCATACCCTTCCTTACCATATTCCACCCTACTCTTCCCTACATCCACCCTACCTTACCCTCTCCTACCCCCTCCCCCCTTACTACCGTAACCCTCCGGGCATGTTTTTCGTTAATTATTAGCCCATTTCCGACTCATGTTTAATTCCACTCCCTGAGGGCATTACCTGTGCTTCAAAATTAAAATTTATTCAAACCCTCATAACCGGCCCACCGTCTCTCCACACGCCGCGCTATTTCGCCCTTCGACTCGTATTTTATTCCCAAAATTTTTAGTGAATCTGTAATCAAGCCGGCCTTTGTTGGGACCCGAGACATAACTAATGAAACGAAAGACTAATGAGCTATCGTCATGGTTAAGATTCTGCATGTTATTAACAGTATGATGGATAATGTGGGTACGAGTGGGGACGGAAATAAACTTTCCGGCAAGAACTTTCTTTACAATACGAAAAATGGCAAGAACTTTCTTTCCAAAACAAAAAATGGCAAAAAATTTCTTTCCAAAACAAAAAATGGCAAGAATTTTCTTTACACAAAAAAAATAACAAGAACTTTCTTTACAAGCCCCTAAAATTTCCATATTTTAACAAAACCTCAAGCTGCGGAAGACATCTTATACGATAATCATTCTCTTGGGCAAAAGAAAGTAAAAACCGCAAAAAGTTTGTTTCCAATGACTTAGGACACAATGTTTGATGTGGTGCCTTTTCTGCAAAAACTTTCTTTACAAAACAAAAAATGGCAAAAACTTTCTTTACAAAGCCCAAGATAGCACTACTTTCCGGATTTTCTACTAAAAACTTTAATGTCAAGACCGATGTCGATTTGCATATTACACATAATTGCCGCGACCGGATTAAAGAGTCAAGAAAAGAATTTAGCGCCTGAGAACAATGCCAACGACAAGTGGTGGTTACTTGGAATAATAGGCGGCAAATTGGCTTTGGTCTGATCAAAAAGCGATTTTTACCCAAAAATTATGAAGCAGATGGCTTTGGTTCAAAATATTGATGGACTAGGTCGAAAATTTTAAATTTGAAGACATTGTAAAGAAAGTCCTTGCCATTTTGTGTTTTGTAAAGAAAGTTCTCGCCATTTTGTGTTTTGTAAAGAAAGTTCTTGTCATTTTGTGTTTTGTAAAGAAAGTTCCTGCGATTTTTTGCTTTGTAAAGAAATTTCTTGCCATTTTGTGTTTTGTAAAGAAAGTCCTTGCCATTTTGTGTTTTGTAAAGAAAGTCCTTGCCATTTTATGTTTTGTAAAGAAAGTTCTTGCCATTTTATGTTTTGTAAAGAAAGTTCTTGCCATTTTGTGTTTTGTAAAGAAAGTCCTTGCCATTTTATGTTTTGTAAAGAAAGTTCTTGCCATTTTGTGTTTTGTAAAGAAAGTTTTTGCCATTTTGTGCTTTGTAAAGAAAGTTCCTGCGATTTTTTGCTTTGTAAAGAAATTTCTTGCCATTTTGTGTTTTGTAAAGAAAGTTCTTGCCATTTTGTGTTTTGTAAAGAAAGTCCTTGCCATTTTATGTTTTGTAAAGAAAGTTCTTGCCATTTTGTGTTTTGTAAAGAAAGTTCTTGCCATTTTGTGCTTTGTAAAGAAAGTTCCTGCGATTTTTTGCTTTGTAAAGAAATTTCTTGCCATTTTGTGTTTTGTAAAGAAAGTTCTTGCCATTTTGTGTTTTGTAAAGAAAGTCCTTGCCATTTTATGTTTTGTAAAGAAAGTTCTTGCCATTTTATGTTTTGTAAAGAAAGTTCTTGCCATTTTGTGTTTTGTAAAGAAAGTTCTCGCCATTTTTTGTTTTGTAAAGAAAGTTCTTGCCATTTTTTTATTCATCTCCAAAAAATTCAAAATTCATTTCAAAACAATAAAATTTATCAATTTTATAACAACATAACTGTCTATAATACCTAAAATAAGCTCTATATACCCCAATTCTCACTACTTTTCTATCTAAAAAATTACTATACACAATATCTATATCTTCTTCAGCTCAAACCCAATCAGCTACAGATTCTTGACGTCAAAATCAAGCTCCTACAGCTTCTTGACGCCTTCCAACAAGGCATCACAAGTTGTTTTAGCGTCTCCGAGGAGCATTTGTGTGTTTGGCATGAAGAACAGTGGATTATCGACTGCTGAGTAACCGTGACCCATCGTTCTTTTCAGTACAACAACGTTCTTGGCCTTCCAAACCTGTAATACGGGCATTCCAGCTATTGGGGAATCTGCATCATCTTCGGCCGACTTGTTTACTGTGTCATTTGCTCCGATTACTAGAGCTAGATCGGCTTGGGCTGGAATTATATGATGTCTTTTAATCTAAATTTGAATAAATTTTGAGAAAAAATATTATGGAGAAACTAAAATTCTCGTATTTTACCTTAAAACTTCAATTTTCCCCAAAACGTGCACCTACAACTACACATTTCCCCAATTTTCAACCTAAAACAACAAAGCCAGCTCCCAAAACTAATCAAAAACTAAATCCTCCGCCTCCATATTACCTAAAAACCAACAAAAAACATTTAAATCATACCGAAATCATCGTTAATCTCCTCCATTTCTTCTACAATATCGTATGGAACTCCTGCTTCAGCCAGTAAAACATTCAATTGACCCGGCATTCGTCCCGCTACTGGATGTATAGCAAATCTAACTCGACATCCCTTCTCTGTCAACGCTTTAACAAGCTCAGCAACAGGATATTGAGCTTTGGCAGTCGCTAAACCATATCCGGGGACTATTATCACGTCCTTTGATGAATCGAGCTGGTTTACTACCTAAAATAAAGAAGATTTAAACAGATTTTTAGATTTTAAATATTTATATTAACCTGAACTAGCTTTAAAAAGCAATTTTAGTCAGATATTTTAGGTATAAACATTCAAAATGGCATAATTTCAAAAAAATACGTCTTGATCCCAAATCTCAACCTAAATCAATATAAAACCTTAGAAACAGCCAAAACTCTACCTGTTCCACGTGTGTAAAAGTAGCTTCACCTTCTTGCGCCTTTATTTTACTTGGTCCACCTTGAATTCCGCCCAAAATAACGTTAGCCAAGCTCCGATTCATTCCGCGACACATAATATAAGACAATATAGCGCCGCTGCTTCCGATCAAAGCTCCAACAATCGTTAACAAATCATTATTCAACATAAATCCTTCAGCACACAATGCCCATCCGGAATATGAGTTCAGCACCGTGATAACGACCGGTTGGTCAGCTCCACCAATACCCATGGTTAAGGTCGTTCCCATCGTCGCTGATAAGCCCGCCGTCGCCAATAACATTGCTAAAGATGTTGAAGGATCTCCAGTATTGCAATATGTAGCTAATGCAGCCAAATTTGCCAAGCCAATGCCTCCATTGACGAAATGACGGCCGGGGAGAATAACAGGTGTGCTGGATAATATACCTAAATCAATATTTTACAGAATTTACTGTTCCTAAATACAAAACAATAACACATTAATTAAAACATACCTTGAAGCTTTCCAAAAGCCATTAAACTGCCAGTGAAAGTGATTCCGCCGATGAAGGTACCCAAAAATAACGCAGTTTTGATGGCCATTCCTTCAGGAGTAGCCAATTCCGCCGAATGTTGCAAAAACTCGGCTATACATGTTGTCGCAGCAGCCGCACCAACAAAAGAATGGAATAGAGCTACAAGTTGAGGTAGTTCTGTCACATTTATCTTTCTCGCAATACCTGAAAAGCGAAAAATAAGGTTTTTGGCCGAGAAATTGGGAAAATCCTTCGTATAAACCGATTTCGCAGGCGGCAAGGCTAACTTTTTATTTTAGCGGGCGCAGACTGCCTATTCTTGGCCTGTTTTTGATTAATTTTCACAACTTCAGGTCAATTTTAATTTTTAAATTAGAATTTTCACGAAATCGATGTTAATATAACTCACCAGCGCCGATCATTCCCCCGATTCCCAAAGCTGCTCCAATCTGCACCAACTGCTCCACTTCCGGTCCCAAAGCACCAATGGTGGCTCCAACACCTCCAGCAACACCAATCATACCAAGTGAGTTACCTAACCTTGCAGTAGTTTGATTTGACAGCCCGGCCAAAGCTCCAACACAACATAATGAAGCGGCTAGTCCAGCGAATTGATGAACTTCCGTGAAACCATTAGATGCAGCCAATGAATATGTGGCTAGGAATGTGCCAGCCGGTATGCCGTAGAGGTAATTGTATTCTTTTGGATCAGCTAGAAGTGGAATTTGAGGTTTGAACAATTTTGGTTGGGATCACGGATAATATCAGGTATTCTTTGATTGTTTTATGCAGTTGGGTATTGTTTAAGTATCAAATCTTCTTGCAACTTTTACAGGACCTTTACCAGTATCTTGTACGGCTTTTAGAACGTTCAAAATAACAGAAGTGTATTGATCAAACTTCATCCAAGATCATGGATAATATCAGGTACTTTTTGATTTTTTGGAATTTTAGGTTTGATCTAGGTATCAAATCTTCTTGCATCTTTTACAAGACTTTTATCATAATCTACTACAACTTCTATATCCAAAATTACCAATGATTAACACTTGATATAAGACTTACCTTGATATTATGCATGATAAGCAATGTCAATAAGGCTTACGTGAATATTATTCATAATAAGCATTCAAAATAAGACTCATTGGGTTTTTAATCGCTAGATTACCAATTGTAAGGTTTGAGAATTTAAAACAACACTTACTTGGTTTCTTGAACATGTCTAACATTCTCTTTGTGATCACAAATCCTCCGCCAATATTGACTGCCGATAGTGCTGTTGCTCCTAATGCTAGAGTTTGGGCAGTAGTTGATGGTAGTAAGCCTCCACCCATTAAGCAGATACCACCTGCAGCTGTGAGCCCTGAGATGGCATTAGTTACGGACATTAGTGGGGAATGTAGGGCTGGTTTGACCTCCCAGACAGTGTGGTAACCTAAAGTAATATTGTTTTTGGTGGTTTTTGGCTTAAATAAGGTTATTTTTGGATGTTAAAAAGCAAATTTTTAGTTCTTTTTGAAAATACGCGTTCTGAGAATTGCCATTTTTATTTTATATAGTTTTTCCTTAATTTTCTAAGTTTTTTCTTTAACGTTCAAACCTTACCAACAATAGTAGAAAGCCCAAAGACGGTAGCAGTATGACTGAATTGAGCATTAGGACTGACGATACCCATGGAACTTACTCCAGTTAGTCCTCCAGTGTAGATAAAAGCTTTGCGTAGCGTGTCTTGGAATGGGTTTGGTACTACTTCTGCTTTCTTAACTTCTGGCTCTGTTTTAGCTTGTGTCGCTGGCTTTTTGGCTTCTATTTTAGGTGGCGGCCATAGTAATTCACCTTTGTTTAGTACTATTGATCCTCGAGTGACTTCATCCTCTAGGTTAACATAGAAGTTTTCTTTTCCGTCGCCTGGAAGGTCGATTTTAGGGTTTTAATAGCTAGTATTAGGGTTATGTTATAGGTTACTATAACAATGTCTTGTTCTCATCTGTTTGATACTTTCCTCTATCTAATATAGCTTTTCGAGACAGCCAAAGCTAATATAGTCCACTTACCTAGACTCAATAGAAATTTAGTGATGTTATTCGAGTAAAGCGTAGAACTTTGAGTGGGGAGTTTGGCCGCCATGTTGGTATAGCCAATATGAGTAACTCCATTGTCTGATACGTATAGCTCTCCAGGTTTGGTTGTCTCTACATTACCTCCATTTTCGGCCGCTAAGTCTACTATTACACTACCTGGCTTCATTAGGTCTACCATTTCCTAAATTTTTAAAATTTTTATGAGTAATATGTTTTATAACGTTGGAATGGTTCGATGGCGTATTTTACAAAAGATATTTTAAGATTCTATTTTACATTTCACTTACTTTCGTTATCAAAACCGGAGCTTTTTTGTTAGGAATCAAAGCTGTGGTTATGATAATATCAACTTCTTTACATTGCTTCTCGAATAATTCTTTTTCCGCCTTTAAAAAGTCAGCGCTCATCTCATTAGCATATCCTCCAGTACCTTCATCAAGTTCCAGACCTTTCAATTCTAAATATTCACCACCCAGAGACGTGATTTGTTCCTTAGTAGAAGGTCGAGTATCAAAGGCTCTAACAATAGCGCCCAGATTCTTGGCCGTACCTATTGAACTGAGGCCTGCTACTCCGGCTCCAATCACTAGAACTTTGGCAGGAGGTATTCGGCCGGCGGCGGTGATTTGTCCACCAAAGAAGCGGCCGAAATGGTTTGAGGCTTCGATCACCGCCTTGTAGCCGGCTATGTTGGCCATTGAGGATAGGGCGTCGAATACCTAAAGAACAGTTTTAGTGGGTTTAATCAGTATTGTGATAGTGATCTGATATGATATTCATCTAGATTTTTAGTCAAAAAATTGTTTTTTCCGATAATTTGAGGTAATGATAATGCTATACTTAAAGTAATGATAATGTTATAGATACTTACTTGAGCCCTGGAGATTCTAGGAATGAGTTCCATACCAAAAACGGTCGATTTCTTTTGTTTCAACGCTTCTATAACATCTTTGTTAGCTACAGGATTGAAAAAGGATATCAAGGTTGATTCGTCTTTTAGATTTTTTATCTCTGTTGCTAATGGTGGCCGGACCTAAAACAATGTTTTAAAATTGGTCGATTTTATAGTTATTAAAAATTTTTCGATACCTATATATTGATAAGGTGAGAAAAATACTGATTTAGATAGACAGTAGAGTATATGAAGAAAAAGTGTAGTACTTACTTTAAGTAGAATGTCACTTTGGAGAATACTCTTTCCATCATCTGTAATGTCAGCACCAGCTTTTTGATAGTCTTCATTGCTAAACGCTGCTAGACTACCTGAATCTTTCTCTACCACAACTTTGAAGCCTTTCTGGGTTAGATGTGATACTGAGCTTGGAGTTATTGCTACTCTGGTTTCACCTGTAATTAGAAAATTTATATTGCCATAGAGTTTGCTGACTATAAGTGACGTCTTTTTTAGTAGGTAAGATCGAGAAGGGTAGGGCAGAGCTGAAACGGGCTCAGTAGGAACGTGATTAGTCTGCGCCGACCCTTTTCAGCCAGAGGGTCGTGGGCCGAAACAAATTGGTTGCCGAAAAATAGGGCCCGGCCCTACCTTTTTACAGGTCTAGAGTAGGGTACAAACTGTAATATGAGTCTTCTATGAGATTTATTGGGCTATAACAAAAGTATGTTACACTAGATTAAAATAAGAAAGTTCAAGAACTAACTGAAAGATAGTCTCTTACCATCGCTGACCTCTTTAGCTACTCCAATAACTAAATTTTTGTATGGAATCTTGGTGTGAGTGCTCTGTAGTCGGAATGTGTACAAGGCATATTTACATGAGTGCAATTTTAATTTTCTGGGCAGCATTTAGGCCACTAAAACCGGAAAATAACGCTATTATAAGAGATAAAAGTCACAGGTTTATAAATAAAATGCTAATGCGAATTCAAAATTTAAATTATTGCTTGGTAAGAGAGGTTATTTTGGGAAAAATAGGGGTAGGAGTAGGGGCAGTGTTCTTCCTGAACCAAATCGGACTTTAAAATTATTATAGACGGGCCGGACCTAAAAATCAAAAAAAAACTATCCAGGTAAACACGGGGTAAGGGTAAGGAAATGAAAATTAATTCAAGGTCCACCCTGTACGCTTAAAAACCTTTAAAAAATAGGTTTAGGCATCCCAAATTTAAACCTTTTCACCCAAATCTAAACTTGAAACCCCTAATTTAAAGATGATAACCTTTCAAAAGCTCCTTAAGAATTAAAGAAGCACATATGGAGAGCAAGAGCCAACGTTTGTTTTGGTGTAAACAACCCTTGTTTACAATATTGGGACACAAAAAGAGCTCAACATTTCTTCGAAAAAGAGTGGCCAAGTGTTTAAAAGTTGATAATAGGCAAGAAAAGGTGGATAATAAGGCAGAAAACGTTTATTACAAGGCAATAAAAGTTATGGCATGTTTTTACACAAAATCGCATGTTTATTACTTTGACCTTTGTGCATGAGCTTGCTTGTTAATTATTGTAATATTTTAATTGGAATTTTGAAAAATTTTTTTGAAATTCAAAAAAAAGGCATGAATTAAAGGTTGTTTTTCGGTCCAGAAATTATATTTTTTGACTTTTATTGTATCGACTGGTCGATAAGCAAAAAATTTTTTTAAAATTGAAAAAATCCGTAAAGGGGACCAAATTAAGTTTTCTAACAGTCTATCCCGACCTCTACCATTACCCCTAGTTCTACCCCTACCCTTAAACCCTCTACCCCCTCTAAAATACTACTCCTAAAATTAGACAAGAGGAACGGGCCGGGTATGAATGTTAGGCTCGGCCTGATCAAACGTTTGCTCAGGCCTGGCCCGATCAAAATTTTGCTCAGCTCGGCCTAATCTAAATTTGGGCCAATCCCGGCCCGTTCAAGTCTACCTAAAATACAGGGTGCGCAAAAAGTTCTGTTACAAAACTTTACCGGTCGTTTTCTCTATTTTTAGGTGTCGACATATTAGGTTGTTCACTTAATCCTGAGTTCTCTCTCAAAGCAAAATCGTGGTGTAAGGGGGCGCAGAATTATGTGAACAACCTAATAGATTGAAACCGCCCTTTTTTACAGGAAATTACAGGCAAAATATGGCGGGTTCTTTATGTCGGCACCTAATACTACAGCTAGCCCTGTCCCTACTCCTATTTTTCTAAAAACAAAAGTCTAAAGACACCCTTGAAAATTAAAAAACCTCAAAAACAGCCTTTAAAAATTCGAAAGCGGTTAGCTTCAGCGATGGATAATATAATAAACAAGAAGGGGATCAAAGTTCCTTTTAGTTCTTTAATCAAGTGGACAGCCTTCTAAATAAAAACAGTCCATGTGACGGCGGAAAAATTAATAACTGCGGGGTTCTTATCACTAAAAAAAGGTTCGCAATGTTTTTGATATCTAAAAAGGTTTGCAATCATTATTTTTATTGATCAATGCTTTAATGAGTTTGCAAGGCTAGGGGGTTAGTTTAAAAAAAGTGCTGGTGATGTTCTTGTTGTGACAAATTGAGTTGGATTCTTTAATAAAAGTAAACAAGCTTTGTAACAGGTTTTGTTTATTGCACTATCAAAGATTTTTATTATGAAAAGGCGTGGGAGCTCAAAAAATTTTTTTTTTAATTTTAAAAATTTTAAAATTTTAAAAAATTCAAAGTTTCAATCTTCAAAAAAAATTTAAAAAATCAATTATTAGGAGCCTGATTAGCAGGCAAAGTAGGCTGACTAGCTTGAGCTCCAGAATTTCCACTAGTTTGACCTCCGGAAGACACATTAGTTTGAGCTACAGCGACTTGTTGATTAACTGAAGAGATACCAACTCCACCCCCACCACCGCCACTTGATGAAGATTGACCTGGGTGTTGGCCATAAAAATAGGGACGACACCATGGTTGAACTTGGGCAGTGGTTTGAGTATAGATGTTCCACAGGGCTGGGGAATTGTAAATTGTGTCATAAGGGGACCAGAAAACATTGGCTAGATCACGGCCTGCGCCTGAGCAACGGCGGTTTAGGTTGTCGGCCAGGCAGCCTAGGAAGCAGTTGTTGTTGCTGAAAATGAGGGGTTGCGTTTATTTTAATTGAAAAATATTGAGCTTTAAAATTTTTGAAAAATCGACCGGTCGATAAATTTTGGTCGAAAAAATTTTTGACGCAAATAGAAAGATTATTAGAAAATCATGACAAAAATGTAAAAATATTGCGATTTTAAATTTTAAAAAAATCGACCGGTCGATAATTTTCGACCAAAATTTTTTTTTAAATTGGAAAAAAGCATTAAAAATGATTAAAAATGCAGAAAATAAGCCAAGGCGGAAAAAAATATAGAATACACCAAGACCACTTACAAACAGAACCGATCTTGATTCTGATCGTTCCACAAATTTCCACCATTGCTACCCCTACATTGTCGGTTACAAGAGCTTTGGGCCGAATCCAAGTTTTTAACGTAACACTGCTGGTTCCGATTGATAGCGGTGTCCAAACGTTGATTACATTGGTTAATCAAATTGTTTCCCACGCTCCACCAGCTGCGGCTGTTCTGGTTGCAGTTGAATATACAATTGGCTGTTTGTTCATATGTTCTGGAAGGTGGAACATAATTTAGGAAACAGGAAAATATCCCTACCCCTACCCCTTACTTTTACACTAACCCTTACCTCCACTCCTACTTTTACCCTTACTTTACCCTTACCTCTACTTTTTCCCCTACCTTTACTTCCACCACTACTTTTACCTCTACTCCTACCTTTACTGTTTCTCTACCGTAACCAGTCCTAATACAATAAATACTATACCAAAACCAAGTTTAAAGTACTTACTTGCAAATACTAGTGAACTGATTAGCCTCAATTCGTTGAGAATTGCTGACGGCCGTATTCATACAACGGCCCAAACATTGAGCGTCGCGACTTTGGGCCGCGACCGCTGTAGCTAGAAGTGCTACTACAAGACGTTTCATTTTACACGTTTTTGGTCGATATTTTTTTGACTTTTTATAGCCAAATGATTATGGTATTGACCTTTGAATCAAATTTACATTTAGTCATTATGATGTTGACCTTTGAATAAGCTTGATTTTTGATCAAGGCTTACGTGGGGGATAGCGTGTGCTGCACGTTGAGCTCACGGTTAGTCATCTTAATTAATGCTGAGCTCAAATTTTATGTGTTGAATTGACATTCTTGATTCATAAGGGTTCGTAAATTAAATTTGTTTTTTTTTGGAAATTTGAATATTTGGACTTGGACACTTGGACCTTCTATCGTATCCTTGTTTATGTTCAAATCTCTTGGACTTATAAAGAATATTATTGTAAGCGGGTCAGTATAGGGTAGAGCAAGGTATGGCTGGGTAGTTATTACTAAGAATAAAGCATGGTTTTTAGTACGGTATGACCAAGAGTAGGATAGACTAGGGAAAGACGGAATGAGTAAGGTATTGGTTGGTAATCTCGAGGTATGGCAGCGTACGGTGGTATGGTAGGGTAGGACAAAGTGGGTAGAGTACGGTCGAGTAGTGTAAGATAGGTTAGGGTAGTGTAAGAGCATGGTATATCTAGGTAAGGCTCACTAACAATAAATTATGGCCAGAATACGGTAGAAGCAAGGGTAGGTTAAGCTGACCGTGGTGTATATAGGTATTCCTTCGGTATGGCGGAGTACGGTGGAATTAGAGTAAGGCAGGATAGTTTGAGTGCAGTAGTATGAAGTAGTATCGGATAGAATAGGGTAAGCATAGGTCAGCTGAGTTACGGTAAAGTGAAAGTCAGGGTAGAGTAGTGTATGGTGGGGTAGGGTAGGGTAGGGCAGGGTGGGGTGGTGTAGGGTAGGGTAGGGTAGGGTAGGGTAGGGTAAGGTAGGGTTGGGTAGGGTAGGGTAGGGTAGGGTAGGATAGGATAGGGTAGGGTAGGGTAGGGTAGGGTAGGGTAGGGTAGGGTAGGGTAGGGTAGGGTAGGGTAGGGTAGGGTAGGGTAAGGTAGGGTAGGGTAGGGTAGGGTATAGCGAGGTACATTACGGTAAGTGTTGTGCTACAAATAAGGTCCTTTTTTATTTTACAAGTTTATTTATTATTATTAAACAATTAAATGCAGATAAAAATTAAGCTTAAAATCTTGAAATAATGACAAGAATTTTCAATATCGTCCTTTGGTACACCTTCTACTCTGTAGCCTCTGTCAGCCTTCAAACATAAATTATGTATCATTACAGTAATTCCTCCTTCTTTATTCTACAGTAATTTCTTTTTCTTCCTTCTATAGTAATCTCTTCTTCGCTCGACTTTTTGAATTTTTGTTGAATTTCAAATTGACGAACCGTCTTTGCATCTGAATCGACCGGCGTCGTCGATGGACGGCGAAGTAGCGTCGACAATAGTTGCACGGTCCACAACAGCCTTGATTGTTGTAGTCATTGTCATCACAAGGACAGCCATCCGGATAGCAGTCTGGTTGCATTCCTTGGCCTTGGTAGGAGCCACAATTATTGTTCTGATTTCGACAGAAAGTGAGCTCTTTTCCGGTTGGGATTAGGACTTGTCCTAGCGGGATGAAGGTGGCTGAAAATGGTTTTTTATTTAAATTTTTTTTTAAATTTAGTTTTGTTTATATTTTTTTAGGCTTCTGATTACAGATGGCTAAAAATGGGTTTTAAAAAATTTTTCTTTGTTAGTTTGGGCTTCTGATTAAATTTTTGGTTTAGGCTTATTATAATATCTTGCCTTTTGTTTAGAAATTAATTTAAATTAGAGTCTAAATTTTAGGCTTAGCAGCTAATTTAATGCTCAATGAAGAATTTTAGGTTTAGATAAGAACTGTAGGCTTCATTTTAGGCGTAATAACGCATTCTCGTCTAAGAAAATAGTTTTTAGGCTTAGCAATGTTAGGCTTAATATAATAATAGTGAATTTTTGGTACCGTACTATGTAGTCAAGCTAAGGTACTGTATTTTTTAAATTATAGGGTAACTATACCATTCAGTCAATCTACGGTATTGTATACTTCCTTAAGTTAAAGTATAGTACTGTATTTTCAACCGAACTTATGAGTTTATACTCAATAGCCCTAGAGGTATTTCTGGTTGTAGCCCTAGCCCAGAGCCCTAAGCTAGAGGCCTAGCTTAGAGTCTTAGCCTAGAGCCCTAGCCTAGAGCCCTTGCCCAGAGCCCTAGCCTAGAGCCCTAGCCCAGAGCCCTAGCCTAGAGCCCTAGCCCAGAGCCCTAGCCCATAGTCCTAGCCCATAGTCCTAGCCCATAGTCCTAGCCCAGAGCCTTAGCCCAGAGCCCTAGCCCAGAGCCCTAGCCATAGCCTTGTTGTATAATCAAGCTACGGTGCTCTACGCAAAAAGTAAGGTAGAAAAAAGATAGAATACGTTCTTATAAGCTATATATCATCTACAAACTATATTCGGCTTTTAAAAAACCTTCCAATAAGCCTAAACTTACTATTAGAACCCGGCGGCACATGTGCCAAGTTCTTCAACGCCTTAACCATATTATTGCCCAAACAGTTCGAAGGTACAGTAAAAGCATTCGGATTGCAAGGCGCTCCATATCTATCATCTACAGCTTCTCTCTCGTCTTCACCTCCTTGATTACCATACGGCTGACTACTGTACCCACTACCGTACCCACCACCGTACCCTCCACTTCTGTAGCGTGGTAAGTTGTTGAACTGATTGTAGCCATTCAGCCACGCTGAGGTTAGGTTGGAGACGATTAGGAGGTATGTGAGGTAACGTCTTATTGGTAGTGACAGCCGGCTTGACATTACAACATTAAGAGCTTGAACTGGAATGTAAATTCATTGATTAATGGGGTTTTTAGGTAATAATTGGTTCAAAATGACGTTTTATTTAGGTATGGTACGGTAGAAAATGGCATTTTTTGGGTAAGGCAAGGTAAAAAATGGCATTTTTTCGGCATGGCGGGGTAAAATATGGCATTTTTTAGGTATGGTAGGATACAAAATGACATTTTTGGGTAAGGTAGTATAAAAAATGGCGTATTTTTACGTAAAATAGGGTAGAAAATGACAGTTTTTAAGTAAGGTAAAATATGAAATGGCATTTTTTCGCCGAGCATAAAATTAAGTTTTTTATGCTAGAGATGGTAGAAAATGGCATTTTTTAGGTAAAGTGAGATAAAAAATGACATATCAAAAAATGATTTTAAAAAATTAAAAAATGAAAAAAAATTTTAATAAAAAAATATTTATACATAAAATGCTATAAAAACTCGGTATACGCATTTCCATATCTTTCACCATTTAATCTTAATGTTAAAAAATTTTGTCGTATTTTTCAGTTCAAATGAACGTAAAACAGCGACAAGACTTTTTTAAACGTTAATATAAGATGTTATTAGTGATGAAATTGATTAAATTAGATTTAGAATAGCATTTTGTATTGTTTGTTACTTTTAAAATGGCATTTTACATCATTTATTACCTAAAAAATATTAAAAATTTCAAAAATTTCAAAAATTTCAAAAATTTGAAAAAATTCAAAAAGTAAAGTAAAATGGCAAGTCCAGCAATCCCCCCCCCTTACCGACCTCTCTATGGACAAATGAATCCTCGCGTGAACAAAAATATCCGAATTTATAGGCGAAATCGCGTCGAAATTCGGAGAAAACAAACCAAAAAGGGATGCGCATTAAGGAAGTTATAAATGGGACCTTAGACTCGCGGTGCTGGCTCCAACGTACGAGCTGTTCGTCGTGTTGCGGCTATTGTTTATGTAGAAAAATGTGAAATGAGCAGAATAGACCAACATGGTCGAAACTAAAAAATATTTTTTTTTGCTAAAAAAAATAAACATTTGTACAGAAAGTTCTTGCAGAGAATGAAAAATTACCAAAAATTACATTTTTTATTACTGTAAACAAAGTTATTGTTATTCCTGGTCTTCCAGAGGAAATTCTTGCCATTTCTTGTTTTGTAAAGAAAGTTTTTTCCAAAACTTAAAAATATTAAAAAACTCCATTTTCAATCATTCTAAACAAATTTATTGCCAAAAAAGTTTACTTCTGCACCGTGCAGCGCCATTTGCCTTCTTTGCGCAGTGCGAAAGCGCGATCTCGTCCGATCTGGCAAGTTAAGCAACAGTGCGCTTGATTATAAAAAGTTCGAGGAACACTGGATGGAAACAAGTTTTTTTGGAGTTTTTAGGATACTGGAATGAAAGTTTTGGTATTTTGAGGCTTTTAGATTATAAAAAATTGATTTTATAACTAGTAAGTAAAGTTCTTGCATTTTTTGTTTTGTAAAAAAAGTTCTTGCCATTTTTTCTATTATGAAGAAAGTTTTTGCTCTTTTTTGATTTGTCAGTAAAGTTCATGCATTTTTTTTGGGTTTGCAATAAACTATTTTATTAGTTCATGCAATAACCGTACTGTTATTTAATGTTATAATACAACAACACAGCCTTAGAGAAATTGCAAGAACTCGTGTTGCGCAACTTTTTCTTATGTAATATTACTTACTTTTGTAACATTTGCCTCGATGTAAAACGACCCAACAAATGACTGCGAGTGGTGGGATTTTACTTCGAATTTCTTCGAGGTTAGGGTAGTGGAGTTTATGTCACACAAATCTTTTTTATATTGTGTGTAGGCTAAGGTAGTGTAGATTTACGGTACTGTTATGTTAGGAAAAAAGGCTAGGGCTCTAGGCTTGGGCTAGAGCTCTGGGCTAGGGCTCTGGGCTAGGGCTCTGGGCTAGGGCTCTGGGCTAGGGTTCTGGGCTAGGGCTCTGGGCTAGGGCTTTGGGCTAGGGCACTGGCCTAGGGCTTTGGGCTAGGGCTCTGGGCTAGGGCTCTGGGCTAGAGCTGTGGGCTAAGGCTAGGGATAATATTCAAATAGTTTTTCAAGATGACATTTTGAAGCAATGGTAGTTTATTTATCAGTGATAACGTTATCATATATTTGTTGAGCACTTGCTTTTATCCTTTTATAGTAATATTACTTGTCATAGTAACCATCATCGTTGTAACACTTGTTGTCTTCGCACTCTTCGCTAGTGAAGGTTTTGCCATTATTATAGTTTTTGTCATTTTTGTTGTTATCTTTTTCATTACTCTTGCTATCACTTTCATCGCTGTTACTGTTGCCGCTTCCAACACCATTAGCGTTTGTTTGGACATGGCTGAGTGGGTTGACAATTTTATTTTTCTTGTCGTCTTGAAGCTCTAAAATTAAAAATTTTTAATTATAAATTTTCACCCTACCCTACCCTACCCTACCCTACCCTACCCTACCCTACCCTACCCTACCCTACCTTACCCTACCCTACCCTACCCTACTTTGACCTTCTTTTCTATGCTCTGCCTTGCCGTAAGCGGCCATGTACTCCCATGCCACGCCCTACCCTATCCTGCCGCATCTGTTGTACCCATGCCTTATCATACGCTTGCTTTATTGTACTTTTACATTGCTCTATCTTACCGTACCCTTACATTGCTCTACCTTACCGTGCTCTTACATTGCTTTACCTTACCGTACTCTTACATTGCTCTACCTTACCGTACTCTTACATTGCTCTACCTTACCCTACCTTTACATTGCTCTACCTTACCGTACCCTTACATTGCTCTACCTTACCGTACCCTTACATTGCTCTACCTTACCCTACCCTTAAAACTTGAAAGTTCTTACTTTGTCCAATAGGGCTACAGTAAGCCACAACAGCCAAACAACATAGCAATACCATAAGTTTTGTCATCATTGTCGATAAGAGTTGTAAAACTTAGAAAATGTTTTGCATACTTTTCACATTTTGCAGGTTGTTTTTATATTATAAAATGCTGTTTATCCTTGACTCAACACCATCTGAGTACACAAAAAAGTGGGCTATTTCTGTAAATTTATTTACCTTTTGCTGTTTGAATTTAAAATTTGTATTGTGATTGTAGTATTGTAGTTTGTAGGCGTTAAGTTTTAGTTCTATAGTTTGATATCATTTAAGACAACAACTATAGTACTTGTCAGTAGTGGCGTGATATTTTTTTAAAACTATTACTCTTGATTTTCAACAAACTTTTCTATGAACCATTACTTATTCCTCGCTGTTTCTAACAGCTACAACGTATTGCTTATTCAGATAATCCTATTTCTCAGTGGTGTGAATGTTTCTTGTGTAATTTTATCGAAGTTACGGTTGCTGCAGTATAGTTAAGGTATGGCAAAGAGAAGGACAAACGTAGAGTTACAGGTAGGGTAGAAAAAGTTAAGGCAAGGTATGACAGTTTTTTTTATTTTTATTGCGTTGGTAGGCTATTCGGAAGGACGTTGGTTTGATTTGCCCAACCCAGGCGTCTTGAGAAGTGGGTAGTACACGAGGACTAGGCACATCAATAGCTGGCCTACACAGATATCTGACTATTTACTTTACATGCTTTAAGCGTCTACAATTACAATTCGGGAGATATAGATTAGGTTAGTAGTTTGATGCAGCAGATGTTAACGTACTGTGCTGATTTGCAAGAATGTTCAAGGTTTAGATGAAGACCAACGGAGCTATCCTCGAGTCTGACGTTTCTCTTAATGGGGGCTCTCCTCAGGTATTTCAGTGTTCCGCGCCTCACTGAGCCGTAGGTGAAATGCTCCATAAGACGTCTGGCGTTCAATCATATACTTGTGTAGGCCAAATATAAATGTGCCTAGTCCCCGTGCACTCAGCACTACTCATTTCTCAAGGCGCCTGAGTTGGGCGGGGCGCGGGGTCAAACCAAGGTCCTTCCGAATAGCGAGTGGCGCCACAGTCATTGCGCTACCAACGCACACAGGCTAGAATTCTTATGGAGCATCCTAGGCACATCGGTATTTGGCCTACACGGATTTATCAGTAAACGTTAGAAGTAATAATGGAACACTTCATCCACGACTCAGTGACGCGAGGAACAGTGAAGTACCTGGGTGAAGGGCCAGTTATGAGAAACGTCAATACAAAGCTGCGTTGGCCTTCATATGGACCTTGAACAACCATGCACATGTGTTCAAGGTCCTCATTTAGACCGTAAAGATCCTTGCACATCAGCATAGTACGTTACAATTTACGGCATCAAAGTCATCAACTAATCTAAACTATATCTTCCGAAATTGTGGTTGTAGATACTTGAACATGTACATTACATTACAGTGGGACTCCTGTATAACGAATCGCTGGGGGACCAGAAATTTGTTCTTTATAAAGGAATTCCATTGTATTTATCAGCCAAGAACAACATTATCATCACTTTTATTATCTATGTTAATATCACATTCAAAACCCAACACAATGATGATGTGGGTTATATTAATAAGATGGGAAGCAGATACTGTCGATTTCGTACTGACCAGTTGGGTATGGTGGGCATCGTTGCCAACCATTCTTATCGTTCTTTCCTTTGTTTTGGTAGTCTTCTTTGGCACGGTGCCATTCATCACGGTTACCATTTCTGTCGCCGTACCCACCGTGCTCATGGTCTCTGTTACCGTAGTCTTTGGTGTAGCCATTATGATTATTGTAGTCATTACCGGACCCACCGTGCTCACGGTCTCTGTTACCGTAGTTTTTAGTGTAGCCATCATGATTATTGTAGTCATTACCGGACCCACGGTGCTCACGGTCTATGTTGCCGTAGTTTTTAGTGTAGCCATCATGATTATTGTAGTCATTACCGGACCCACCGTGCTCACGGTCTCTGTTACCGTAGTCTTTGGTGTAGCCATCATGATTATTGTAGTCATTACCGGACCCACCGTGCTCACGGTCTCTGTTACCGTAGTTTTTAGTGTAGCCATCATGATTATTGTAGTCATTACCGGACCTACCGTGCTCACGGTCCATGTTGCCGTAGTTTTTAGTGTAGCCATCATGATTATTGTAGTCATTACCGGACCCACCGTGCTCACGGTCTCTGTTACCGTAGTCTTTGGTGTAGCCATTATGATTATTGTAGTCATTACCGGACCCACCGTGCTCACGGTCTCTGTTACCGTAGTTTTTAGTGTAGCCATCATGATTATTGTAGTCATTACCGGACCCACCGTGCTCACGGTCCATGTTGCCGTAGTTTTTAGTGTAGCCATCATGATTATTGTAGTCATTACCGGACCCACCGTGCTCACGGTCCATGTTGCCGTAGTTTTTAGTGTAGCCATCATGATTATTGTAGTCATTACCGGACCCACCGTGCTCACGGTCTCTGTTACCGTAGTCTTTGGTGTAGCCATCATGATTATTGTAGTCATTACCGGACCCACCGTGCTCACGGTCTCTGTTACCGTAGTCTTTGGTGTAGCCATCATGATTATTGTAGTCATTACCGGACCCACCGTGCTCACGGTCTCTGTTACCGTAGTTTTTAGTGTAGCCATCATGATTATTGTAGTCATTACCGGACCCACCGTGCTCACGGTTCTTGTTACCGTAGCCGTTGTTGTGGTCTTCACAGTTACAATCTTTATTGTGCCTGTGATTACCGTGCTCATCACTATGTTCACCATACTTGTCACAATCTTCTCTACTTTTTTTGTAGTGGTCACGGTCGTTCTTGTTGTTATCATGGTCGTTCTTATCATTCTTATGGTTTTTACGGTCGTTCTTATTGTTATCACGGTCGTTCTTGTTGTTATTACGGTCGTTCTTGTCATTTCTATTGTCATCAGGGTGGTTCTTGTTGTTCTCACGGTCGTTCTTGTTGTTATAGCGGTAGTTCTTGTTGTTCTCACCGCCGTTCTTTCTGTGATCACGGTCGTTTTTTTTGTTGTCACGATTGTTTTTGCCGTTCTTACCGTTCTCGCGGTCATTCTTGTCATCACTATGCCTGTCACCATCGTTTTTCCCATCTTTTCTGTCACCGTGACCTCTGTCATCTTCAGAATCGACCACTCCACTAAGGCCATACTTCCTATTGACCGGATCAAAGACTTGGCAATAGGAACGGCCCCACGGATGGCCAAGATAAATGTTCTTGTCTTTGGATTGGCGAAGTAATAATGAACATTTTCGACCGTTTGGAGTGACCAGTTTGGATGATGGTATGTAGACAACATAGTCCTTCAGCTGGACTTTAAGGTCGATTGGGGTGTCGCATGGTACTATGTATTGGCCCTGGAACGGTATTGTTAGCACCATATTATAAGATCTACGACTGTGCTATACCTCTAGCCTTAGCCCAGAGCCCTAGCCTAGAGCCCTAGCCCAAAGCCCTAGCCCCGAGCTCTAGCCTAGAGCCCTAGCCCAGAGCCCTAGCCCAGAGCCCTAGCCCAGAGCCCTAAACCAGAGCCCTAGCCCAGAGCCCTAGCCCAGAGCCCTAGTCCAGAGCCGTAGCCCAGAGCCTTAAACCAGATCCCTAGCCCAGAGCCCTAGCCCAGAGCCCTAGCCCAGAGCCCTAGCCCAAAGCCCTAGCCCCGAGCCCTAGCCCAGAGCCCTAGCCCAAAGCCCTAGCCCCGAGCTCTAGCCTAGAGCCCTAGCCCAGAGCCCTAAACCAGAGCCCTAGCCCAGAGCCCTAGCCCAGAGCCCTAGCCCAGAGCCCTAGCCCAAAGCCCTAGCCCCGAGCCCTAGCCCAGAGCCCTAGACCATAGTCCAAGCTCTTGGACTAAATCTAATTTGAGTCCTAGCTCTATTTGTAGGTCTAGTCTGAGTCATAATTCTATTCCTAGGCTTACTCTGAATCCTAGCCTTATTCTATGTCAAATCTAAGTCCTAGTCCTAGCCCTAGGACTAGCCCTATTCCTAAGTTTACTCTGAATTCTAGCCTTATTTTTAGGCCATGTCTAAGTCATAGCCTTAGCTCTAGGCCTGGCCTTAGGTCTAGTATTACTTCTAGGCTTAGCCTGAGTCTTGTCTTTAACTTTAGGCCTAGTCCGAGTCCTAGCCCGATTCCTAAGTTTAGTCAGAGTCCTAGCTTTAACTTTAGGCCTAATCGGTAAACTCACATAAATCAATTTATGTTCAACACCATCCAAGACCTTTTTCAAAATATGTTCAGGTAGTTCAATAGCATCTGATGATATATCAACAACAGCAATCACACTTTCAGCCATTTTCTTGTTCCGACTCTCTAGGCTATCAACCTTGAGTTTCCACAGATAAGAATCATCGTGTAACTCATTCCAAGAAACGTCATGTTGACAGTGTTTGGCATCTTTGTCACCAAAGGTAATATGAGCATTCTTCTTGCACTTGTCTTTGGCACAATCACCTAGATATACCGAGAAGAATGGGTTTGAATTACTGTCAGTAAACAGGTTATGAACTAGAGATGACTTTATTGAATTTTCAGTCAAGCCTGTAGCCGGTAAACCAATAATACCATCAAAAACGTTGGTATAGTTAGCGGCTTTGAATTGAAGAGGCTCTGGTAGGGGGAGATTGGTCTTGCCATCGGCTGGGCCTAGCTGAAAATGGCAGCAAAAGTATTATGGTAAAGCGATAATAATCGCCTTATCCTACCCTACCCTACCCTACCCTACTTTACCCTACCCTACCCTACCCTACCCTACCCTACCCTACCCTACCCTACCCTACCCTACCCTACCCTACCCTACCCTACCCTACCCTACCCTACCCTACCCTACCCTACCCTACCCTACCTTACCCTACCCTACCCTATCCTACCCTACCCTACCTTACCCTACCCTACCCTACCCTGTTATCCTACTCTAACTTATATATACCATCAAACGTAAGTTTACCCGCTCTACCATACACAAATTTGCTATGCCTTACCTCTGCCTCTAAAAATCATGCCATCCTGAAGCAAAGAATCATGCACTATCATACCCTATCTATCTCGCCTGGAACTTTTACCTTACCGTTAATCAGCCTGTCCTACCTTTTCCTGTTACCGTAACCCATGAGATACTGCCTTTGATCCTTATCAACCCACCGTACCCACGCCCAATGTTCTCGGCAAGGAGCGATTCCGCTAATCTAGTATTACCTTGCCTACTGTATGCCTACTTTTACAGTAATTTAGCAAGCATTACCTTTACTCATATAGTAACTCACCACAATCTACCTATAGCTTCTAGCTTACCTCATCCTACCGTACTACGAATTCATTGTACCGTAGCTTACTATAATCTTACCTACTCTATTCTAGCTTACACTACTTTATCTTACCTTACCCTACCCTAACCTACCCTACTCTACCCTACCCTGCCCTCATACTATGCTTATATGTACAATAGACCTACCTCAAAGACATCTTCAGCGAAGGTGCCCCTGAAGCTGATTCCTTTGAAGTCATCATGAAAGTCTTCCCTCAATGGCTTAAAAGTGGTCGATTTCCTAGTACTGAACAAATTACTGCCGGTTTTACAATTTTCTACAGTATCCTTTGGGTTTTTGCATCCAACAATTGGTATCACCGAGTATCGACTGGTCGTACAAAACACTACGCGAATGGTTTGACGTGGAGTACCAATACTGATTGTGCCAGTGTAGTTGCCATTTTGGTTTGTCAAGTTGATTGTGTAGCCTTGTTCGGCTGAAATGACATAAAATAAACGTGGATTACGGTCGAGATAGATAAAAATTACTGTAGGTCGGAGACAAATGAGTAAGAGTAAAGCTAAGGCTAAGGCTAGAGTTAGAGCTAAGACTAGAGTTAGGGCTAAGTCTAGGATTAGGTTTAGGCTTAGGCTTAGACTTAGGCTTAAGCTTAGGCTTAGGCTTAGGCTTAGGCTTACGCTTAGACTTAGGCTTAGGCTTAGGCTTAGGCTTAGGTTTGGGCTTAGGCTTAGGTTTGGGCTTAGGCTTAAGCTTAGGGTTAGATTTGGGCTTAGGCTTAGATTTAAGCTTAGACTTAGGCTTAGGCTTAAGCTTAGGCTTATGCATAGGCTTAGGCTTAGGATTAGGCTTAAACCCAGACTTGGGCTCAGGCTCTGTGCTAGGGGCTGGGTGCTATGAAGCTAGGGGCCACGGGGCTAGAAGGCTAGAGAATTAATGGGCTAAGCCTATGAGTTAGAGTTAAGGTTAGAGCTAGGATCAGGGGCAAAGCTAGGAGTAGACCTTACGATATCTTTGTTCAGATTTACAGTAGCAAACAGTAGCCAAACTTGTTAATAAAACAAGTTTCGCCCACATTTTCAATTTCAACACGTATCTTTTCAACTATATATTGTCGTTTTTATACTGAAAAAGTGCGTAGTAGTAACCAAAAGGGCTGTTCAAACAAAATTTGCAAATTTTATTTTTCAAAAATTAATTTTAACTTGTTCATGTTGAATAATATGATCGTTTGATGTAGTTTTAGTATGATTTTTGAAATTAAAAACAGACATCGTGTTTTTAAATAATTAAATTTTTTTTTAAAGTTTACAAAATTTAAAAAAATTTCGAAAAAAATCGAAAAATTAAAAAAAAATTTAAAAAAACTAAAAATTTTTAAAAAATTTCAAAAAAAATTTTCAAAATTTCAAAAACTTCGAAAATCTCAAAATATTTTTAAAAATTTCGAAAAACTACAAATTTTAAAAATGTAAAAAAATAAAAAAAATAAATGAAAATTCAAAAAATTAAAAAAATTTTCAAAAAAATCAAAAAATTTTAAAAAAAATTTTTAAAATTAAAAAAAAATTTTAAAAAACTTTAAAATTTTAAAAAAAATTTAAAAAAAAATTTACAAATTTCAAAAAATTTCGAAAAATCTCAAAATATTTTTAAAAATTTAGAAAAACTACGAAAATTTTAAAAAATGTAAAAAAATAAAAAAAAATTCAGAAAATTCAAAAAATTTCATAAAAATTTTAAAAATTATAAAAATTTCAAAAAATTTCGAAAAATCAAAAAATGAAAAAAATTTTAAAAATTACGAAAAAAATATTAAAAAATCAAAATTTTTTCAATATTTAATCAAAATCACAAGAAAATAAGTTAATATGTGCATTAAAGCTATGTTGACAACAAATAATTGTAGTGATTCAAAGGTCTTTTGGTGTTCGATTAAGGTTGATCTCTTCTTCTTTGTCTAACCAAGACTTGGCCTTCTTATATGGTACCTTTACACTATGTTTTTTTAATTTCTTCTTATCTTCTTTGGTGTATGGCGCATGCTTGTGCTTGATTATCCAGACATCGTCTTCTATTCCTCGCTGAAATGGTAAGATATTATGTTTATAGGGCTTGGTTTGGCTTTATCATATCCTCAAGAGCGTCACAAGCTAGGTCTAGGGCTAAGGCTAGAGCCAAGGCTAGGGCCAAGGATAGAGCCAAGGCTAGAGCCAAGGATAGAGCCAAGGCTAGAGCCAAGGCTAGAGCCAAGGCTAGAGCCAAGGCTAGAGCCAAGGCTAGAGCCAAGGCTAGAGCCAAGGCTAGAGCCAAGGCTAGAGCCAAGGCTAGAGCCAAGGCTAGAGCCAAGGCTAGAGCCAAGGCTAGAGCCAAGGCTAGAGCCAAGGCTAGAGCCAAGGCTAGAGCCAAGGCTAGAGCCAAGGCTAGAGCCAAGGCTAGAGCCAAGGCTAGAGCCAAGGCTAGAGCCAAGGCTAGAGCCAAGGCTAGAGCCAAGGCTAGAGCCAAGGCTAGAGCCAAGGCTAGGGCCAAGGCTAGGACCAAGGCTAGAGCCAAGGCTAGGGCCAAGGCTAGAGCCAAGCCTAAAACCAAAGCTAGGGTCAAGGCTAGAACCAAAGCTACCAATACATATAACAACCCAAAATAATCAACAAAACTCACATCATGCGCTCTGATCTGCTGCCAATGTAGATGAGTGTCGTTATGAACCTGCATCAAGCTGAACCCATAATTGGTCGATCTGAAAGCACTCCAAACGGGCGGGTCATTGATAAAAGTGTCAGTATTCTCCTTGCATCCAGCTGATCCACTAATGATATGAACTGGAGCAGGTGGATCCACATATGGCTCAGTAGTACCATTATAAACTCGTCTGTCGTATACTGGCCACAGCCTTTCGTATGTATGTTCGTGAGCCCATACCTCGAAATCCACCCCATATTTGTAGAATAGAGGTTCTAAAGCGTACATGCCATTCACACCGACTCTTGTGGCTGCTTCATCGTTCCGACAGTCGTCACGATCGTCTGTGCTACAGTACATTGGACGATGACCGAGGGTTATGATCCATGGGGTTTTGGCACGGTTTTTGTTAGCTTTCTGAAATGGTACGGTAGAATGGGGTATGGGTGTGGGTATGGGTATGAGTATGGGTATGGGTATGGGGAGTATGGGCATGGGTATGGGTATGGGTATGGGTATGGGTATGGGTATGGTTATGGGTATGGGTATGGGTATGGGTATGGGCCGGACGAGAGGGGGTGGGACGGGGGGGGGGTACCCCCCAGAAAAAATTTTTTGAAAAAAGTTGAACGTGGTCCCCCCTGTGGATTTTTTGGACCCCTGCCCCCAGACCAAAAGTCCCCGCCCGGCCCTGGGTATGGGTAGAGTATGGCAAAGTACGGTAATGTGGGGTACGGTAAGATCAACCTACAATAAGATCCTGTTCGAGCCACTCATACTGTCGTTGTCTCAATCCCCTCCATTTACCATTGAATGGGTCATAGTAAAACTCAGTGGAAAAACTGATGACATGCATCTTACCAACGTCATAACTGTAGTAGTAATTGTCATGCGAGTTGGGCATATTAAATCTGTAAACGTAGTTGTGGTAGGGTAGCAGCTCCATCTCATGGTTCCCAGGTGATACCATATATGGCACTTTGGAGGCGATTGGCTCTATCATTCGCATAAATTGATTGCCGGTCTAAAAGTAAAGAGAATTTTATGTTTTTAAGTTATGGCTGAGTTATAGGGAAAAGTTAAAAACCAAAAAAATGTTGGGCGTGGTAATTTTTTGAGTGAAGTAAATTTTTTAGGCAAGATACAATTTTTTTGAAGAGGTAAATTTTTTTGAACATGGTTAAGTTTTTTAGGCGGGGTAAATTTTTTTGGCGGGGTAAATTTTTTTGGGCAGTGTAAACGTTTTTGGGTAAGGGAAACTTTTTGGGCGGGGTAAAATTTTTTTGGGTGGGGTAAAATTTTTTTGAAAAAATTAAAAGGTATGCGCCGGGGTAAGCAAGGTATGACATGACAAAAAAACTAAAACCCACAAATGGCAGATCATAAGCCATGTCTCCAACATGCATGACAAAGTCAATCTCTTCATTGTGAGTCATATCAGTTAATGGAGCCAATGATCGTGAGTTTTCATAGCCAAAATCACCAAAAACAGCGACTTTATGGCCGCCGTTGGGCCGTTCCTCGATCCCTTTAAACTGGAAGACACTACTGTAGGCATAGTCTGATCCTACACGGTAGGCTGAAATGACAAAAAAATATTTTTTTCCTTACCCTACCCTACCCTATACTACCCTACCCTACCCTATCCTACCATATCCTACCTTACCCTACCTTACACTACCCCACCCTACTTTACTCTACCCTACCCTACCCTACTCTACCCTACCCTATCCTACCATATCCTACCTTAACCTACCTTACACTACCCTACCCTACTTTACCCTACCCTACCCTACCCTACCCTACTCTACCCTACCCTACCCTACCCTACCCTACCCTACCCTACCCTACCCTACCCTACCCTACCCTATCCTACCATATCCTACCTTACCCTACCTTACACTACCCTACCCTACTTTACTCTACCCTACCCTACCCTACCCTACTCTACCCTATCCTACCATATCCTACCTTACCCTATTTACTCTACCTTACCCTAGCCTGCCCCTACCTCTTCGTATGCCCTTAGATGTACCCCTACCCCTTCTTGTGCCCCTACCAGTACCCCTGCCCCTTATTATGCCCCTACTACTACCCCTACCCCTTCTTATGCCCCTACCTCTATTTATTCATATACCTGTCCCTATGTCCCTACTCAAACCCCCGTCTTCACAAAAAAACTTACAGTAATACTTCCCAGGCTCAATACCATCAATAACCACTTTATGAACATAAAGCCACTGTGGAAACAAAAAAAAGAACCAAGTGGTATCAGCCTCCACCCTAACCGTGTTAAAGTCCTTGCCATGCCCGTAGGTCAAGTAACTACTGCCGGGATCAGAGAAAGTGCTCCATGTTACTATATACCTAGACGGTCCATCCATAGCCAGATGGACTTGTTCTGGATAAGCACGGTCCGGCGCTTTATTCGGATTCTTTGGGTCGTGCCAACTTAATGTTCTGTTAGGTGATAAGAAAGTTTTTGTCATAAAAACTTCATCGATATTGATACAGAAGAGGAGGATGAAAGGGAGAAGGTGGAGGAGTTGGCGTTCTATCATGACTGAAAATTTTAAACATAACTATTTTGGCGTTAAAAGTTATGGTAACATCAAAAATGACAATTAAAAAAAAATAAATAATAAAATTTTAAAATCTCAAAAAAAATTTTTAAAAATTTTACAAAAAGCAACCTCAGTATACCCCACCACTGCCCCCCTGTACGTTTACCTTTATACTTATCTCTACTGCTTCTGTACCCTATCCTACCTTATTTTACCATACCCCTAACACTACGTTTGCGATTACCAATATCCCTACCCAGGGCCGTGCACGAGTAAGGGAGAAGACAGAAAAAGTACCTTCCCCCCATAAAAAAAATTTTTGATAAAAGTTTAACGTGGTCCCCCCTGTAGATTTTCTTCAACCCCCTGCCCCCAGACCAAAAAAAGTGCCCGCCCGGCTCTACCCCACCCTTATCCCTACTCCTACTTCTATCATTAGAAGTCTTACCCTACCCTAAATTTTTTCTCCCTGACACCTATACTTCCCCCTACTACCACAAAAAATCTGTAGCGACGTCCATGTACCCATCTATTATATTGAAAGTTGAATATTTGTTACCTATTATACACCAAATTTAATATATATAATAAACTGATCAGACAGAAATGTTAATTATACTCTATGAAAAGGCATATAATTATACAATTTGGTACACATTTAACAATCTCATTGAAATTTGTATTTAAATGACGTTGAGATCAAAGATAAAACGCTTCGTTATAGAAAAAATTTCAAAATAACTTCCATAATACACCCAAACCCTACCCCGATCCATACAAACCATATCACCCTCAGCTTGGCCACTTTTCAAGACCTATCCTAGCTTTATTTATCATCCCCAAAACCTAGCTAGCCTCTTTAATTTTCTTCAACATCTACTTTATTCTCATTTACCTCTTCTTCTTACAATTAGTCCTATCATAGCTCTACCCTTACATATTCCTAATGGATTGAACCAAAAGTAGTGGGACATTTTAAATTCAATTTTCAATCAAAAAGTGTCCCGCTATTTTTGGTTCAACCTAATAAAAAATCTAGTTATCAAATAATTTCTATATAGCCTTTGCTAAAATTTTAAAATCGTGGTTACAAAATTTTACAATTACACTTTTCCACCCGTTCAACATTTAAAACCATAAATAAAAAACGATGACCACAGTGCTCGTAGTATGTTATCAAAAAGTAAAGATTAGTCAGTGATTACAAATTTTACAGCTTTTGCTTTTTCTAAACACTTATAAGTAAATTGTTATTTTGTTTGAGCTATACTACACATTTTTAACCACCTTCCCCAACTTAATCCACATTGGCCTAGCTTGTTGTTCTAAACCACCCTACTCTGAGCAACCCGGCCTTACTTTATCATACTCTGCTATAAGCTACCCTGCTTTGCCTTGACATACCCGGCTTTCTTCTAGGCTTAGCTTACTCTCACTACCTTGCTTTTCCCTAATCTAGCGTATTTTATCACACCATACCTACCTGCGATACAATACCTTACCTTAACCTAACTTAATTTATCATAACTTACCTTACTTTACCTCACCCTACCCTTCTTTACCATACCCACTCTATCCTACCCTATCTTAAGCTACCCTACCTTCGATGCACTGACATTATACAACCCCTACCTCCCCCTTGCTGCACCTTACACCTTCCTTGTCAAAAAGTTCAAAAAACACTGTTTGTGACCCGCTTCGAAGCCGCAAAGTCTATAATAATATGAACCCACGTGGTGTTTTGGCTTGTTTTATCAGTTTCGATAAAAATATTTCGGACTCGCGCGAAACGCAATCATTGATATATAGTAATGCGCTTCTCGAAGTTTCATTTATACCATCGTATAATCAGCTGATAACATGGGTTCGGCGAACAATAAGCTTGTTTCCTAAAGAGCAAGAGGGAGAAAAAGGGAGGAGGGGGAGGGGAAGGGGGGGAGGGGACCGGAGACTGCAAACCTACAAAGCCTAAGCCTACTAAGCCCAAGCCTACTAAGCCTAAGCCTACTAAGCCTAAGCCTACTAAGCCTAAGCCTACTAAGCCTAAGCCTACTAAGCCTAAGCCTACTAAGCCTAAGCCTACTAAGCCTAAGCCTACTAAGCCTAAGCCTACTAAGCCTAAGCCTACTAAGCCTAAGCCTACTAAGCCTAAGCCTGCTAAGCCTAAGCCTACTAAATCTAAGCCTACTAAGCCTAAGCCTACTAAGCCTAAGCCTGCTAAGCCTAAGCCTACTAAATCTAAGCCTACTAAGCCTGAGCCTACTAAGCCTAAGCCTACTAAGCCTAAGCCTACTAAGCCTAAGCCTACTAAGCCTAAGCCTACTAAGCCTAAGCCTACTAAGCCTAAGCCTGCTAAGCCTAAGCCTACTAAGCCTAAGCCTACTAAGCCTAAGCCTAAGCCTACTAAGCCTAAGCCTACAATGCCTAAAAACAAAAACCAAAAAATTTAACCCTAAAAGTATAATCTTAAGATCCGAAGCCTAAGGAACCTAAACCTAAAAGCCTAAGCCTATTTAACGTAAGCCTAGAAAAGTTATGCCCCTGTTTACTAGTAAAAAATAAGCCTAAGCCTATTAAGCATAAGTCTACTAAACCAAAATAAACCTGAAAAGTGAAGGCTAACCTTATACACCTATTAGGCTTCAAATGACAGTCCAAAATAAAAAATAAACAATTGGTAACCTTTAAACCCTAAATTTCAAAATCCAAAATCATCAAAAATCATTGTTATGAAAACATTGTAAACGTGGTTTCTTCTTATCAGTACATAAATGTTTTCAAGCCTGACACTTTGTTAACCGCTTAAAACTGTCATATGGGAACAGAGATTAGAGAAGGGGGTTTACAACTTTGTATAGTCTATGATATTGAAAATGGCAAATGATAAACAAACTTAAAACAAAAACTTAAGCCTAAAATAAGCTATAACCTAGAATAGCCTAGCCTAAGCCCAGAAGCCTAAGCCTAGAAGCCTAAGCCTAGAAGCCTAAGCCTAAAAGCCTAAGCCTAGAAGCCTAAGCCTAGAAGCCTAAGCCTAGAAGCCTAAGCCTAAGCCTAAGCCTAGAAGCCTAGAAGCCTAGAAGCCTAAGCCTAGAAGCCTAAGCCTAGAAGCCTAAGCCTAGAAGCCTAAGCCTAGAAGCCTAAGCCTAGAAGTACTTAGCCTGAGCCAAAGCCATGTGCTTACTAAATTTAAGCCCAAGATTGCTAAATCTAACATATGATTGCCTAGTGAAGCTAAACCTAATTCAACTAAGCCTAAGAATAAGCCTACTGCGACTAAACTTTTCCAACCTACCTTAAACTACTAACTCTAAGCCTAAGATTTCTAAACCTAAAATTTTAAAACCAAGAACCTAAAGTTAAGGCAAAGTCGCCTTAAATATTAGTTTAGCTAGACTACAATATCAACATCCCTACACTGAAACCTATTTTAGAAAATACAAGGTCAAAAGAAGTGAAAAGCGTAACAATTACTTGAAACAACTTATCATTTATCAAAGATTAAAATTGACAAAAATACGGTATATGCCAAAAGAATTCACATCTATGTTACAGTAAGCCATCAAAACTCAAGAAATATTACAGTAACTAATAAAAATACAAAAAAATTTTACAGTAACCATACAAAACCCAACAATTTTACTGTAGCAGACCAAACTTCAAATAATGTTACAGTATTCGAGTAATAATGCAAAAAGGTTACAGTAACCAATTGTTTATTCAGTAAACCAAAAATACAAAAGTTGAATCCAGAATACGAGGTTCGTAGCCGTTCAGTCCACATTACAATCCCTCATCACAATAAAAAGGGCAGTCATCATTCTGAAAATAAATAAATAAACTCCCAAAAGAACCAATGTAATTGTTTTTAGAGAGGAAGTGTCTGATCGGAACATAAACAAAATCATTTTTTGAAAATTTTAACTTTTATTAGTTTAAAGCACCCTTGCCTTACCCTGCCCTGCCCTACTCAACCCGACCCTACCCTAATATTAGTATTTATAAAATTTAACACGCCCAATTTTTTTTATCAAAAAAAACCTACCCTACCCAAAACATATACCCAGCCAAAACAAATCTTTTAAAAAATCCACTCCCACACCCTAAAAAATTGTTACCTAAAACACCTACCATACCCTCAAAAAAAAATTTTTTTTTTCTAAATAAAAGGTCCCCCTATCTCAAAAATCTGCCTTATCCTACTACTATCGGTCCCTGTCTTTACCCCTATCAATGCCCCACACCTACCCTTACCCATACCTGCCCCAATCCTTCCCTACTCTACGTACCCTACCTAACCCTATATTTTAATGCCCATGCCCGTACCTAAGACTACGTACCCTAACTCAATAACTAAAAATATACTTTTCATTGTTTTAGAAGTTTTATATCCTGACAAAAACCACATCAAATAAAAAAATACAGTAAACATTTTAGAAAGACAAAACCCACAGTAACATAACACAGATCATGGTGTAGCTGTCATCTTGTGCCTTCTCCAACTGTTCCCACATTGAATCGTTTCCACTTCGTCGATTCCTCAAATATGCGTCATCGTTCGAAATGAAGATGTCAGATCGATTCAGGAAGGGGTGATAATGCGGCTCCAGATGGCCCAGCACTCGCGAATCTAGATCAAAGTCCGAATAGTTCAGATAATATATACTCGTGAAGCGATAGGATTCGGCAACAATTGCGACAAGTAGTAGCGACAACAAAACAAACCGCGTCATCGAGATGAATTGTAGAAATAAAAATGAAAAATAAGAATTTTAAATAAAACAAGTTAAAAAAATTGAAAAAAATATCAAAATATTGTGATCAATGTGCCATGGCATGCCATTTCAAGGCACTGCCCATAAGAAAAATAAGTTTTAGACCTTTAGGCCACTATTCCTAAAATTTGAAGATTATTTTTAAGCTTAAATTCGTTTTTCATACCTAAACCAAGGTTTTGTTACCTAAAACAATATGTATAGGCTTATTCGGACTTTTAATATCAAAACTAGCTAACCAAAAAGCATAAACGAAATCCTATCCGTATTTTACATCAATATGAACAATTTCAGACAATAGAAATTTGAACAACAACAGAAAATGCAATATTATACATGTTTTTCTGATATTATCCACGAAAAATTTAGTTTTCGGACTTGTTTTAGAAGTTTTATATCCTGATTTTGCACGCATTTTAAAGAAAAATTATACTTCTAACTTTTAAAATACAAATCACATCATTTCAAGGCAAAAACTAAAGTTTAAACATTAATATTCATGAACTTAACCATCCTCAATATCTTCTTTTGAACAAAACCTAAAAAACCGAACAAAAATATTAAAAACAAACCCGAATATCACAATAACTGAGTCCTTGGCAATCATTTAGTAAAATAGGGACTTCTCCAGCTCTTATAATGTCAAATTCAATGTCGTCGATATTACACTAGAGCTGTTGGTGGACTTGCTCTCAATTCTTCCTTCTTTGATGCCAATACCAATGTTTCTTTAATAAAAAAAGTAAAAGAAAGACTTGGCTACATAGTTATTGTATATTTATTGAATTCTGAATCCATTATTCTGTCGTTATTCAGAATTTCCGTCGGGAATTGGCCAGTAATGTGACAAGTCTCTCTCTTGTCGAAAAAAATGAGCCAACTGTGGCCCTAGAGTCAAAAAAGAGGAAAATTTGGCCTTTCATCGACGAATTTGTACTATTTTTGATACTTTTGATCATCCTTTGATGTTTTTGTTCAATTTGTGTTCAATGGACAATCTTTTAAAGGATATTCATTAAAGTTTCAGGTAATGACAGGTTTTTAATTTTTGTTATATTGTAGTAGGTAAAAGAGGCAAAACCGGTGTTTTCTGATGGTATCTGACAAAACTTGATAAAGATTTTTTTAGTCAATATTCTTCATGGTCTTTCAGTCAATTTTTCATGGTTTTTCATTTGATATAACTTCCTTTACACTTGTTTTAACTGTTCTTTCACTATCATCTGTTATTATCTGCCATTTTAAATCGTATAACCTTAACATTCTGGCGTTTCCTTGTCTATATGGTATACTTTAACTTATTGTTATGTTCTTCCTCCTCACGAGACGCATTTAACTTAATCCTCGCCAAAAAAACGATCAAAAAATGAAATTGTCTAATAAGAATTGGACAAGTTAAGCCTAGTCCAACGAGTTTTTCATTGTTTTCGGCCGAATTTCGATTTTTTGAAGACCAGTTTTATGAAAAAAAGCTTTATAGGACAAGGTTTTAAAATGGTTTCATATATAAAATGGCATTTTTGGGCCATAACTTCAAAAATTTTGAAATTTTAAACAATTTTGAAATTTATGCAAATTTTTAATTTTTTTTGGGAAAAGTGACGTTTATTGGCTAGCTAAGCCTTAATTTGTCATTCTTTTTTATTTTTTAGCTACAAAATAAATTTCAAAATTTTTGATTATTCTCTGCACGGTGCAAGATTTTTAAAAGTGTTGCCATTTCTTAAAGTTATGAAATGGGTAACATTAAATTTGCTGTATATTTAAAGTACATTATAATAAGTCTTATTATGGTATTTTAAAAATTATATGTAAGACAAATAAGAAATGGCAGAAATTTTAAATTTTTTTGCACGGTGCAAGCTATTTTAAAGTTGTTGCCATTTCTTAAAATTATGAAACAGTTAAGGTAAAACGTAGTGTATATTTAAAGTACAGTATGGTAAATTGTATTATGGTATTTTAAAAAATAAATATAGGTCAAATAAGAAATGACAGAGTTTTAAAAATGTTTTTGCACAGTGCAATTTTTAAATCTCAAAAATTAAAAAAAAACGTTAAAATTAAAAAAAAAACGTGTGATGTATTTAAGTTTTTTTTATTTGTTTTTGTCCAAAGTGTAATCTCTACTCTTTTTAGTCGCCTTAGGGTCTATTAGTAAGGATCGGCCGAGAATTATGGCGGCGCATTTGGCCAGAAAAATGAATTCGTCGCGTTGTGTGTCCGTAGATGAAACAGCACAGAACTCACACAAAAGCTTCGCTGACATTGCTATGGTAGGTTGGGGAAGTGTTGGCGTGGGTTGGTTTTTGGTCATTGAGGAAGTTTTTTGGCTAGAAAAAAAAATTTTTTTGGGGAGGGGGAAGAAGTGAAAAAAAAATTTTGATAGAGTAGGCAAGCATATGATAGGGTAGTGTAGGGTAAGGTAGAGTAGGGTAGTGTAAGTTAGGGTAGGGTAGAGTAATGTAAGGTAGGGTGGAATAAGATAGGGTAGATTACTGTAGTGACAACAAAAATACGTACATATATAGTACTAAAGATTGGGTATGTAACAGTATTATGTGTAGTCGACTGACTACAAACGGAAATTTAATCAGCACTTCTGAAGGCAATAACAATATATGTATGTCATGTAGTAGTGTAATGTTAGAACTATAGTTAAGGTTTTTCTACCCTCATATATATCCCTACTCTACGTTTACTTTGGCCTTAGCCATGCTCTACTCCTACCCTTATCCCTGCATTATCCTTGCTCTACCCCTACCCTTACCCCTGCCTAAGCCATGCACTACCCCTACTCTTACCCCTGCCTCAGCTGTGCTCTACCCTTACCCCTACCCTTACCCCTGCCTTAGTCTTGCTCTACCCCTACCATTACCCCTGCCTTAGCCATGCTTTACCTTTGCCCTTGCCCCTGCCTTAGCTATGCTTTACCCCTACCCATACCCTTGTTTTAGCCTTGCTCTACCCCTACCTTCACCTCTGTTTTAGCCTTGCTACCCCCACCTCTGCCATAGCCTTGCTTTATTCCCGGCCTTACCCTTCCCTTAACCATGATCTACCACTACCCCCTTAACTCTGCTTTAACCTTGCTCTACCCCTGTCTTTACCCTGTCTTAGCCATGCCCTAACCCTACCCTTACCTCTACCCCTACCTTCCTACCCATGCCTATAGAAAGCACTGCAAAGATGTACAATGTAAAACATACATAATGCGTTATTCGTGTCTGTTTTCGGAAACAATCTTTCCAAAGGACATTCAATTTTCGCCTTTTTTTATTTTTTTTTTGTTTTCGATATAACCAAATTGCCCTTATGGCCGAAGATAGTGCCAAGATAAAAGTGTCAAGAGTTTCGAATGCGTTCATGACATTCAAATTTTGTTGAATGTGTTGACAATTTTAATAAGGGGTTTATTTTATAGAGGGTGGGAGTACGGGTAGAGGTGTATTTTTTAGAGAGTAAGGGTACGGGTAGGGGTTGATTTTATAAAGAGTAGGGGTATGGGTAGGGTTGATTTTATAAAGAGTAGGGGTATGGGTAGGGTTGATTTTATAAAGAGTAGGGGTATGGGTAGGGTTCATTTTATAAAGAGTAGGGGTATGGGTAGGGTTGATTTTATAAAGAGTAGGGGTATGGGTAGGGTTCATTTTATAAAGAGTAGGGGTATGGGTAGGGTTGATTTTATAAAGAGTAGGGGTATGGGTAGGGTTCATTTTATAAGGGGTACGGACAGGGGTCTATTTTATGAAAATTAAGGCTTGTTTAAAGAGGGTAAGGGTATGGGTAGGACTTTATTTTATAAAGAATAGCATGCGGGTTGGGGTCAATTTTTTAGGGAGTAAAGGAAGGAATAGGATTTGAAAAGGTGAAAATTAGTAAGGCTTAGCCATAGGGGTAAAGGAGAGGTAGAAGTGACTAGGTAGGGAACTTGGCAAAAAACGGGCAGGGTAAAGCTTAAAAGATGGTAGAGAGGTAGGATTTTAAAAGGTTGGAATTGCTAAGGCTTAGGGGTAGAGGGATAGGCACAAACCAGCTTGAGGTGGATTGTAGTTGAGGGGTTCAAGGTGTGTAAACAGTGTTTTGCCGGACCGTGTCCGGTCCGGTCCGGATTTTCAAAAATTGCAAGATTGAAAATAACTTTTTAGCTTATGGTTTGAAGTTTTAAAAAATAAATAACTTTTGTGAAGGTCGTTCTCATACAAGTTCCTCGCTAAACATTCGGACCGGCCGGACCGAATCGGCCTTGCCGGTCCGAGATTACATTTCGGTAATAACTTGATAGCCAAAGACGGACCTTCACAAAATTTATTTATTTTTTAAAACTTCAAACCATAAGCTAAAAAGTTATTTTCAATCTTGCAATTTTTGAAAATCCGGACCGGTCCGGCAAAACACTGTGTGTAAACAATAGGGAAGAGCTTAAGAAATCTCAGGCCAATGGCGAAAAGTAAGGTAAAAATAACGGGTGATAGGGTGGATTCTGATTCAAAAATAGAAGGGTAGGGTAAAAACAACGATGCTTAACATACTTTTTCGGTTATTTTAAAATCGAAAAATAGATGATTACTATAGCTTTTCACGTAATAGTCGTTCAGTTGCCCAACCTTATGATACATTAACATAGCCTTAGAGAAATTGCAAGAAACGGTGTTACGCAACGTTTTCTGATGTAATATTATTCTCTTTTGTAATATTTGCCTCGATGTAAAACGACCCAACAAATTACTGCGAGTGTTGGGATTTTACTACGATTCACCGCGAGTATAACAATATTATTCGTTTCTGTCTTCGAGGTTAAGGTAGGGCAAATTAAATCATACAAAGCTTTTTTAGGGTAGGCTAGGCTAGAAGATGGTAGGATGACTGCTAAGCTTGTCGTTGGCTAGGATATTATGGGGGTAGGGCAACGTAGAGGATGGTGATCAACATGGACTTAGGAATACCAAGTAATGGGGTAGGTTATTGAACGGGTATGGGTACGGGTAGGAGTAAAGGCTAAGTCTGGGTAAGGTATAGTAGGGTTACGTATTGTAGGGTAGATATAAGGCTATTATAAGGGTATGACTAAACTTTGACCATGGTGAGGCTAGGGTAGTGCCAGGATGAAGCTAGACTGGACTAAGTTGGTTGTTTTTTATCGATTTTTATAATGAGGGAGTACTGTAACTGATTTTTTCAAAATTTTTAATCATTTGCGTTTTTAAAATTTTTTTTTCTTTTTAAATTTGATTTTTTTAGCTAGCCATGCACTCCGGAATCTCATCCCGTCGACAGAGCGAAATGATCTTGGATCCAACTAAAGGTAGGCGACTAAAAATATATTTAAAAAAAATTTTTTTACAATAAAAGTACCGCTATACTAAAATTTAACAGCCGAGAATTTTCAAATTTTGTTGTGAGCTTAAAAAACTTCAAAATTTTCATGCAGACGATGATATTGCTGTCAGTCACTGGCGAACGGCGGCCTAAATAAGTACTAAAAACTTTTTTTGACGGCAAAAAAATTAAAATCCGTGACAGCCGGCTCTTCTTTAAATTTCAAACTAGGAAAAACATCCATTTTTAGTAAAAATTTTATAATTTTTTGAAGTTATACGGTAGATATACTATACTGTATATACAGTTAGTCCACGGACTTTTGGCGCACCCTGTATTGTACTAGAGATTACTCTAGGGCTTAGGTAGCTTTATGGTACAAGTAAGGGAAGGGGAGGGGGGAAAGTAGTGGCAGGGGGACTAGAGATAAAAAAATTGCCAGAGTTTTAATGGTTTTAACATCATACGTTAGGAAGGGGAGGGTAAAGCTACGGCATTGAGACAACGGGACAACTAGGGCAGGGACGTCGTTTGGGGGAGGGGGTTGGTTCGTGGTGACTTCCCAGAGCCGATCCGAAAAAAAACCCACAGGAAAAAAACACGTACAGGTAGTACCTACCTGTGGGTTTATAAATTTTTTTTAAGTCTCTACCCCCCCAGAAAAACCGTAGCGACGTCCCTGAACTAGGGGAATGCTAGGGAATGGGGAGAAAGGAAGGCTATATACATGGGCATGCGAACTATGGCACGTCTAAGGGAGGAGAAGTTTGTGCATGGGGGCTAGGGGAAAGCTAGGCTAAGGCATGAAGACCAGGATTTGGTAGGATAAAACTGGACTGTAAAGCAGGGGTAGGGCAGAGATAAGCTAGGGATAGATTCGGGTTACGATGAGAAAGAGGAATAGTAGTGGTCGGGACGGCATGGTACGGTCATGTTAAGACTAGTATTTCAGGTATTGTACGGTAAGGTGGGGTACGATAGTTAAGGAAAAGTAGGGTAAGGTAGGGTACGGTACGGTAGGGTACGGTACGGTAGGTTAGGGTAGGGTACGGTAGGGTAGGGTGGTACGGTAGGGTAGAGTAGGGTGGGGTAGGGTAAGGTATAAAACTCCGTTTTCCAACTCCTAGTGTAATATGTATGAATCTCATAATAGGTTTTTATTTGCATTTTGAAGAACTCATTCCACTTTTAAGTGCACATCGTAGTTTTTAATATTCGAATAAGACGAAGACTCTGGCACATTTTGTAAACATTACACTTTACATGTTCTGCATAATATATTTATGTTTAGTAGGGGGAGGGACATGTCTGGAGTTGTAAAAAATTTTAAAAGATTTGTTTTCAGGCTTAGGCTAATAAATTATGTTCCGGGCTAGGCTAGGCTTAGACTAGGCTTAGGGTTCGCTTACGTTAGGCTTAGGTCTGATTTTGGCTAGGCGTTAGGCTAAGCTTGGACTAGGCTTAGACTAGGTTTATTCTTAGGCTTGGCTTAGGTTGGTCTTAGGCTGTGCATAGACTGTGCATAGGCTGGGGGGGCCAGGCTTAGAATAGGCTTAGTCTCAGGCTTGGCTAGGTTTAGGCTTAGGCATAGGCATATGCTTAGACTCAGGGTAGGCTTAGGCTGGGATTAGGCTGGGCTTAGGTTAGGCTTAGGCTTAGGCTTGGCTTCGGCTGGGCATAGGCTGGGCTTAGACTGGGCTTGGTCCGGGCTGGGCTGCGCTGGGCTTAGACAAGACTGGGCTTGGCTTCGGCTTGTGCTTGGACTGAGGCTTAGGCTAGGTTTAGTTTTGGCTTAGCTTAGGTTTATATTAAGTTTAGGCTTTGTTTTCGTGCCATTTCATCAAAATATCGATAAAGAAATGGCAGTATAAATAACTTTTCTTCACATGTGTTTCCACTTTTGGTGAACCCTTTATGAGTACATACTCTTTAAATATATTGAGGTATAAAAAATGTTCGTCTTGGACTTTGGAACAACATTTGATAGCAGTAGAAAGTTATTCCAGTTTATTCCTGGGTTTATTATCTTTTTTATGTTTATAAAAAGAGGTTCTCGTTGGTGTAATGAGCACTCGAAAGCTGAATAATCAAGGTATAGGCTTTTGGCTTTGGCTTAGAGATCTTAGGATTGGTAGGGTCGTGGGCTTGTGCTTTTGGTTTTAGGTTTAGGCTAGGCCTAGGCTATGCTTAGACAAAGCTAGGTCCCAAAAAGATTTCGTCTTATGCTAGGGTTTGGCTTAGGCTAGGCTTGGGTGAGGCACACACAATGCATACGCTAGGCCATGAATAGGCTAGTTTTAGGATTAAACTAAGCCTAGGCTTAGGTTTCTAGGCTTAGGTTTCTAGGCTTAGGCTTCTAGGCTTAGGCTTCTAGGTTTAGGCTTCTGGGCTGAGGCTTTTGGGCTTATGCTTCTATGCTTAGGTTTCTAGGCTTAGGCGTCCAGGCTTGGTCTTCTAGGCTTAATCTTTTAGGTTTATATTCAGGGCCGGGCGGGGACTTTTGGTCTTGGGGCAGGGGCAAAATTTTTTTTCCGAAAATTCACAGGGGGACCACGTTCAACTTTTTTTTCAAAAAATTTTTTTTTGTGGGGGTACCTCCTTCCCCGTCTTCCCCCCTCCTCCCCCCCCTCGCGCCCGGCCCTGTTTATATTGAGCAAGCTTAACTTTTTATGATTTTTAAGCTTGTTCCTCTTAGCGTGTTTTGCTACCGTCGTACCCCTTCTTCCAGATACCCCTTTGCACTCCTTTTAGACACCCCCTTGCTTTCCTTCCACAACCCCTCCCTGTCCCTATCCTTTTAAGGTTTTTCCAAAATTAAAACTTTGGTTCGAATTAAACCGTTTGTTGACATTTCCAATGTAACTCAAAAACAAAATGCGGTCGAACTTGAGGCGGGGGGAACGTACTATTCCTTTTGTTATTTCCTCATTCGATTTCCGTCCCAAAACACAGCATTAGAAACAGTCAAATATCGCCATAATTGGAGTCGATTCGAGTTCCGGTAATTTTGCTAATGAACTCGCGGCACGGTCCGTTCCCTTTTTTGGGTAACAGATTTTTCGGGTTTGGCGGGTTTGTCCCAAATACTATAAAGTATTATGCAGCTTTTAACGTAACGGTTCACGCACTTTGTTGTTTTGACATTTGTTTCCACTTCGAACGTCATAATGTTCATGTTACTTTGGAAAGTGGGGTGGTTGGAAGGGAGTACCTCGAAGACGAAAGGAGGGGTGTCTAGGAGGGAAGGGACACAATATCCGGAAAGAGAAGAAGGGGTTGTCTGGAAGGGGTATCCAGAAGACGAGTGATGGTACTCTATTGGTAGAGTGGGGTCAGTGAAGCGACACATAATTTTTTTAATTGTGTGGGTGGTTACTTTCAATTTTTTTCGAGGTTAGTGGGCGGGGCGAAATGACCCGAATTTGCATATTTCTCCTGATTTTTTGCATCGGTTTAGGTTTTGCAGGCTGCGGGGGACATGTTATACGATCACAAACAAAATTCAGTTTAAAACTACGAAAAAAAGAAACAATGGCGAGAACTTTCTTTACAAAATACAAAATGTCAAGAACGTTCTTTACAAGACAAAAAACGGCAAGAACTTTGTTTACATGACAAAAAAATGCTAGAACTTTCTTTACAAAACGAGAAATGGCAAGAACTTTCTTTACAAAACAAAAAATGGCGAGAACTTTCTTTACAAATCAAAAAATGGAAAGAACATTTTTTACAAAACATAAAATGGCAAATGTATTTTCAAGATTTGCCAAATTACAAAATGCCTCCAGTATCGTGCACACGATTCGAAACTGTCAATTGCGCTTGTTGTTTATCCGTTTCGAATTATTTTGCGTTTTTTGGAATACTAAATTCAAATTTATTGGCCAACAAAAAAGCGATTATTTGGGGGAATTATTGTTTTCCAGTCGAAATTAGCCGCCAGTACGACTTTAATTATATCATTTTTAAGTTTAGCCTAAAATGACTTTTTTATAATGCCCTACCCCTACCCCTACCCCTACCCCTACCCCTACCCCTACCCCTACCCCTACCCCTACCCCTACCCCTACCCCTACCCCTACCCCTACCCCTACCCCTACCCCTACCCCTACCCCTACCCCTACCCCTACCTCTACCCCTACCCCTACCCCTACCCCTACCCTTACCCCTACCCCTACCCCTACCCCTACCTCTACCCCTACCCCTACCCCAACTTCTATCCCTACTCCTAACCCTACTCCCAATCCCTTTTCCATCCTTTGCCCTTACTCTTATCTTGCCCCTCTCCTTGCTTTAGCCTTGCTCTACTATTGCCTTAACCTATGCCCAACCTCTACCTTTGATCATTCCTCCCCCCCTCGCCATCATTTTTTTCCTATTTTTAGCCTTAAACGTGCCTTAACATATGATCTATTACTACTTATGTTTATACCTCTATCAGGGCCGGGCGGGGACTTTTGGTCTGGGGGCAGGGGGTCCAAAAAATCGGCACAGGTGCCGTTTTTGCGAAAATTTTTTTCCAAAAAATCCACAGGGGGGACCACGTTCAAATTTTTCGAAAATTTTTTTTCTGGGGGGAGTACCCCCCCTTCCCCCCCTCGCGCCCGGCCCTGACCTCTATATCATTTTGATTGTTCTACTCATGATTATGTTCATGCGGTTTATGCTCTCAGTTGTGCCTTACTTATTTTGCTGCCTATTTTTAATTTTACAGTATTTTTAATGTTCATGGCTCAGCATTAGTCCTACATACTACCAAAAGTAATTTTTTTATTTTCAGCCGCGCCAGTGCCTTCGATGGACGAAAGGATAGTATTGAATGTTGGTGGTATTCGTCACGAAACGTATCAAGCTACATTGAAAAAGATTCCGGCTACACGGTTGTCACGCCTAACTCCAGCTCAAGCCAACTTTGACCCTTTATTAAACGAGTACTTTTTCGATCGGCATGGCGGGATCGTCTTTGAACAGGTAAGAAGAGGGGTATTGAGTGGATACGGCAAGGTGAGACAGGGTAAGACAGTGTAAGGTAGCACTAGATAGGGTAGAGCAGGATAGGGTAAGGTAGATAAAAGCGAGTTAAGATAGAGTATGGGATTTTCTGGGCAGAACACTTTTTGGGCATGGTAATTTGTTTAGGTATGGAGAATTTCTGGGCATGGGAAATTTTTTAGGCATGGTAAAAATGTTGGGCATAGTAAATTTTTTGGGCAGTGTAAATTTTTGGTGGCGTGGTAAATCTTTTGGGTATGGATAATTTCTGGGCGTGGTAAATTGTTTGGGTATGGTAACTTTTCGGGCATGACATTTTTTGGGCATGGCAATTTTTTGGGCATGATAAAAATTTTGGGCATGGTAAATTTTTTGGACATAGTAAATGTTCGGGCATGAAATCTTCTCGGACTTGTCATTTCTTGGGCATGGTAAATTTTTTGGGAAGTGTAAATTTTTTTGGGCATTGCTAAATTATTGGACATGGTAAATTTTTTTGGGCATGGCAAGTTTTTTGGGTATGGCAATTTTTTCGGGCATGGTAAATTTTTTGAGCATGATAAATTTATTAGGCATGGTAATTTTTTTGGACTTGGTATTTCTTTGGGCATGGCATTTTTTTGGGCATGTAAATTTTTTGGGCATGGCAAATTTTTGAGAATAGGTAGGGTAGAGTGGGGTAGGTTTGTAAGGGTATTTGTGGAATGACTAGCTATTTTTTAGATACTAAACTACTACAGAACGGGCAAGCTTCATTATCCAACGTCAGTTTGTGGCCCTTTATTCGAAGAAGAACTCGAATATTGGGGTTTGGACGCTAATCAGGTGGGTTTTAATCATTCTTTAAAAAAATTTTTTTTTGTTTTTAGGCTTTAAGGAGTAGTCTTGAGAGAGGGTAGATTAGGCCTAAGGTAGGGTAAAACGTTTAAAGATAACGGTTGGGGTAGATGTAGAGGTACGCGTCGAGGTAGTTGAAGGGGTGGCGGTGGTTTTGCTCAAATTTTGAAATGATAAGTCATTTTTTAGGTAGAGCCATGTTGTTGGATGACATATACACAACACAGGTAAGTATTTTTTCATTTAAAAAAAATTTTTTAAACAAAAAAAAATTTTTGATTTTTTGAAATTTTTAAATTTAGAGACACCCAGGAAACCCTAGCAGTGTTAGACAAGCTAGAAAGCTCATGTAATATTGAGGACAATCCACAAGAATTCGAACAGACAATGATGAGAAAGTTCGGTTGGGAAGAGCATTATTATACAGGAGAAGTGACCAGTTGGATGAGGTTGAAACCAAGGATATGGGCATTGTTTGATGAACCTTACTCTTCTACGGGTGCTAAGGTAAGCTAATTTTACCCTACACTACTCTACCCTACCTTACCCTACCCTACTCTACCCTACCCTACCCTACCCTACCCTACCCTACCTTACCCTACCCTACCCTACTCTACCTTACCCTACTCTACCCTACCCTACTTTACTCTACCCTACCCTACCCTACCTTACCCTACCCTACCCTGCTCTACCTTACCCTACCTTACCCTACCCTATTTTGCCCTACCCTACTCTATCCTACTCTACCTTGCTCTAAAGTATTCTAACTTACTCTACTCTACCGTAACCTACTCTACCTTGCTCTAGTCTGCCCTATTCTACCTTTCCCTACTTTACTATGCTCTGTTCTACTCTACACACTCCTATTTAACTTTGCTTTACAGTATCTGTTTTCTACCGCCTAGGTTATACTCTACCCTAACTTTCTTTACTTTACCGTACTCTAAACCTACCATAACATACTATACTGTATATATACGTTATTTGGTTTTTAACTCGCTTTCGCATTCTAACATAACATTTGCTTGTTCTCCCCGACCTGAAACTCACTACAATTTTGTTTTACTCTACCTTGGTCTACCGTATCTTGACATATAATTTTTCCATTTTCAGATAGTAGCAGCAATCAGTGTCTTCTTTATTGTAATGTCGATCGTATCATTTTGCCTTAAGACACATCCAGGCTTTCGAGTCTACAGTTTGGCCTACGAGAATCATAGTGAAATTGTGAATGGGTACTACACAGTGTCGAGGGTCAACACCGAACCGATGCTCATTTTTTGGATTGTGAGTATTAAATTTTTTTTTAATTTTTGAAAATTGTAAATAAAGTTTTTGCAAAACAAAAATATTTTTAAAAAATGCCGTTTTCTATCATTGTAAACAAAGTTATAGCGGTTTTTCGAAAGTTCACAAAAAATGAAATTTAACTTTAATTTTGTAAAGAAATTTTCTTCTATCTGTCAAACATTTCTAAAAATTATTTTTTTTACCATTGTAAACAAAGTTATTGCGAAATAACTGATTTCTGCACCGTGCAGCGCCATTCGTCTTTTTTGCACAGTGCGAAAGCGCGATCCCGTCCGATCTGGCAAGTTAAGCAACGGTGCACTTGATTATAAAAAGTTCGAGGAGCACTGGGTGAAAACAAGGTTTTTGGGGTTTTTAAGGTGCTGCAAAGAAAGTTTTTGCTTTTTTTGTTTTGGGGTGGTAAAAAATGGCATTTTAAGCTTATAGAGAAATGGAAATAAAATTTTTGCCATTTTTTGTTTTGTAAAGAAAGTTCTTGTCATTTTTTGTTCTGTAAAGAAAGTTCTTGCCATTTTTTGTTTTGTAAAGAAAGTTCTTGCTATTTTTTCAAATCTATAATATTTTCAGATAGAACTCATCTGTAATATGTGGTTTACTTTTGAGATTTGTATGCGTTTCCTCTTCTGCCCCTGCCGTATCAAATTCTTCAAGAACCCTTTAAACATAATCGACTTGATATCAACATTGAGCTACTATGTAGACATGGTAATGGTCAGGTTACTGCGAAATGAAGCGCCTAAGGACGTGATGGAGTTTTTGTCGATGATTCGTATCCTAAGGCTATTTAAGTTAACTCAACATCATCGTGGACTTCAGATTCTGATCCATACCTTCAGGGCATCGGCCAAGGAATTGTTTTTGCTGGTGTTTTTCCTTGTTTTGGGTATAGTCATCTTCGCCACGTTGATATATTATGCCGAGAAGACGCAGGTGAACCCGCATAATCAGTTTAATAGCATACCTGAAGGGCTATGGTTCAGTATCATCACCTTTACTACGGTAGGAATGATTCTTTTTTTGTTTTTATATATTAATTGTTTTCCTTTACCCCTACCTTACCCTACTTTGCCCTATCTCAAACAACCCTACCATAACTGTACCCCTACCCCTACTCCTACCCTGCCCTTCTCAACCCTACCGTACCCTTACCTGTACCCCATACGATGCTTCTAACATAGAAAATTTCCTACCCCCACTCCTATCCCTGCCTAGTCATGCTCTATCCTTACCTTTAATCGTGCCTTAGAGCAAGTCTACCCCTATGTTTTATCATAACGGACGTTTTGTGCTTTGCACTAGCCTTACTATACCATTTCAGGTTGGATTTGGAGACATGGTACCCAGAACATATCTAGGCCGGCTGGTTGGTGGGCTATGTGCTATAATGGGCGTTTTGACTAGTAAGTAGGCCGTCATGACATCTAATGTAAACTAGCTTTTCCTAGCCTGAATCATGAAAGAAAAAAATAGGAAAATTATTTTAGTCGCCCTGCCAGTCCCAGTCATTGTGAGCAACTTTTCCATGTTTTACAGTCATTCACAGGCCAGAGACAAGCTACCAAGGAAGAGACGAAGAGTGTTGCCTGTTGAACAGGTAAGTCTAGTTTTATAAGCCTAGGCTTAGCCTAACCCAAGCCACCCAAGCCACTTCTAAGCCAATTCTAAGCCTCAGCCTAGAGGATGTTTAGCCTAAACCTAACAAGGGTTGGGACACTTCCGTTGTAAGCCTAACTCTAGCCATGGTTCTAGTCTAGCGCTAGTCTGGTTTTGGCCTAGCTTAGTTCTAGCACAGCCTAACCTAGTTCTAGTCTATCTTTAGCCTAGTTCTAGTCTGGCACTAGCCTAGTTCTAGTCTAGTTCTAGCCTAGTTCTAGTCTAGCCCTAGCCTAGTTCTAGTCTAGCCCTAGCCTAGTTCTAGCCTAATTTTACCGAAGTTTAGCCAAATTCTAGTATAAAAAGTAAATTATGATGCAATAGTCGCTCAGTTGCCTAACCTTATGATATATTAACATAGCCTTAGAGAAATTGCAAGAAACCGTGTTACGCAACGTTTTCTGATGTAATGTTGTTTACTTTGGCAATATTTGCCTCGATGTAAAACGACCCAACAAATGACTGCGAGTGATGGGGTTTTACTTCGAATTTCTTTGAGGTTAGGGCAGGGTAGAGAGAGGTTAGTTCATTTAATTTTTTTAATCATTTTTCCTACTCTGCCTTACCTGAAAGACTTGGGTAGGCTAGGATAGTCTGCATACCGTTAAAGTAGGGAAAGGCATGGACATTATAGGGGTAGGGCATCAAAGAAGACAGTCATAGGCATGGAATCAAGAATAAATGGGGTAGGGTAGGGGTAGGCCATCGGAAAGGTGGTGGGTAGGAGTAGAAGCAACGGTAGGGGTAAAAGTAGACAGGAATATGTTATGATAGGTACATCAGGGGTTGGAGGATCGGTATAAGCAGGGGTAGAGGTAAGACTGAGGTATGTTCAAAGGTAGGGTTAGGTAACGTAGTGTAGGGTACGGTAGGGTAAAGTAGAGTAGGGCAGGGCAGGGTACGGGTAGGTTAGGGTAATGTAGTTTAGGATACATTAGGATATACCCAACTAAGCTACACTCACTTCCAGGTCCGACTTCAAGTTCGTCGTCATGCTCAAGTCCTTGAGGCTACAACAACACAACGCAGAAACGCCATAGCCTCGGTTTATAATGACATACCAAAGTTTGCTACGGTCAACTGTAACAACAACAATAATAATATAAAAAGGGATAACAGCTTCACGAATTTGAGTGTAAATAATGGCAGCGTTTGTGGTAATAACGTCAATAATGGTACAAATGGGTTGTAAATTTCTGAATTTGAATAAATTTTAAATTATTTTTGAAATTTTTACATAGAAATTAAATTTTGTAATGAAAGTTCTTTCTTTACAAAACAAAAAATGGCAAGAACTTTCTTTACAAAACAAAAAATGGCAAGAACTTTCTTTACAAAACAAAAAATGGCAAGAACTTTCTTTACAAAACAAAAAATGGCAAGAACTTTCTTTGAAAAGCAAAAAATGGCAAGAACTTCCTTTACAGAACACAAAATGGCAAAAACTTTCTTTACAAAACAAAAAAATGGCGGGAACTTTTTTTACAAAGCAAAAAATGGCGAGAACTTTCTTTACAGACTTTTTTATATGCCCCACCAAAAAGTAAAGCGTTCCAAAATTTCTCGTTATTCAGCCACTGATAAATCAGGGCTGAAACATGAGCTAACCTCAAACTTGGATTATTAAACCGAACGTAACCCAAGTCTATGCGAATGCCATAAAATGGTCACTTGTTCCCTGGCTGGGAAACCCTTTGCTTTTAGCTCGCATTTGTTTCTCTTACCGTCTCTCTCTTTTTCTCACTCTCTCACTTGTTTCTCTGCCCCTCTCTTTATTGTTTGGTCTCTCATTTTATCGGCCCTAGTGTTTTGCCCGGTCCGGTCGTAACTTAAAGTTTTTGGGTCCGGTCCGAACCCAAAATTTTCGAGTCCGGTCTGCAAAAATTCCTGTTTTAGTCCGTCCGGTCCGGCAAAACACTGATCTGGGTCTATTTTTTGGCCAGAAAACAAGAGCCGAAAAACAAGAGAATAAAAATCCGTGAGAGCTGTCAGAGAAAGAAAAGAGAAAAAGAGCGCTGAAATCTGAGAGAGTGCTAGAGAAGGCAATTGGCGCCTAAAAAAGAAGTTTCTCAGTCAGGAAACAAATCAGCATATTATGGCATTCGAATGGGCTAACACTCTCTTCGGTTTAATAACCCAAGTTTGAGGTTAGCTCATGTTTCAGCTCTGAATTGACAGTGGCTGATAACGAGAAATTTTGGAACGCTCTGCTTTTGTGGGGCATATAAAAAAGTCTGTAAAGAAAGTTTTTGCTTTTTTTTGGTTTGTAAACAAATTTCTTGCTATTACAAAGTTCTTGCTATTTTTTGGTTTGTAAAGAAAGTTCTTGTCATTTTTTAATTTTAAACTTAATTTGACTTTTTCCGGTATAAGTTGTCACCCACAGCATGCAATTTCTAAAACTTTTTAAAAATCATCAAAAATATGCAAATTTTGGGTCATTTTACCACGCCCACTGACCTCGAAGAGGCTTGAAGATATCCTAAATAAATTTAGCTATAAATACAAACATTTTTCGACCAATATCAGTCATTTGCATATCTTTTGCGGTCATGTACGACTCGTTGAAGCGCGATCGCGCCCTTATGATCACGGCTTCAGCCATCACAACCTTGACCCTATTATCAACGATCATCGTACTACCAATGGCTACACTATACGTTCAGCATAGAAATACCATGATGTTGGAGAGTGTGGAGTATTGTAAGGTGAGTAGCACTCAAAATGGCAAGAACTTTCTTTACAAAACAGAAAATCGCAAGAACTTTCTTTACAAAACAAAAAATGGCAAGAACTTTCTTTACAAAACAAAAAATGGCAAGAACTTTCTTAACAGACTTTTTTTATATGCCCCACAAAAAATAGAGCGTTCCAAAATTTCTCGTTATCAGCCACTGTCAATTCAGAGCTGAAACATGAGCTAACCTCAAACTTGGGTTATTAAACCGAAGATAAACCTAGCCTATTCGAATCCCATAAGATGGTAAATTGTTTTCTGAATGGGAAACCCTTCGCTTTTCGCGCACATTTGTTTCTTTTACCGTCTCTCTTTTTTTCTCACTCTCTCTTAATTTGCAGTTTTTTTCTCTGGCCGCTCCCCCTTTACTGTTTGCCCTCTCGTTTTATCAGCCCTTTTTTCTTTCGGCCAGAAAACAAAAGGCAAAAAACGAGAGAATCAAAACGGAGAGAGCGGTCAGAGAAAAAAAAAGAAAAAAAGAGCGCCGAACTCTGAGAGAGAGCTAGGGAAGACAATTGGCGCTAAAAAGAGGGTTTCTCAGTCAAGAAACAAGTGATCATTTTATAGCATTCGAATGAACTGTGTCTGTCTTCGGTTTAATAACCCAAGTTTGAGGTTAGCTCATGTTTCGGCTCTGAATTATCAGTGGCTGATAACGAGAAATTTTGGAACGCTTTACTTTTGGTGGAGCATATATAATAAAATACAGTCCTTGTCGATCTGCTATTGTTGTTTTGTATAGAAAGTTTTGCCATTTTTCGTTTTGTAACCGACGTTTTTGTATTATTCAGTTTGTAAAGAAAGTTCTTTCCAATTTCTGTTTTGTAAGGAAAATTCTTGCCATTTTTTGTTTTGTAAAGAAAGTTCTTGCCATTTCTTGTTTTGTAAAGAAAGTTCTTGCCGTTTTTTGTTTTGTATAGAAAGTTTTTGCCATTTTTTGTTTTTCAAAGAAAGTTCTTGCCATTTTTTGTTTTGTAAAGAAAGTTCTTGCCATTTTTTGTTTTGTAAAGAAAGTTCTTGCCATTTTTTGTTTTGTAAAGAAAGTTCTTGCCATTTCTTGTTTTGTAAAGAAAGTTCTTGCCGTTTTTTGTTTTGTATAGAAAGTTTTTGCCATTTTTTGTTTTTCAAAGAAAGTTCTTGCCATTTTTTGTTTTGTAAAGAAAGTTCTTGCCATTTTTTGTTTTGTAAAGAAAGTTCTTGCCATTTTTTTTGTTTTGTAAAGAAAGTTCTTGCCATTTTTTGTTTTGTAAAGAAAGTTCTTGCCATTTTTTGTTTTGTAAGGAAAATTCTTGCCATTTTTTGTTTTGTAAAGAAAGTTCTTGCCATTTCTTGTTTTGTAAAGAAAGTTCTTGCCGTTTTTTGTTTTGTATAGAAAGTTTTTGCCATTTTTTGTTTTTCAAAGAAAGTTCTTGCCATTTTTTGTTTTGTAAAGAAAGTTCTTGCCATTTTTTGTTTTGTAAAGAAAGTTCTTGCCATTTTTTGTTTTGTAAAGAAAGTTCTTGCCATTTTGAGTGCTACTCGCCTTAAGAAAGAAATAGCTTTTGAAATGGTAAACTTAATTTTTCTTTTGGTATAACATGTCCCAGCAGCTCGCGGGCCTTAGAATTACCAAAAAGGGTAGGTTAGGTTAAAAAAAACCCCCGAATTTGCTGTTTTGTGCCGTTTTCTAACCGTCAATGATACCCACCTTACACTACACTCTGGTTATTATAAAATTGCTTTTAAAAGTTTATATCTTGTTTTGTGTTTACAATTGTTTCTTCTGTAAAGGCATGTTTTGTCATATTTTATTCTTGTTCAGGCCGAAAGCAGATCCATTTGGGTTCAGCTGACAAAATATGAAAGACTTCGTGAAAAACGTGCGGAGAAGTGGGTTGGAAGCTCATGTAAGTTGGCTTAATTAACGTCTATAACGTAAACTAAATAAAGATTGATAACTTTCTTTATCTGATAGGCTGTACCTGCCAACAAGGTCCACGTGGTGTGCAAGGTAAACCCGGTCGACCAGGAAAAGATGGTGTACCAGGTGATCAAGGACTACCTGGTCGAAGTGGAAAACATGGATCATACTTGTCAGCTGAGTCTATTGCTGAGGAACCTTGTCAGACTGTGAGTTTAAAAAAATTTAAAATTTTTTAACAATTTGAGTTGAAATTGAAATTTTAGTGCCCACCAGCTATGGTTGGACCACCTGGACTACCTGGACTGAAAGGTGAAAGAGGTCCCGCTGGGTAAGTTTTAATTATCCTAGTGTACCTTATCCTACAGTACCCTACCTTACTATATTGTGACTTACCTGACCTTACCCTACCCTAACCTACCTTATCACTATACAGTAACCAACTCAATTCTAGACCACCAGGCGAGCCAGGCTTCCCAGGAAACCCAGGAGAGAAAGGTGAGCCAGGTCCACCAGGTCCTCAAGGTCAGCCCGGTGATCCGGGATTCACTGGTCCAGCCGGCGATCCAGGCCAAGTTATAATTGGCTCACCTCAAGGCCCACCAGGACCACCGGGACTAATGGGACCACGTGGTCGAGTCGGAAAAACTGGTATAGATGGTGCACCTGGAGACAGTGGTCCTCGTGGTACTGTGGGTGAGATTGGTGAACGTGGTACTAAAGGTCGGAGGGGCCGAAATGGTCCTAGAGGACCACCTGGAGAGCCTGGTACTAAAGGAATTTGTGGGCATTGTCCTAAGCCTAACGATGATACCGAGACGCTGATTGGTACTGGAGTTGAGATTTCGAAAAGCGATTTTGAGTACGTTACTGGACCTCCTAGTACTTTTAAGGGACATGGTACTGGAGTTATTGGTACTGGGTCGACTGGTACTCATAAGTACGGCACCGGCTCAACTGGTACCCATAATGAGTATGGTATAAGATCAGCTGGAGCACCATCGCAGTACGTCCCAAGACCACCAGCAGTACAAGCAGAGCCTACAACAACATCCAACCCATCTACTACAACATCAAATCAACTGCCAATCAAAGTGTATGGTACTAAGACCTTCTCGAAACAGTTTTATATGAGACGACGTGGTAGAGAACGGGCGTAAAGAAAGTTTCTGCTAATAAATGTTTTTTAACGCCATGAACCTCTTAAGTACGTTTTAAATTAGCTATCTTTTACCATGAACCATAAGTTTTTTAATAAAAGGTCAAGTAAACACAATACATAATCGTAAGGTCATTTTTAATTTGTTGCTTAAAGTGCACGTTGTTTTTTGAAGCATAAAAGTACAGTTTCCTAAAGCGTATAGTTTAATTTCATATTTTTAATCTTTAGGCTTTCTGTAATTTTTAAGCCTATGGTCATCATTAAAGGCTTAAAATAATAGGTATAAGCCTAAAGTCATCGCTTAACTTACTTTAATTCCGAAAATTCTTTTTGATAACTTAATTAAATTTTTTTGTTACATAGCTGTTTAAATGTTTTTGTAGCATATATTAGCATATAATTTAGATAATGTAATGCGTAAGGTAAGGTTTGTTAATGTAGGGTACGTTATCAAAAGATATGATAAAGGGAGGTACGAGTAAGAGTAATCGTAGAGCTAACGCTAAAACTACGGTTAGACTACAGTTCTGGGCTAGGGCTGTGGGCTAATTCTCTGCGGGAAGGCTCTAGGCTAGGGCTGTGAGCTAAGTCTCTGCGCTAAGGCTCTAGGCTAGGGCTCTGGGCTAGGACTCTGGGCTAGAGATATGGGCTAGGACTCTGGGCTAGGGTTCTGGGCTAGGGCTCTGGGCTAGGGCTCTGGGCTAGGGCTCTGGGCTAGGGCTCTGGGCTAGGGCTCTGGGCTAGGGCTCTGGGCTAGGGCTCTGGGCTAGGGCTCTGGGCTAGGGCTCTGGGCTAGGGCTCTGGGCTAGGGCTCTGGGCGGGCTAGGGCTCTGGGCTAGTGCTAGAGTACAATAAGGTAAAAAATAGCTAATCTAAAACGTACTTCTTAAAGTTCTAAAAATAGCCTTCAACTCTGTCTTATCACAAAACCCAAAACCCGAAGGGCATTTCGATAAATTTTAAATTCAAAAACATGCCCTTAGGCGTGTTTTTCGCTAAAAAACCCTGCAAACTGTTTTAGGGTCAGCGCATTAGTAAGACGGAGTTCCTGCTCTTTCGATTCTTGATTCTTTTTTCGTTTCTAAATGGCGTTTTTCTCGAGAATTGTAGCGCTCACAATTTACTCGTTTCTAGATTTGTTTTTTGGGTTTGAGGGTGGTTCTTGCGGTTTTTAAAAATGTCTTAGATTTGATCAGATAAAGCTTTTTTTTGAAATTTTGGAGGCTTAGGCTTAGGTTTGGTGGACATAGAGCTAAGAAAAATAAGATTGAACATATACTTAGATTTAGATTTTAGAGTTACTCTTAGGCTCAGGCATAGGCTTAGACTTAAGTTTATGCTTAGGCTTTAGTTTAGGTTTAGGCTTAGGCTTAAGCTTAGACTTAAGTTTAGGCTTAGACGTAGGCTTTAGTTTAGTTTTAGGCTTAGGTTTAGGTTTAGGCTTAGGCTTTAGTTTAGGCTTAGGTTTAGACTTAGGTTTTAGTTTAGTTTTAGGCTTAGGTTTAGTCTTAGGCTTAGGGTTAGGCTTCAGTTTAGGCTTAAGCTTAGACTTACCTCAGGCTTAGGCTTAGGCTCAGGCTTAGGCTTCGGCTTAGGCTTGGGCTTAGGCTTATCCTTAGGCTTAGGCTTCGGCTTAGGCTTAGGCTTAGGCTGAGGCTTAGGCTTAGGTAGGCTCAGGCTCAGGTACAGGCTTAGGTTCAGGTTCAGGTTCAGGCTTAGGCTCAGGCTCAGGCTCAGGCTCAGGCTCAGGCTCAGGCATAGGCTCAGGCTCAGGCTTAGGCTCATGCTCATGCTCAGGCTTAGGCTTAGGCTCAGGCTCAGGCTCAGGATCAGGCTCAGGCCCGAGCTCAGGCTCAAGCTCAGACTTATGTTCGTGTTCATGCTCAAGCTCAAGCTCACGCTTAGGCTTAGTCTTTGAAACTTAGGTTTTGAGTTCGGGCTTAGTCTTTAAGAGTGAAAAACAAGCCGAACCCAACTCTCAGGCCCGGCTTGTTGTAAGTTTTGCTCAAGGCCGACCTGGCTTAGAAGTTAAGTTTTTTTTTAAATTTTTGGTTTGTGACATTTTTAAACAAGCACTTTTTTGAAGTTGTAAACAAATTAAAGTTGATCATAAATTAAAGACAAATTGAATAATTAAGAAACAACTTTGTTTACACCTAAAACTCAAACTTGAATGAAAAAACTTTGTTGACAATTCATTTGGTCAAAAGAAACTTGAAATTTGAATGATAATCCTGACATGATCAATTTTATAAAAAGCAGCGTATGAATTGATCTTTGATGTTTTGGAAAGATTATACCTTGATCGTGGTTTAGACTAAGATCATATCTGCTGAAGTGAGGTGTCTGTCACAGGTGTGAGTTGAGGTGTGTAGACAATAACAGCAAGGGTACACGGAAGTGGTTTTGCAAAATAATTTTAGATTTACTATATGTAGTAATAGAGGGGTAGAGGATTAAGGGTTGACGAGGAGAGTGGTGGGTAGGGTAGGGTAGGGTAGGGTAGGGTAGGGTAAGGGGATAGGTTTTGAAAAAGTTTTGGAGGTGTCTAGGGTAGAGTCAGAAAAGGTGGCACGGTAGAGTTGAGTAAAAGGACGGTAGACAGAGTAGACATGAGTAAAAGACTGTAGTCAGAGTAGAGATGACAAAATATAAGGTTATCAGAGTAGGCTTAAGGGTAAAGTTGGCGGGGTAAAATTCAGAAACTGTAAGTTGAGCAGGGCAGGATTGAGATAACGTCAGTAGAGAATGATAGAGTTGAGGCAATGTTCTTTATAAGAAAGAGGAAGGTTGACTGGTTAGGGTTGAGAAGAAAGAGGAAGGTGAACTAAATAGAATGCATATGTAAGTTGGGGTAAAGTAGAGCTGAAGATGGAAGAGCTGGGTGAGTTAGAGTAGGGGGGGGGAGGGGAGGAGGGTAAAGGGGCTAAAAGAGAAGGAGAATATGGAAGAGGAGGAGTAAACTAGAATAACTTTGATTTTTAGGCTTGAGAAAAGCTATGGTGACAAAAGAAAATGAAGTTTTATTAAGGGGGTGGGGTAAAATGTTTTCTTTTTTTGGGGGGGGGGGGAGGGAAGTAAAATGTAAGTAAAAATGTTATTAGATTTGCTGCTAAGCTACTTTTTAAGCTATATTTTACTGAAAAGGTAGTTTTGTTTGGTTGGCGGGGTAAAACATTTCTTAGGGCGGTAAGTGTTTTTGTTAATTTTTTATTGCCATATAGCTTACTCTACTCTACTTTACCTTATCCTATCTTACTCTACCCTACCCACTTTATCTTACCATACCTACGCTATTCTACACTGCTTTACCTTGCCCTATCTTATTCTGCTCTACCCTACTATAAGCTTCTGTATTGTGCCTTGCCCTAACCTACTCTTCACAATGTTTTTTTTAAATTTTGCAAATTTTGAAATCAATTAGATATAGGATTTTTAAGTACCTTGTGGTTATTTCTACAATCTTGTTGTCCTTGTTTTCCTGCAATAACATTTGGAATAGGCAATGAAACGTTTATCAAAGTCTTTTTTTTGTTTTATTATCATTGCTATCAGATGATTTTTTGAGGATAAAACGAAAAACGTGTTTTTAAAGGGTTTCTTAAATACGTATTAGTGTTACTGTTCAACTTTGATTTTGTATTTTGAACATTTTTTTGAAATTTTTTGGAATTTAAAAACTTTTTGAAAATTAAAAAAAATTTTGAAAAAATTAATTTTTTTTTGAATTTTCGTGTATTTTTTTGTATACTGTTGTTTTTTTACTATTTAAAATTTAAGTGCTTAAATTTTTTTGAAATTTTGAAATTTAAAATTCTTTTTTGAAATTTCAAAATTTTTTGAAAATTTTTTTTTTTAATTTTTAAATTTTTTGAAATATTAAAATTTTTAGATTTCTGTGCTATTTCTTTTTGTATGCTGTTGTTTTTTACTGTTCATAGTTTAATTTTCTGAAATTTTTTTAAATTTCAGCTTTAAAATTTTTTTTTAAAAATTTTAAAACGTTTCAAAAAATTAAATTTTAAAGTAATGCCATTCTTTTTCAGATGATGTCCTCAAATGAGCTGTGTTATATTGTAACTTTTATCGTTTATGCCATATTCAGCACTTTGTACACCTTATACACAGCTCTAAACCATTACATGGAAGTGGCTGAACTTAAATTATTACCACAGAAATTGAAAGTTGAAATCAAAGAAGATGAACTCAATGCCATTACTTATATGTTAGAGTAGGCTTTTTAAACAATCTTTTGGTTTTTGAATTTTTAGGGTTGTGAAGTTATTAGGGTAGAGTAGAAGTACCTTAGGGTAAGAGAATAGGGCTTACTGTACGGCGGGACTTGGCATACGGTAGGGTAAAGAAGTGTAGGATCAACTAGGGTAGAGTAGGGTGGAGGTAGGATAAGGTAGGATAGTGCATTTAGTAGAGTAGGGCTTACTGTGCAAGGAGGTAGGCTTACTGCAGTATAGAACCTGTAACAACAGAATAGAGCAAGGTAGGGAAGAGTAGAACACCTAAGGGTAAAAAAGTAGGGTAGGGTAGAGTAGAGTAGGCCAGAGTACGGTAGGGTGAAGTCAGGTAGGGTAGGGTAGAATAGTGTGGGGTAGGGTAGGATAGGGTAGGGTAGGGTAGGGTAGGGTAGGGTAAGGTAGGGTAGGGTAGGGTAGGGTAGGGTAGGGTAGGGTAGGGTAGGGTAGGGTAGGGTAGGGTAGGGTAGGGTAGGGTAGGGTAGGGTAGGGTAGGGTAGGGTAGGGTAGGGTAGGGTAGGGTAGGGTAGGGTAGGGTAGGGTAGGGTAGGGTAGGGTAGGGTAGGGTAAGTTAAGTTAAGTCTTGTAGTTATAATACTTAACTTTTTGCTGCCATTTCAAAGGTTACGTGCTTTTTAAAAATGAAACGTTAAAGAACTACAGGAAACGAAGCATTCAATGAGATCATCACGCTACAAGTGTTTTTCGTTAAGTCAAATTGTTGCTAATTTTTGGTGTGTAACACGGTGTAATGATGTTATCGGAGCTAACTCTTGAGTAAAGATCCATACAGTAACTACTGATGTTTGAAAAAAGGTTTAAAAAGATCAAATTTAAAAGAACAAAAACTATTTTTAAACTAACCCATCCCATCCTAAATTGCCTTGCCTTGCCTTCTTACAGTAAGCCCTACCCTACATTGAGCCTTATTGTACAGTAAGTTCTACTCTACAATAAACGCCATCATACAGTGACTTCTAATCTACAATAAGCCGTAGCTTACCCTAAGATGCATTTTGAGCTACATACTGCTCAATCTTTTTTAAATTTAAAAAATTTCGTTTTCAGATGCACATCCACAGCCTATCACACCTCAAACTGCCGTCTCTACAAGGTGATGCAGGCTTGTCACTACGATCTCAAGACCCAAACAGCTTTATTCTTCTCTACCCGTGCCAACATCTATCATCTCAAAAACCTACTATCACTACTCAAGCCAGTCTTTCGCACCTACCCATATAATCAAGTGGTGACGGCCGAAGGCATTCACTACGCCATTTTGACTGGACTAGTCAAAAACGAAATTGATAACAACCCCTTCGTATTACAGAGTATTGAAAGGCTTACAGCGAAGGTAATGCCGTACTATAACAATTGGTGTCAGGTGTTGGATTCGTACACCATCTTCTTTGGCACTACTGATCAGGTGGATGAGATTGTGTTCAACTACAAGTACCATAAGGAAAGAGAGGGGTCGTTTAGGAAATATGATCTGTTACCGGTTGAGATCAAGGAAATGATACTGTAAGTTGAAAAAATCATATTTTTGTTAAAAAACCGCAATTTTTAGTTTTGTAAAGAAATTTCTTGCCCATTCACGCTCTGTAAAGAAAGTTCTTTCCAAACAACAAAAAAATTCAAAAACGGCATTTTACATCACTTTAAACAAAGTTATTGCCAAAAAATTAATTTCTGCACCGTGCAGCGCCATTTGTCTTCTTTGCACAGTGCGAAAGTGCGATCCCGTCCGATCTGGCAAGTTAAGCAACGGTGCGCTTGATTATAAAAAGTTCGAAAAACACTGAGTGGAAACAATTTTTTGACTGCTTTATAACATACCTAATATAAATTTTGCCATTTTTGGTTTGTAAAGAAAGTTGTCGCAGTTTTGAAAGTTTTCAAAATTTAAAATTTTTTTTATTTTGTTTAACTATTTATTTTTTAGAAAAAAAGTGCCGACAAAACCGCGAAAACTTCATGTAAAACACAATGGTAAATTCCGACGGATTTTGCACTGTTTTGGTCATCGACCTGGCGTCAAAGCGGAAATGTTGAAGCCTAATATCTACTTACAACAACTATAAATCTACCCTACCCTACCCTACCCTACCCTACCCTACTCTACCCTACTCTACTATACCCTACTCTACCCTACCCTACCTTTCAAACAGTACTATTGTCTTTACAGTATTTATAGTACTATATAGTACTATGCTTTTAAAATCCTATTATATTGTCTGTGCATTTGTTATCGATTAATTTGATCTCTTTCAACTACCTTTTTATACTCATATTTATGTTATTATATACATATTATCATTCATATATAATATGAAAGCTTTTTTACATTGTCATAACTTGTTTGTACATTATGTAAATAAAGAGTAACACTAAAGCAGATTGGCCATCTTATACACAGACATCTATAATATATCATCTGCTGGTACCTATATACACATATCAAGCCACATACAGACATATTACTCAAAATGTCACCACAGCTCTCTTGAAGCCTGGTGACATAGCCGAAGCAGTCGAACAGTCAATGGTAGGTCTTCTAGGTACAATCAGGACACTTAAAGCGTCATCGCTACGTTTCCTTGCTCTGTTGACAATCTTCGTGTATATGTAACAATTATAAATGGCATCACAGGAATGAGCCAGCATCTGAATCATTAGCACTGTACCTTGTGGGTCTGTTATGAATACCTAAAAATTTTGATATTTTAAAATTTTTTTAAAATTGAAAATTTTTTTTTTATTTTTTGAAGTTCAGTTTTTGAGTTTTGTAAAGAAAGTTCTTGCCATTTTTTGTTCGGTAAAGAAAGTTCTTGCCATTTTATGTTCTCTAAAGAAAGTTCTTGCCATTTCTGTTCTGTAAAGAAAGTTCTTGCTATTTTGTGTTTTGTAAAGAAAGTTCTTGCCATTTTTTGTTCTGTAAACAAAGTTCTTGCGATTTTTTATTTTGTAAAGAAAGTTCTTGTCATTTCTGTTTTTGTAAAGAAAGTTCTTGCCATTTTTTGTTTTGTAAAGAAAGTTCTAGCCATTTTTTGTTTTTTAAAGAAAGTTCTTGCCATTTTGTGTTTTGTAAAGAAAGTTCTTGCCATTTTTTGTTCTGTAAAGAAAGTTCTTGCCATTTTGTGTTTTGCAAAGAAAGTCCTTGCCATTTTTTGTTCTGTAAACAAAGTTTCTGCGCTGGCACTGAAAATGCTGTTTTTCGCTTTTCAAATAATATTTTGTGTTTTGTAAAGAAAGTTTTTGCCTTTTCATTTTTATTTTTCTTAATAAAATAAAACTACTTCAACGTATAACATGTCACCCGCAGTCTGCAAAACCCAAACAAAGTCTAAAAACATGCTTTAACAGGCCAAAAATGCCATTATTTTTTAAAAATAGATGACGAAACCTACTGCAAAATTAAAAAAAACTTTTTCAACTTACATCCACACTCATTTTGACACATAATGGTATAATATTGAAGAAGATTTGAGTTAAAGCAGCCGTTTGGGCCGCTTGAACAACTTCATTCGACCTGCCATTTGAGCTTTCGGTTTCAGTCACTACCCAAGCATTACTCGATGCTTTGTTACGTTGATGTAGCTTTATCAACAGTAGAAATGACAGTATACCATTGATAACACATATGATAATACGATATTCTGTTTGAATAATGCCACAGCTATTTAGACATACATTTTCGGCTCGAAAGTTTTCTGAAATGTCGTCTTTAAAAGTAAAAAAAAAGGTAAAATACGTTTAATTGATTTATGACTTTTTAAAAGATAATATTTAATACAAAAATGGCATTTTACGTTGAGAAAAGTCTATAAAGTGCATGTTGACGAAATGTCAAAATCAATCAATCAATGTGACATTTCGTCAACTTTTTAAAAATAATTAAAAAACAACTAAATCAACAATATTGACAGTTCTGGTTTTTAAAATGACCTTTTTTAAGAACAAAAGTCTATTTTACTAATTTAACGAAATGTCACAATCAATGTGACACTTCGTTACAAAAACCGAAAATAAGGTGAAATTGCACTTTTGGTAATTTGACTTATAAAAACCATCATTTAAATGTGTTTTTCATTACTTTAAACAACTTTTGCTCAGTAGACGAAATGTCACAATCAATTTGACACTTCGTCAAAAAACCAAGAATTGCCAAAATGCAATTTTTGTAAAAATATAAACTTATAGTAAGTTGACTTATGGTTATAAAACCTGCAAATTTTACTATTTTTTAAATTTTTTGCCGTGGGAAAGAAAGTTATTGCAAAAAAATTGTCTCAGCTTCAATCTTACTAGTATACTGATTAACCGGCGCATCAAAAACAGTTGTAATAATAAAAGCCACAAAAACCAATGGTAAAACTAGGCTAGCCACGCGACTGCACCAAGGTAGTAGTTCTGATTTAAAACCATTGGCATATAATATTAAGCAACGTTCTAGTAATAACGTCATTACTGCCAAATAAACCATTAAGTTCGAGGTAAATAGGCCGCCAATTAACCAAATTACGTACGCTGCATTGTATTGAGAGTCTGGAAAATAATTTTTTAGATTTCTAAACTTATTGTAAACAAAGTTATTGCAAAAAAAACTAATTGTTGCACCGTGCAGAGCCATAATATTTGTTCTTTCCGCACTGTGCAAAAGCAAAAAATAAGAAAAATAATTTTTGTAAAAATTGTAAAGAAAGTTTTTCCTAAAGAAAAAATTTTTTCAAAATGCCATTTTCAATCATTGTAAACAAAGATATTGCCAAAAAATGAGTTTCTGCACCGTGCAGCGCCATTTGTCTCTTTTGCACAGTGCGGAAGCGCGATCCCGTCCGATCTGGCAAGTTGAGCAACGGTGCGCTTGATTACAAAAGTTCGAAAAACACCGAGTGCAAACTTTGTTTTTGAGATTTTAATAATAGTGAAAAGAAAGTTTTTGCAATTTTTTGATTTTGTGTTTATAAAAATTGGCATTTTTAATAAAAAACGTCTCATTTTAAAATTGTAAAGAACGTTTTTGCTATTTTTTACAATAAAAAATAAATTTTTGGACATATGTAATAAAACAAAGTAAAAAATCTTACCTTTATAAAATTCCATCCCAGCTAGCCTATAAAAATTAGTCGCAGCACCAAAAAAGCTGCATATGATCCAACATAGTACCACCAGGACGATACTTCTGATTGGTCGATATCCCTTTCTTAATTTTATCAGCTTGTAAACATTAACAAGATGGATACAAAAAACTATGGCACAGACCGGGCCGGATGACAGGGAACTGATTAGCACAAATATTTTTTGTGGTGACATATTAGGCTTAAGTTAGTAGGCTTAGATTAAGTCTGTCATGTTATAAAAGACTTTTCGTTAATATGTTGTGACTTTAGGCTTTAAATTTTAGGCTTATAATCAAAAGATTAAGCGTATAATGATAAGTCTAGGCTTATAATAAGGAATTAGGCTTATAATTAGAAGTTTAAGCTTATAATGATAAATCTAGGTTTATAGTAAGGAATTTAGGCTTTACAATAAACAGTTTAGGCTTACAATAAGCAGTTTAGCCTTATAATTATGAGTTCACTGATAATAATAATTCTAGGCTTATAGTGGTGCTTTTAGGCTTATAGTTAAAAGTTTAGTTTACTAGTAATAATTTTAGGCTTATAATTATGAGTTTAGACTGATAATAATAATTCTAGGCTTATAATGAAAGATTAGGCTTAAACATATAATTTTAGGCTTGTAATTGAATGTTTAGGCTTATAATGAGAAGTTTAGTCTTATAGTGACTATTTTAGGCTTATAATGATATAAGCTTATGAAAATAAGCTTAGGCTTATAATAGTAACGTTAGACTTAAGCTTAGGTTCATAATACTAAAAAAACCTTAATATGCAAAGCCTAAAAAGCTTGGTACATTAATTACCACGTAGATATGCTACTATGTACTTCTATAGTAAAATATTTGTAGCGACACCTCTCCTACAATATACTATTTACAGTGTGCCATTTTCAACGTGACTCAGAGCAAAATAAATAAAATACGAGCAGAATAATAGACACAAAGTCTGTGAACCACTAATTACGTCTACTGAATTCGAACAACGACCATAATAAAAGTACAAAACTTAATTAAATTCGTATTTTATATATATTACCTTACAACTTAACGTATTTATATTATTAGACAAATTTGATTTTCAAAGTCGTAGAACATTTTTTATGTGTGCTGTAAGTGTACGTGGTGTACGTTGTAGTTTGAAAGATTTTTGATACATAAAATGATGTTATCAGTCTTATTAAATTTAAAATTAAATTAAGTTACTAGCCAAAGTTGTTACTAATGAAAAAAAGTTAAAAAATAGATTGGGACTAAGATAAGTTTTTTTGAGCTTTTTCTTATCTTCTGCAATAGGTCATTACATGTGTGACAAAAAGAGAAGCCAAGAAAAAGGAGTATTATGGTAGAGAGATAGAATAAGAAGATCGCCAACCTTAGCACCGAGTTCGTGATAAATAAAGAGCCGGGCCTGGATGTTAGGTCCGGTCTAATCAAAATTTTGTTCCGGCTCGGCCCGGCGCGGCTTGTTTCCACGTAAAGACAAATTTTGCCCTAGTCGTGAGCCCTGAGCCTTAGCCCAGAACCCTGAACTCTGAGCCCTGTGCCCTAGCCCAGAGCTCTAGTCCTACCCAAAGCCCTAGCCCAGAGCCCTAGCGCAGAGCCCTAACCCCGAGCCATAGCCTTGGCCCTAAGCTAATCTTACCATAGCTCTACACTTGACGTACCCTTAGCTTCTTATCTTTTTTCAAAAACTTTGTTTTACTAAGCACTACTTTACCGTACCTTACTTTACATTTTCCTCACTCTAATTGTACGTTTACTTTATCTTTACCGTAACCTTGCCCTAACTTTAACAATAGCAATAGCCCTAGTTTTAGTAAAATATGTGAAACAAATCGGGCTTTTTTGTGTTAGCGCATTGCCGGCCTGACCTTGGCCTAGCCTTAGCGTTAATTTTATTATTAGCTGTAGTTCTGGTTTAGTGTTAGTCATAGCCTAGTTGTATCCTACCCTTATCCACCTTATTCAAAGCCCTGCTATTGCTCAAGCTCTGACTTTTTATGTTCTGCCCTAAGTTAGCCATCCTACTTTTAGGGTAGAGGTAAAATGATTTTATAATTTGTGTATTGAACCCGCGTTGCTGTACGGGGCAGAAACTTGGGCATGGACAAAAGCGGACCGAATCAAGCTCAGCAGAAGTCAAAAGAAGATGGAAAGAATGATGTGTAATGTAAAGTTAAGATGGGGAATTAGAAGCAAAAGAATAAGAAGATGGACAGGTCTTGATGAAGTGGTGGTGAAGGCAACGGAAAGAAAGTGGAAGTTTGGAAGGATTGTAGTCAGAATGCCTGAAGATAGATGGGAAAGGAAAATTGCGACCTGGCAACCTGATGGAAAAAGACCGATTGGCAGACCTCGTACAAGGTGGCAGGATGAGATAAGGAAGAAGGTTGGAATAGGCTGGATGGAGGCGGAAGATGGAAGATGGCAAGAAGCTCTCAGGCACTACACCGAAGGAATCAAAGCTTATTGTCACATGTAATTTTAATGTTATGATTTTATTTGTATTTGATGGTTGAGCTAGTAAATAAACTGTAAACTGGAAACTGTCCCTCTTTCCCCACCTTAAAATATATAAACATAATCATAAAATGACGTCCTTACAGTAGTACACATATACAAACACAAATATCACTAATTATAAATTATGCAACAAATCAGAACTTTGTTTCCAAACCTTTGTCTCTATCTTTCTACCCCTACCGCTCTACTCTCCCCTCCCCCTGTCCTCCCCCCTCTCCAATGTTGCTAATTTTAACGACCTGGCCTAAAATATTGTCCAAATATGAACAAATTATGGATCGTTTGCATAATTTGATTAACTTTTGTAGCTGTTATTAAAGTCGCATCAAAGTAGTTAAAAATTCATTTTTATTGCCTTTATTCGTGTGGCTCAAGTGACAGCTATTATTAAATAAATAGCGTCATTTTGGGCTAGCTGACTGACTAAGGGCTACAAATCTTTATTGTGAAAGACGCTTCTGGGTCTTTGGATTAATTTTGTTAAGCTTAGAATTTGATTTGTAATTTTGATTTGCTACTGTAGGGTTATTTACAGTAAGTTACGGCTTTAAAAGAGATGTTTTGTACTAAAATTGATGACAATTTTTATCACATACAAAAATTTTTTAAAACTTACCGTACTAATAATAAAATTGATTTTTTAGAGCTATAAGAAGCATACTGAAACTACCCTTTCTGCTCCAAAAAAAATTTAGGGTTACTGTACTACCATTAAAAAAGTTGGCTTATTACTCTTAAAAAACATTATACTGTAGTAGTACTAACCTTGGTAATAATCTTATAATCACTACCGTAGTACATTATAAACCTTCTGCTTTACTACAATACAATCATACTGTACTATTTTTTCTACCGTACCATCTATAACTCACCATGAAGCTCCTCTCCATCATTCTACTACTAATCTTAGTCTCTACCGTAGCCTCATACGTCCGTGAAAGCAAAAAGTCGCGTAGCCAATCGGCTTCAGAGCATCATGCTGAAGAGACCGAAGAATCCTTCTCGGATGATGACAATTCACCTCAACATCGTCCTAGAGACGGCGAATCCGGTGGTCGTTCTAGGAACGATGATATGACATCTAGAGGTCATTCTAGAGACGAAGACAGGCTTTCTAGAGGTCATTCCAGAGACGATGACAGGCTTTCTAGAGGTCGTTCCAGAGGTGATGAAAAGCTTTCAAGAGGTCGTTCTAGAGATGATGAAGGTCGGGCTGGTCGACGTTCTTCGAAACGACGTAGCTCGAAGAAACAAAGCAGGGCTAGCGAAGAAGAAGAGCTAGAAGTGTCTAACTTCAACCTAGCTGGGGCTGATGATAACAAGAATGTAAATGAAGAAGCGTTGAAGAAGGCAGCCGAATCTAAAAAGGCAGCAGATTCTGAAGACAACGATTCGGATTCTAAATCTTCAAAGAAGAAAAGCTCCAAGAAGTCAAAGAAAAGTGCTACAGAAGAAGCTGAAGAATCAGAAGAACAAGAAGATGCCGCAAAATCATCAAAAAAAGGATCAAAGAAAGGCCAAAGAGAAGATAATAGTGATGAGAATGATGAGGAATCAAGCAACAAACGGGCTAAAGGATCAAAGAAAGCCAGAGGCTCAGATGACGATGAATCAGGAGAATCTGGAAGTGGCGTACAATGTGGATTGTGCCAAAAAGTCATGAAGATCTTGTTACCGGTCGTTCAGATAGGCCAAACGTTGAGCAAGAGCAAGCTGAAGGACACCTTATCGGTAGGTTTTTTGAATTTATAAAGACTTTAAGCTTAACAGCATAAGCTTAAGTTAGTAGGCCTAAACTGGACAAGCAAATGTCGTTGGATTAGGCTTAGAACACGTGATTTTAAGGTTAGTTAACTTACATAGTACTGTGCTTCGTAGGCTTTAAAGGCTTAGGTTTAGTAAGTTTGGCCTTAGTAAGCTTTGGCTTAGTAGTAGGCTGTGGCTTAGTAGGCTTAGACACAGTAAGCTTAAACTTAGTAGCTCTGGGATTATTAAGCTTAGACTTAGTAAGCTTGGGCTTAGTAGGCTTAGGCTTAGTAAAATTAGGCTTAGTAGGCTTAGGCTTAGTAGGCTTAGGCTTAGTAGGCTTAGGCTTAGTAGGCTTAGGCTTAGTAGGCTTAGGCTTATGCTTAGTAGGCTTAAGCTTAGTAGGCTTAGGCTTAGTAGGCTTAGTACGCTTAGGCTTAGTAGGCTTAGGCTTAGTAGGCTTAGGCTTAGTAGGCTTAGGCTTAGTAGGCTTAGGCTTAGTAGGCTTAGGCTTAGTAGGCTTAGGCTTAGTAGGCTTAGGCTTAGTAGGCTTAGGCTTAGTAGGCTTAGTAGGCTTAGTAAGCTTAGGCTTAGTAGGCTTAGGCTTAGTAGGCTTTGGCTTAGTAGGCTTAGGCTTAGTAGGCTTAAGCTTAGTAGGCTTAAGATCAGTAAACTTAGGTTTAGTAGGTTTTTTTTAATAAGCTTAAGCTTAACAAATTTTAACATTCAATTTCAGCAACGCTGTGAACAGTACATTAGAGGTCCAATGGGTGGAATTGCATGTGACACCATCATCAGTGCCACCTTTGAAGAGCTGTACGAATTAGCCAAGAATCCAAAAAGCACTACCCCTCAGAAAATGTGTCATTTGTTGCATTTTTGTTGATAATAAACTGCATATCCTTTTTCTAATCTTCCTCTGTTCTACTATTACTGGGCTAAGGCTCTGGGGATAGGGCTCTGGGCTAGGGCACTGAGCTAGGGCACTGAGCTAGGGCTCTGGGCTAGGGCTCAGGGCTAGGGCTCTAAGCTAGGGCTCTGGGTTAGGGCTCTGGGCTAAGACTAGTAAGTGATATGATAGTAGGTTCAAGTTATCAGTCCTTTACTTCCTCGTTTTATTTTCAAAGGTCTCTATCATGGAAAACGGTTTGATCATTTGTTTCCCTTTTATTCTCACACCAGGCGGTTCCTTGCACCCAGCGAGTGTTTTGCACATGTTTTCGGTCTGACTAATTAATGAAGTGAATTACTTTGTTTACAGCCCAAAATAATCACTTATCACTTTTGTTACAGTATCGGCAATGTTTACCCGTTAGTTTGTAAAGAAAAGATAACTTTTTTGTTATTTTTTGAATTTAAAATGGCATTGGTTAGTGCTTTATAAGGAAATTACAGAGTTTGCTACGTTGCATGGGTAAGCCTAAACCATGGAATAACAAAAGACTAAGTTAATCTGAGATCACGTCTTAAAAAACTAGAGTAAGGTTAAGGAAGGTGCTAAGGGGGGCAAAGGGAGGGCTTGGAGTAAGTGCTAAAAATTGGCAAGGGTAGGGCTAGAATGAGTTCAAGGAAAATACATCCGGTAAGGTCATGGTAAGACGCAAGGCAAGGCAAGGCAAGGCAAGGCAAGACAAGGCAAGGCAAGGCAAGACAAGGCAAGGCAAGGCAAGACAAGGCAAGGCAAGGCAAGGCAAGGCAAGGCAAGGCAAGGAAAGTCAAGGCAAAACAAGGCAAGGCAAGGCAAGGCAAGACAAGGCAAGGCAAGGCAAGGAAAGTCAAGGCAAAACAAGGCAAGGCAAGGATAAATTTCAATTTCTATCATTTTTGAACCACCTTCTGTCTAGCCATTAGTCTTTAACAGTTGATCAATTTCCAAATTTTACGTCAAAATTTTCTCAAAATTTATTTGCGTCTAGAAACTCATTTACAACCTGAATGTACTTTGTCCAACAGTAAGTACACTACTGCTAGACGGGGTGATTTTAACGTTACTCATGACTGATTTTTCTTCTTTTTTTTGGTTTTTTAGGAGAGGGAGGGGGGGGGGAGGGAGGAAAAAAAAACGTAAGAAAATTTTTTTTAAATATTATTTTTGGTAGGCATGGGTAATGTTTTAAAATTTCAATTTTTTAAAATTTTTTTTATATACCGGAGATGATTCTTAAAAATTAAAAAAATTTTTTTGTATTGAACAGGTAATCACCAAATTTTTTATTTTTGTACCCTACCTACAACTTAAAACCAACTTCCAACTATTGTTCATAGCAAGTAGCTTCTTCGTATGTCGTATCATCTTCTCCTTGCCACCAAAATTGCATCCTATAGTATAATTAAGCTCAGCAGACTAGCAAAACCACGAGGTTTTTGCAAAATTTGTGTCTAAATTATAATTTACCAGGGGTTGTTTCCTTTGGCGGCATGTGAAAATATTTTAATTATACCACATCTTTGGAAGTAATTCGTATTGGTTTGCATGAACAGTCTTTCTGGGGTATCAAAAGTATTCAATGGTAGGGCATGCCAGAGGGCTGGCTAGAGTGGGTATGTCAAATAGTTGGCAGAGGTAGAGTATGTCGAAGGGTAGGCTAGAATAGGGCATGCCAAAGGATAGGTCAGGGTATGCCAAAGATTAGGCTACGGCAGGGTATGCCAAAGGTTAACAGGAGTAAAAGGCTGTAAATTAAGGATACGGTAGAGCTAGTAAGGAGAGGTGTAGGTATAGTAGTGGAGTACGGGTATGACATAAAGGAGGTATTAGTTACGTTAATCGTAGCGTAAGGCTAAGGTAGGGCTACAGTAGAGAAAGGTAGGGTAGGGTAGGGTAAGGCTTAAATTTATTTATTTACTTTACATATTCAAGCGTCTACAATTATAATTCGGGAGATATAGATTAGATTAGTAGTTTGATGCCGTAGATTGTAACGTACTGTGCTGATGTGCAAGGATGTTCAAGGTTCAGATGAAGACCAACGGAGCTATCCTTGAGTCTGACGTTCCCCATAATTGGGCCTCTCCCCAGGTATTTCACTGTTCCTCGCGTCACTGAGTCGTGGGTGAGGTGCTCCATAAGAATTCTGGCGTTCAATCATATACTCGTGTAGGCCAAGTATAGATGTGCCTAGTCCCCGTGCACTCAGCACTACCCATTCCTCAAGGCGCCTGGGTTGGACGGTGCGCGGGGTCGAACCAAGGTCCTTCCGAATAGCGAGCAGCGTCACAGCCACTCCGTTACCAACGCACTAAAAACTAGGGTAAGGTAGGGTAAAGTAGGATAGGGTGTTTTTATAAATTATCGACTCAAAAATGCCTTGTTTTTCGAAAGTTCTCACCTGTGTCATGTTCATATCACCAATACCCGTTGAAAAAACATGGAAATTGATTGTTTGTTTAAACCCCCCCCTTCCGAGCGTAATATTAAACTCATTTTGGGGAGGAGAGAGAAGCATGTGCTTTGCATGTGCCGCCCTTATTTGACCAAAAACAATGTTAATAATTTTTTTTTGTCGGAAAACGTGTTTATTCCGTTATGAAATTGAACTGGGGTTGCGGGTTGGGCTGAGAGCGGGGTTGTTTTTGTGTATGAATTTAAGAAAAAACTCGGTTTTTGCAGCGAAACATGGTGCAAAGCAGAGTACGTTACGTTAGGGGGGTGAAGTGAGGAAGGGGGGGGAGTGGGACAGGGGGGGGGGATAATAGTGAAGTAAGATAGAAGCTGGACTTAGAGGTAAGTGTTCTATCAAACATTTGGCTTAATAGATCTATGTAATTTTTCATGCAATGCTTGATTGCCTAACTTTATGATACAGTAACATACCCTTAAGTAAATTGCAAGAAACCGTATTACGCAACGTTTTCTGATGTAATATTATTTACTTTTGTAATATTTGCCTCGATGTAAAACGACCCAACAAATTACTGCGAGAATTGGGATTTTACTACAAATTACTCCGAGTAGGACAATGTTACTATAACTGTCTTCGAGGTTAGGGTAGGACGGTTGGGTCACACAAAGAGTTTTTTATTTATGATGGGCTAACCTACGTGGGGGTAGGGGTAGGGGTAGCCAAACAAGCCTGACCAACCATTAAAACTAATAACTTTTAGTAATTTTATTATAATGAACTTGTCAAATATTCCGATTAAAATATTCGGATAACGTATAAAGAGCAACTGAAATAGATAAGAAACTGATTGAGATTAAGGCTTTGAGAGAAGGAGCCCCGGTAGCTTAATTGGTAGAGCATTCGTCCGGTAAACGAAGGATGCAGGTTTCGACTCCTGCCTAGGCCACTTTTTCTCTCATAGTCTGATATCTCTTTAAATTTCTACATGGTGCAATTGACCAAATGGATAACGCATTTCTCTCGCCGCTGGAGGAGTCATTGACAAATCAATGATCGCAGAAAGAATCGCTGCACAGTCAGACAAAAGAAGGAGAAGAAAAAAACCACTGAACCAACCATGAAGTCAAAGAAGCGACACAGAAAAATCAAATCATAGGAAGTCTCTGATTAAAAAGAAACCTCACGGAAGGCCAAAAGAAAGCGTTGTAAAGAAGCTAAAAACAACAACAAACATGTCTTTCTTCTTCTCTTAGGAGTGTCGAATATTCCGATTAAAATATTCGGATAACGCAATATAAAGAGCAACTGAAATAGATAAGAAACTGATTGAGATTAAGGCTTTGAGAGAAGGAGCCCCGGTAGCTTAATAGGTAGAGCATTCGTCCGGTAAACGAAGGATGCAGGTTTCGACTCCTGCCTGGGCCACTTTTTCTCTCATAGTCTGATATCTCTTTAAATTTCTACAAACTAGGCTAGGTGTATTTCGAATGTTTAGTTCATTAGCTTTTCATTAAAAACCATGAGAACGTTGTGTTTTATTTTGTTTTTGGTTTGTTTGAATGTTGTTAAGGCTTCTGTGAAAACTTGTGGTAAGTCCTTATTAGCCTAGGGGTCTTTTAAGCCTAAATAATCCCACATTAACACTTTTTAGGCATAACAAACCTATCTTAATATCCGTGTAAGTATAATAAGCCTAGGCTCACTGCTATTTTAATTTAAACAAGCCTAAAAGCTAAGCCTAAAATAAGCCTAAAGTTAAGCCGATCAATTTTAAAAACCATTGCAATTTAGAGTGCATAGACTTTTATTGTAACATGCAATGTCATCACCGTGACCACACTCGATATGGCGAATGCAGAGATATCAAATGCTATTGTCCCAAGCTTTCTAAGCGGCCCAAAGACCAAAAGTTAAAATCTAATTGTTACAATAAACCGCACATGAAGTCTGTTGTACTCGGATCGCCAAGCAAAGACGTGCCCAAGAACTATACTTTGCATCTTGAAGATTGAGTGAGTAGTACTGTGTACTATAATATTATTATATGATAAGCTATGGATCTAATAAACTAACTTGCAAACTTTTTTGAAAAATAAGGCTTAGTTTGACTTACTCTATCATTTTGTGTCTTTTCTTTCTCAAAAAACCCTAAAAATTCCTAATTTTTTCATAATCAAGTTTTCGTGATGGGACCCAAAATTTTTATTTTTAAACCTAATTTTGGCTTTTTTATCATTATTTCCTTAATAAAACTTCAATTCATGTAAAAATTTATAGCTTAGTGCCTTTTACCCAACTCTCGCCGTAAGAATTTAAAAACTTCATGTTCTCACATGTTACATTTCGCTCTCGGTGTGGTCTCTAAAAAGCGCTTGACTAATGAATTGTGCCACGCTCCTATCAGCTGCAATTAATAATGCTGCAAAGTTCGGAAAGCGAACATAATTGTATAGTTTTAATCTTTTACACTCTTAAAAATAAAATAAATTTTCAAATTTTTTTTTAACTTTAAAAATCACCCCCCCCCCTTCTTCCCCAAAATTCTTTATGTCTATGCGATGGTTTTTCTTGCATGTTATTTTGCTAATGCCGGACTTTTCCAAACCCCATCTTAACCTAAATTACTCTTGCACTGGGCATGCCGCGTAAAGCTACACGCTAGGACCCCTGCTCCTCCTAACCTACCCTGCCTGCCAAACCATGCCCTGCATTTTAAAATAAATAGCAAATCACTTTTGAAGCTCATATGATGAATTCAAAAAAAGTGATTAGTACTTTGAATTGCCTTATTTGTTTTTGATGCGTTAATCGAATTAATCGCTTTTTTATCAAAAAAGTTTAATCGTAAAGTAGATTTTATTTTGAATAAGCGGAAACCTCTGATTTAATGCTCTGTTACTATGATAGTTATTGAGAATCTAAGCTAATTTAATTTTTTTGAACTTCTAGACTTTTAGTCAAATAATTTTTTGGCCAGGTCTTAAATCGACCCAGCATCAAAGTCAAGTCTATCCTACTGCATCAATAAGCGGTATCAAACCCCGCTCACACAATCCATCAAAACCCAAACAGATCATATTTGGGCTAAAACCACTTTTAAAGATCAGAAATCACTCATATCATCTCAAATCACAACGAAAAAGTTTCGGAATGCACACGCTTTTAAGCTGAAACGCGCGAAACCGCTTAGAAACGCGCTACATGCCATCTTACGCTGGGTTTTCATAAAGCTACAGACTACTTTTTTTTAAAGAATCTCACGCTAAGTCTTAATAATGAATACGTCATGCTTTGATGAAGATTACGCGACCTTTTAGTGGGGATACAGCATGCCTTGATGAATACTTAAACTACCTTTTGATAGAGCCACGCCATGTCATGAAAGTAGTCATAGCATGGCGTAGCTCCATCAAAAGATATTTTGCCACTCAGGGACGTCGATAGAGGAGAGGCAGAGAAAGGTGAATGGAGGTGGATTAAATTTACCCCCTTCCCTCCCCACAGCCAATCCAAAAAATTTTACATAGAGGTAGGTACCTTTATCGAACAATGCGTGCACAGGTAGCTACAATCAGTGGACCAAAAAATTCAGTTTTTACCCCCCCCCCCTCCTCAAAAAAAACCTGTAGCAACGCCCCTGATTAAGCCACCTTTTGACGAAGCTACACCACGCCTTAACAGTAGTTACGCTACCTTTTTTCACGGAGCTACGCATGCTCGATCATCAAGATCATAAAACACAGAAAAAAGAAGACCCTGAGATGAATATATCTAACGGAACAATCGCACTACAAAATGTTTAGTCGGACCATTTTTTGATTGTCCGATTTTTCCTCTATTTTGGGTAATTCGAAACGTTTGCTTTTTCATGAGCGTATCATTAATACGATTTTTTGGCTAAAAATCAATTTTCTGATATAGAGGTGGGGGTGCTCTTAGGCTTTAGAACACTCTAGTTCAAGTAATTAAGACTACTTTTTTAAAAGGAAAGCCAATATAAACCTTAATATTAGTTTTTATAGGGTATACCTACTGTTCCTGGGTCGTTTATGAAGATAAGTATACCCTAACAAATTTTTTTTTCAAGTTGACACATTTCACCCCTATCAAACTGACCTAAAAGGCCCACAAGGCCCGGCCCAACCCGGTTTATATCAAACTCAAAAAAATTTTAATATTTTTTAAATTCATCCCCTCCCAGCGACCTAAAATCACCCCTCCCCCACTGCTTTCAGAACAAAACTGTGTTTTGTCTAATCACTATGTTAAGATTGATAGTTTGAAAATACAGTGTTAAGCCCCCCATTTGACCATTTTTGCTTTTATCGATCGAGTGTTTCGTTAATTTTGACACATGGGTCTTTTTTTGTTTGAACGTTTCGGTTTTTTTAGAACTGTTTTATATTTGTCAAAGTGATTTTTCGAACTTGAAAAAATTTTTCCCGGCCCTTTCGAGGTTTGGGTTTAAACATATGTTGTTGTAGTTTTGGCTTTGTTTGGCAAAAGTATTTTTTTCATATTTATGATTTAATAGGATTATTTTTAATTTTCATTGTCTTGTCTTTACCTTTTTTATTACACGACCTCATCAAAAGCCTAAACCTAGCTCTACCCTAGCCGTACCAAAGTCCTGCTCTATCCATACCCAAGCCTTTCCATTACCTAACCTACCACCTCTAAATACCATTTACAGTAAAAACCAATTTCGCCAATTCCCCCTTCAATCCCAAGACTTTTGTCATTTCATTAACACGATCAACACTTTTCGCAACACACTCACCCACGGCAAAAATAACATTGTTTTTCGACAGTACCCGCAGGGAAAATAATTATTATGCAACCCAAAAACAAACTAAAGATCGTTTATGCGCTCGCCTCCAAAGAACTCAAACAAACACGCGCTGAACTCACGTGAACAACCGAAATCCCCCCTTTTTGACAAAAACAGTTTTTGCAGAGTGCTGGGAATACACACAGCTACGTCGTTATCAGTATTTGGCTTGAATTTTAAATTAAAGTGTGGGGCTTAAGGGTGGCAAAATAATTTTTTGGCAAAAATTTGGACGTGGTCCCCCCTGTTCATTGTTAAATTAAAAAAGTAATCCAAAAATTTTTTTTTCGACTCCCCCGCCCTTTTACTAAGCTAAAATTGCCCGTCTAACGATGCCTAAATCACGTTTTGAAAACCAAATTCAATATGATCCCCCAAACCAATTTTTGATCTAACTCTACCCCTATCAGTGACCTTATTTTCCGCCCAAAACAAATTTTAAACCCTTTAATATTATTTTAAGCCCCTTGCAGTTAATACAGCTTGCACAAACAATCTGTTTTGGTTGCGTTTTTGTTGTGATATTCATATGAAAATAACCGCAAACAAAAAATATTTTTATTTTATCACAAAGATATGCGAACGTGAAGGTCATCTTAAAAAGTTGACAGACAATTTTAATTAGATTGACGTCTAACCTTTGCAACATCACATTGACTACAACTTTTTTGGGTCTGGCATCCTCTATTTTAAATGTTTTTAAAGGTCTTCCTCTATTTTAATATTAATTCTATACTTTACTATACATTGTATAATGTCAACATTTTTACACTTCGTACGTTCCAAAGATTTCAAGCCACGACGTCATTTCCATCCCATGTTTCGGCCCGAATTTTTACTGCAAACCTAGTGTAGCAGACTGATGTTTGATATAAGATAACGGTGATCTTTTGGCTTTCAAAGAAAAACGTGTTTCTAATCAAAAAGCATGCCTCTTTAATAACATACAGTATGTTATAATCTTCTATAATAACATATCGTATGTTATAAGCTACTACAATAACATACCGTATCGTATCATACGATATGTTATTATAGAAACGCTTTTTATACTTTATGCTAACATAAGCCATGTTTTTAATACTTCATGCTACTAAAAACTGTTTTTCATAACTTGTTACTATAAAAATAATTTCCGTATCATATGTTATTCCAAAAAACATTAGGCAGCACAATTTTATTGTAAAAATATTACTTGCAATTAGTTTTGTAGCCGTTTTATTACTTTTTTTGCACGTGAAAAACTATAAATTTGCAAATTTAGTATCATTAAGTTTTTTAATATCCATGACTTGATGAATTACACCACATCACAATAAACGTAGGTACCAAAAATAAATTTGGTATGGAAAAAGATTCTTAGCAGCCGACGATTAACCTCAGTTTTGACCTTGTAAGTAGCCTTTTAGGCCTAATAATAGTATAATCTTTTAAGCCTAATAACAGTAAAACCTCTTAGGCTTAGTAACAGCTATATAGTAAATTATGTGCAAAGCTTGTTTTGTCATCCCTTGGAAACCTGTAGTCCTTAAGTGTACCCGTTCAGAATATCAAACTTGTTCTGTCCTTAACAGACGGTTATACCTACCCCGAACTAATTTAAAAGCAAAAAAGTACATTTGCCCTTCAAGTAAACCAATTTTAAATCCAATAAAACTTGTTTTTTTAAATTTCCAGCCTTTTTTTATTAGGTCGTTCAAATAATTCTGCTTCTCAAAGCAGATTTTCAAAGTCAGTGAGCACAGGACTATTTGAACAACCTAATGCCTCTTTTTAACCAAACAAAGTCTTCTTTTAGTACTTTATCACAAAAAAACCTAGTCTTACAGGGCTTGTTAGTACTTTTCCGTAAACACCGTACCACTTTAAGTACCCTTTTATTAACTACCTGCCCGTTTTAGCCATTGTTCCCCCAAACCCCGCCCGTTATAACACTTTTCCAGCAACCAACCCCCTCCCTCCCCGGATTTCCTAGTACTTTCTCATGTATTTCTATGCTTGTTTACCAAGTTTTAATTGTGTTGACCAGCTCTTGCAAAAGTGTTTTCAAAACTCCAACTTATTCGACTTTTTGTAGCGTTATGTTTGGCTAGGAGTTCGTTTGTTTTCGTTAAACTTATTTGTCGAAAATTCGTTTTGGATTGTTTTTGTTGAAATTGTCGGTTCGTTTTTTGATAAAATCAAATACTTGGCTGTTTGTGGGGTTGGTTATTATTTTTTTTGGCTGTTTCGAGGGTTGTTTTTATATTTTTTTAATATTACCTTGTCAGTTCTTGACAGTAAAGTGTTGCAAATTGTGGACACATAAAAAGTAAAGTGTTGCAAATTGTGGTACTGTAGTGTTATTTTAAATCATAAGCATTGTTGTCTTCAGATTCCCCTGCACGTACGTACCTCTTCGTTACTAGAGGTCAGTACGGTCACGAGAATCTAAAGCAACATGCATTCCATTAGCCGAAACCAAAACCCTCCCAATTATCTCTATTTTAAAACTTAATCTTCTTTGTTACACATACATACTCACCCCTCTTCACCCTATAAATAACCCTTTCACCACGTTTCACCGTTATTTTTGTACCCCCCAACCCATCCTTTTCTTCTCCACCCGCGAGCTGCCCAATATATTTGATTGTACATTTTAAAAAACAACATCAGAACGCCATGTGGAAGCCTTCACGAACGTGCTCCACTTTTTTCCGCTTCAGAGTTTACACACTGTTTTTCCGTGGCAAGAGAAATGGAGAAGGCAGAGAGTGATCAAAACACTTTCTTCTGTCTTTTTTGGCCGTTTTTTCTGGGTTTGTTATTACCGGGTAAAGTTATATAACAATGGGAGATTTGTCAGAAATTAGCAGGGGGTTGGGAGGTTATTGGGCAGTTTTAGCTGTTAAATTTTCCGAGAAAACCTCTTTCCGAAGCATAATTTTGATTTTTTGCGAACCTTGGCAATTTCTAGGAAGTAAAAAATCATTGTTTTTAAATTTTTGAGACTCATTTTCAACATCGTTCCTAACAAAACAACTCACAGAATTTCTTCCTTCACTCTTAATGCCAATAACTCAAATTTCCATCAAATCTCAAGCTGTTTTTTAGGCCAGATCTTCCGTTTTTCAGCTTTTTTAAGCCTAAATTGAACCCTAAAGCTTTTTAACTTAGGTCCTAAAGTTTTCTTAAGTCCTGCTAGCCTATAACTTCAAGATTCAAGCGTTTGTTTGAATAGACCTTTAACTTAACGCTTTTTTTAGGTCTAATCTTAACTCTTACATAGTTTTTAAAACCTATGGCAACATGTTTTGAGCTCCTTATCATAAAATGACTAAATATCTTCAGCCAGCTTGTATTCCCTGATATTTCCCCTGTCCTTTGTTGTTCTTTTCCACACCTATTTCCAAGCCTTTCTATTTGTCAAACCTTTATCACTATCCATTGCCAAGCCTTTCTAAATATCCATTACCAAGCCCTCCTCCTTATCCATGCCAAACCTTTATTAATACCCATGACAAACCTTTCCCCGTATCCATTGCCAAACCTCCTTGCCTACAACTCGCCCATCACCCAAAGAACTACTCACTCAAACCGTGTTTACAACGTGCTCTAAAGAATGGCACTCATTTCTCAAAATTGATGATCAGGTTTGTTATCACCATTCCGTTCAATTTCGTCCCAAGGCCTCCCTTTTCAGCGGGTGATAATCACAATTCATTGCCCCGTCTTTTTTTCTTATGGATGGATCACATGTTGCAGTGGGGCTTTCGTCTGCCTGAATTATTTGCTTTTTAAGCGCTTTTAAATTCAAAATGAGCTGTAGGAATTGCCAATTTTAAGCCGGTTTATGAAGCGCCAGGATTGTAATTTAAAAAATAATTTTAAAATGGTCGGGGTTGCAAATTAAACGCAGTTTAGTGGGCGGGGTGGAAAATTGAAATCAGCTTGGGTGAGTTTTGTGGCATTGGCTTATATTGTTTTAGATTGATATTGTTATGTTATTTATCAATTTTAGCTATTTTGCTATTTTACGCACAAAAGTAAACTTAATTTAGGTAACACAGACCTGCTTACAGCGTCTTAAAAAGTTTCAAAATCATTGCTATCAGAATCCGCTAGCTCCAACGACAAATATTATCCATGACAAACCTGACCTTTTTTATTAAAAACATAAAAATCCTTTTCCTTTATCTTCTTCAACTTTTGAAAACAATTTTTCTTAAAAACTACATCAATTCCAGTCTGCAACATATTATTTTAGGCCCAAAAACAATAGTTTCAATCTACAACAATATAATTTTACATCAAAGCTCCTCCTAAACCGGTTAAACATTTAATATTAGCTCAACTTACCAAAAAATCCCCTCTTTGTCTGTAAAATATTCAAATAACCAAACACTATTTTAATTTCGCAGTATGTTTGCTTTGCCCTAGTTCAGAAGAACAAAATCCGACAAAAAACTGCTGATGCAACACAACACTTGGCACACTTGAATTAGCGAGTCAACTGTGGCTTTTTGATTGTTTTTCGACTTCGCGAGCTGTTGATAATTTTTTATGACTTTGTTGATCGTAAAAATAGTTATATTTGTTATAATATCTTTTATTTTATCTTGTTTTAGGTATTAAACTGCAGAACCAACCGAATTAGTTTGTTATATTAACATCAACGGGTATTACGTCGGCAATGGATCGAGCATCGCCGGATTTGGTCAGTGATGAAGGTAAGGTTTTGGGTAATTAAATTAGTATGTATTAGCTATATTTTTACGAATTTTTATTAATTCGTGTTTGGTAGAAAATTATTTATGATGATTTGAAATTTGAGAAGATCTACCTTATCATAGGTTATATTCTAATCGATTTTTCGCTAATTTATCGACAATTATATTGAATTTCCTTTTCCAATAAGATACTCTGATACCTACTTGAACTTTTTAAACCAAAATGAAGGTTTTAGAATCACTAATCCACGTGTTATGTTGTTTTAGGTGAGGAAAGGCCAGCTGGCAGTGGGAATTTGGTTTGCCTGGTTTGTGGAGATACAGCGACCGGTCGACATTATGGTTCAGTAGCTTGTAATGGTTGTAAAGGGTTTTTTCGACGTACTATCAGAAGGAACTACAAATATACGTGTCGATTTAGCGGAAATTGCCAAATTGATAAACGTATGTTGTACTTGATGGTGTATATTTAAATTTATCTTTCTTGCTGAAGATCAACGTGTTATTTGGAAAATTTTATATTTTTATGAAGCTAAAACCTCGCTTTATCTACTCCAATATTAATATTTGGTTAATAATAACATTTTTGCAGATAATCGAGCAGTTTGTCGCGCCTGTCGTTATGCAAGATGTATAAGATACGGGATGAAAGTTGATGGTAAGAAAAAATTTTTTTAAATGTTTATGAATGTTTAGCGGTACAAAATGAACGTGATCTCATTGGAAAACGGCCAAGAACTCAATCGGCAAACGGGGGAGGGACTGCTTCACCTCCGAACGGGCCTGCTCAAGCAAATTCGGCCGCTTCACCGACTGGTATTAACTGTGCCAACTTCTTTAATAGTGACAGCAACGGTCCTGGGTTAGTTTATTGTTTTGTGGATGTTTGCGATGGTTAGGGGTTGTTTTTCTAATGTTTTTAAGAGTTTTTGCTCATGGATAATATCGCAGATCGTTTTGGTCGAAATTTTTTTAATTTTGTGAGGGTTTTTGACATTTTTGGATAAAAAATTAATTTAAAATGAAGGCTTTACATTTTTTAGGTTATTTTTAAGCATTAGAAGTTCAAAGTCTTCAAGTTTTATCTAATTTCAGGTCGATTCCAACTACCTCAACGTCGACCGACCCGTGGGAGTCGCCCAAGGCATTGTTGGAACTGTTGTTGCGTTCGGAGGAGAAGGAGAAGAATTTGCGGGCTACAGTAATAAAGGAAACGGGAAAACTCGAGTTTACAACCAAGAACGAACCGGTACGATGTTGTTATTGATGTTAATAATTGATGTTGTTATGATAGCGATTATTTATGGGGAATTTGAAAAATTTTGCGGGAAAAGGAGTTTTGAAAGTGCAGAAATGGATTGATTTCTTTGCTTAAGTAAATTTAAATATTTTAGCGCTTTTCATCGACCACGAGTCGTAAAAAGGCCACTTATAATGACATTCTTCATTCACTGCACAGTCAATTGTTGTTGGTCATTGAATGGGCCAAAACTCTTCGTCCGTTTGCTGAATTATCGACTGAAGATCAAACTGCATTGTTGAAGAACTTTGCTTCGCAACATATCGTGTTATGTGTGGCATATCGGTCGATTAACACTTGTGACATGTTACAATTGATCAATGACACTTGTATTCCGAGGGCTAGTGGAAGAACTGAGTAGGTTTTGGGTTGAAAAGAAAGGTTTGGCTAGTTTGAGGTCTGGAATGAAAGTTTTTTTGTGATTTTTTGTTTTGTAAATAAAGTTTTTGTAATTTTTTGTTTTGTAAAGAAAGTTTTTGCATTTTTTATTTTGTAAAGAAATTTTTTGTAATTTTTTGTTTTGAAAAGAAAGTTTTTGCTATTTTTTGTTTTGAAAAGAAGTTTTTTGCGACCTTTTGTATTGTAAAGAAAGTTCTTGCCATTTTTTTGTTTTGTAAAGAAAGTTTTCGTCATTTTTTGTTTTGTAAAGAAATTTCTTGCATTTTTAAAAAAATTCTATTTTCAGTGACTTCTACTCGAAGGACTGTGACAGAGTGATGGACACTCTGGTAGCACCAATGAGATTCCTCCAAATGGACGATGTTGAGTTTGTCACAATGAAGGCTTGTGTCCTATTCGATCCGGTAGCCAAAGGCTTGTCGAACGAAAGTGTAATGAAAGTTTTGGACACAAGGCGGAAGATCTTCTCGGCTTTGGAATTTTATGCCAGAAGCAAGAATGGCGAAGGATCGAGTCGAATTGGTGATTTGACTTTCTTCATCTTGTCACCATTGCAGGTATGGAGGAGGTGTTAGGTTTTAGGCTTAAGCTTTTAGGCTTAGGTTCTAGGCTTAGGCTTCTAGGCTGAGGATCCTAGGCCTAGGCTTAGGCTTCTAGACTTAGGCTTCTAGGCTTAGGCATATAGGCTTCTATTCTTAGGTTTATACTTGGTTTTAAAATTTTTAGCTTTTTGAAATTTTTTTTCGAAATTTTTTAAATTTTTTAGAGCTTGGCCAAGTCCATCTCCGAAGACATTTTGGTCTCGAAGCTCTCGGGAATGGCCCGCATCGATATGCTAATGGAAGAACTGATCCTCGAAGACACCGAGCCAAAACAACGAACTCCATTAAGCCTACAACGATCGCTATCAGAAACCGAAGATCCAAATTTCAACGAATTTCCAGCTCCAATGTCTGCCAACTCCGAGCCACAACTATCACAACAACCGACATACGATGACAGTATGGTATACCCAACGTCGGTTACGGTAGGATCAGCCCCAACTGATATACAATTGCCACCCAAGAATGCTATACCCGCGATGAAAAGCGAAATGTCACCGATTCATCAGTACGAAATGATGTCAACACTGTCGTCTTACGTGTTTGGAGGGACGCTGCAGAGGTAGGCTTTGGGGTTTAGCTTTAGGCTTAATTTCGGTTATTAGGCTTAGAAAATGATTTTTAGGCTTAGGAATTGATATTTAGGCTTAAAATGGATTTCAGGCTTAGAAATTTATTTTTAGGCTTAGAAAATGTTTTTTAGGCTCATCAATTGATATTTAGGCTTAAAATGGTTTTTAGGCGTAGAAAATTATTTTTAGGTTTATAAAATGATATTTAGGCTTCGGAATTGATTTTTAGGCTTAGAAACTGATATTTTGCCTTAGGAATTGATTTTTAGGCTTAAAATGGAGTTTTAGGCTTAGGAACTGATTTTTAGACTCAGAAGGTGATTTTTATGCTTAGGAATTGATTTTTAGGCTTAAAATGGATTTAGGATTAGAAATCTATTTTTAGGCTTAGAATATGATTTTTAGTCTTAAAAATCACTTTTAGGCTTAGAAAATAATTTCGGGGCTAAAAATGTCTTTTTAGACTTAAAAAATTATATTTAGGCTTAGCAAAGTATTTTTAGGCCCCACCATTACCTTTAACAACCTATAATCTTCCATTTCAGCCCCCTATCCCCCTCGAACGATGTAATGTTTTCATCGGCCGCCAACGTCGTTTCCCCATCCGATATGACCGACAGCAGAGTGACGAGTCAATCAACGCTGGAAGACCTTAGCCTATTATCCTCCACCTCGCCTCAACAATGGCCACAACCTTTGCCCATGACCTCAGGTCGTCTATCGACTCAAATCAACTACAACAACACCCCCAACGTCCAATCGCCCAGCAACATGTACATGCCTCAGGCGTTTTAGGGGGATTTTTGAGTTTGAACTTGAAATTTAAAAAATTTTTTGGTTTTTTGAAAAATTTGGAATTTAAAATTTTTTTATTTTGTCAAAATCATCAGAAATGTCATCAAAATGGCCATACTGAAGCGGTTTTTTGCCCAAAATGCCATTTTTAGTGGTTTATTTAGGCCGAAAATATGCGTTTTGAGGTTGTTATTGGTTAAAAATGTCATTTTTTACTAAAACTATTGATTAAAATTCATTTTTCATAGTTTTTATATGGTAATATGTTTTAGTATTACTCTATTTTTATATTTTTTCAACAATTTTTAGCTTTTGGATTGTTATAAATTGTCTTTTCAAGTCTATTATTGCGTTTATTTTACTGATATATATTTGGAAAATGTCATTTTATTGTTTTTGTTAGGTAGAAATGTCATTTCTATACATTTTTAATCAATTTGCAGCGATTTTAGAGGATTTTTTGGACAGTTTAGGTAACAAAAGTCCTTAAAAATTGCTGAAAATTGAGTTTTTTATTTTTAAAACGAGTTTTTTTTTTAAATTTATGCCGTTTTTAAACCATAACTTATATAAAAACCCTTTTATCACAACTTTTTTCAAATCAACATACCACATTTTTACCCATACCCTACCTAAAATCATGTTTTTATCCCCACCTAACACAAAAGTCATTATAATTTCGAAAGAAAGTTTGCCAGCTACAGAAGAATGTCATTACGAGTCGATGCCAATTGAAAAAATACCTTTATATTCCTCGAGAATTGTTTTGCTATTTATACCTCATCGAACGTCTGTCCTACCCCAAGTTTGTTCTATATCGATAATATTTGGTCTTGTGCTATAATATTTTTTACTTGAAACAGAATTTTAAAAATAAACAGTTTATTATTTTGTGAAGTTGGGTTGTTTTTGAAATTTTACTTCTGCCTTTACATCTACATCTATCCCTGGGGCCAGGGCCGGGCGGGCATTTTTAGACCGGAGGCGGCTGTGCCGATTTTTTGCGAAAAATTTTTTCGAAAAATCCACAGGGGGGACCATGTTCAACTTCTTTCAAAAAAATTTTTTTTTCTGGGGGGGGGGACCTAGGAAGCGCCCAGCCCTACCTAGGTCCATACTTTGCCCTACCTTGCTTTGCCTTTTCCTATATTGGCCTACCTTGCTCAAACCTGCCTTACTGTGCCTTACCGTACCCTACTTTGAACCATCTCGCCTTACCTTGTTTTACCTGGCCTTAACTTGCCTTAACTTGCTCTATATTGCACTAATTTGCATTGCCTTGTCCTTATTTGCTCTATCTTAAAATACCTTGCCCTACCTTGCACTTTCTTGCCGTACCTAGCCTAACCTTGCCCTAGCTTGCTTTATTTTGATTTACTTTGCTCTACCTTGCATTACTTTGCTTTAACTCACCCTATTTTGTCCTACCTAGCACTAACGTAGCCTACGCTATCCTACTTTTTCCTACTTAGACATAATTTGTTCTATCTTGCCTTGATTTGCCATATCGTGCAATACTTTGCCTTACTTTGCCATACCGTGCAGTACTTTGCCTTGTCTTGCAATACCTTTCTCTACTTTTCTTTACTTTGCTCTACCTTGCTTCTTCTTGCATTTCCTTGCACTCCCTTACCTTACCTTTTTCTTCTTTGTCTTATTCTGCTCTAACTTGAAGTTCTTTGTCCTGTGTTGCCCTTCCTTTCTGTACCTTGCCCTACTATGTCATACTTTGCTCTATCTTGCTCTACCTTGCCCTAACTTGCCCTGCTATGTCATAATTTGCCCCGTCTTGCCCTACTTTATTTTACCTTGCCTTACCATGCCTTAATTTGCTCTGCCCTGCTCTACCTTATCCTATCTTGCCCTCTTCTACAAACGTCAAACTTCAAAAAATGTTTCAGCCAATTCTTAGGTAGCCATCTTGTAAACCCCTCTTTGACTCGTTCAAAGCCCAGCCATCAAGCATTGAAATTAAACCAGCGCGGCCTTGAAATAACATACAAAAGTCTCGTTTAACTATTCGGAACGTTCATGTGTTTTCCGCTTTAAAATTTAAAAAAAACCAAACTGACGGGATTTTTTATTTTTACAAAAATGTCTTTTTTCTCTGTTCTTCCACGTTGGGGCGCTTAATTAGGCCGGGCAGGTTAACGCGGAAGTGGCTAGAGGGTTTATATGCGTATTTAGGGGGTTGATTAAGCTATTTTTAGGACGTTTGATATGATATTTGGGTGTGGCAGTGTGGGGTGGGGTAGAAAAAGAGCAGAAAGAAAATGTGTGGAGAAGGGTAGGGATTAGGATTGAGCATAGTACAATTTCTGTAAGGCTGATCTTTGGTAAAAAGTTTTGTTGTTTGTAAAGGTACGGTAACAAGAAGAATGGGGTAGGGTAGGGTAGAGTAGAGTAGGACACCTTTAGGAAAGATAAGGCGTTCTGTAGGGTAGGACTTATTGTACGATGGGGCTTGGCATAGGGTAGGATAAGGAAGAACAGAGTAGGGTAGGACAGGGTAGGGTAGGGTAGGGTAGGGTAGGGTAGGGTAGGGTAGGGTAGGGTCAAAAGACCAATCACCTGTTTTACAACGTATAAGTCAATGACAAGATTCTAGTCTAGCTCTCTCGGTCGCTAAATGGCTTTTTTAAAATTAATGAAGGACGTGCGATCATTTTAATTTTATTTTTTGATTTTATCAACTCACAACTTTGCGATTCTGCTTCAATTAGATCAATGATAATATTAACTGCAAACATGCTTATTGTTTTGCATTTTGTGTCATTTTAACAAGATTTTTGCTTAAATTTGAAAGACATTATTAAATGGCATGTATAGATAGTGTTGTAAAATTTAAACTCAAGTTTGAAACGTTTTTTGACTTTTTTAGGGCCTATTTAGAAGCTTAGGCTTACTCTTAGGCGTAGGCTCTTATGCTTGGGCTAAGGCTTAGGCTTAGGCTTAAATTTATACCTTTGAGCTTAAGCTTAGGCTAAACTTAAACCTCAAGCTAAAACATTTTTTTGCTTGTGTTTAGACTTAAAATTATATAGAGAAGCAAATTCTGTAGGCTTAAACTTAAGATTTAGGCTTAAACGTTAATTCATTTCTTTGATAAGGTTTACATGCAATTTTAAGTTATTTTGTAGCTACGTACTAACTGTTTGATTATATAGTTGTTCAAACACTGAACGCCTAAACCTCAAAATCGCTTGGCCTTTTGTTCACCTTTTGACTTTTCAAAAATCGAAATGTGCTATGGGCCTGGCAGGTTCTTTTTGCAAGTTTTTAACAATGTTCGTATTTGTGGAACGTCACGTGTTCAATTTATAATATTTGTTTTTGTTTTCGACGAGTAGTAAAATTAATGTTCTCTTCTACTCTAGCAACGTTATTTTTAGTTGTCGATTGGGAAATGTACGTAGTTGTAGTTGAGATTTGTAGACATATTATTGTTTTAATTGGCTAGGGCTGGGGCCACTTTTAGCTGTAGGCAGGGCCGAGCGGGAGGTCTGGGTCTGGCAGGGGGAGACAAGGAGGAAGAGGAGGGCAATTTTTTTTCAAACGTTTACAGGGGGATTACGTTAACTTTTTTTTAATTTTTTTCCGTGGAAGGGGGGGGTGAAGTACTTCCTTGCCCCCCCCTCCCCCCCATCCTCAATTTGTATGTAATTAAACTTTTTTTTGAAATTTGTAGGCTTATATAAATAAAAAAATGTTTGCGTGACAAATACCGAGATTAATCTGACGACTCTCTGTTACGTTAATTAGCAGGTTTGGTAACAGAGCTAATTTATTCCGTTGGGAGGTTTCATTGTGTTTAGATGAGATAAACATAGGTTTTGCGTATATTATGCTTTGATGTCAATTTCTTTATTTTCTCTTAACTATTTAGACTTATGGTTTTGATAAACTTAGGTTAAGCAAACTTGGGCTTGGTAGGCTTAGCGTTAGTAGGCTTAAACAAAACTTTGGTTTATTAGGGTTATGATTAGTAGGCTTAGGTTTAGTAGGCTTGGGCTTGATAGACTTAAACTTAGTAGGCTTACGCTTAGTAGGCTTAGGCTTAGTAGGCTTAGGCTTAGTAGGCTTAGGCTTAGTAGGATTAAGCTTAGTGGCCTTAGACTTAGTAGGCTTAGGCTTAATGAGCTTAAACTTAGTAGACTTAATATTAACAGTTTTAAGCTAAGTAGCTGTAGTCTTAGTGTTTTTAGCATTACAATGCTTAGGTTTATTAGGATTAATTTTGGCTTAGTAATAAGTAGTCTAGTAATGCTGTGGTAACGTAGTATAAAATAAGATAAAATTATCTTATGACGTGCGAGTATGGTTTAAACTATACAACAATATTAAGGTAATATTAAATGTTGTGTTTTTCTAAATGCTATTTATATTTTATATATTTGATGTAAAAACACACGTTGTAGGGTGTTAAGAGCATTTTTATATACCCATTTTAATGATATTCCGTTTTGTCTTTTGTATAAAACATTAAGAAGACATTTGAAAACGTGATTAATATTGTGTATGTTCTACTCGCAATGTGTTTTAGTTTTTGTTCTTCATATTTTAAAAAGTTTACAGGCAAAATGAAACGTTTACCGGTCGTTTCAATGGAAGACCTGGAGCTATTTCCACAAAATATCTCCAACTTACGGTATCCTTTGGATCGACGGATCAGTAATGACGTTAGTGAGGTAAGTGGAAGGTCAGTGTAGAGAAGCATAAGCAGGGTTGAATAGATGGGTAGAGTAGAGTTGGATAATTGGGTAGGGCAAGGCTGATCTAGGTTGGACAGGACTGGGCCTGGGTTGGTCTGGACTAAGCTAAGCTAAGTAATGTTAATGTAAGCTAGGCTAGACTAGATTAAATCAGATCAAGCTAGACTAAGCTAAATTAAACTAAGCTAAGCTAAGATTGGCTAAGCTAACTTAAGCTAGTTTAACCTATAATAATATACCCACATATATATTTTAGTTCCTCCGCCAAGAAGACCCACTATGGTGGTCTCGGCTAGTGATATCAGCCCGGGGCTTCTTGATGAATCTTCAGAATTACACTGATGAGCAGATTTTCAATATGGATGATGCTTTTATTGAAATTCATCGAGTTTTTGTCACCAAAGAGTCATCGATGACTCCTCAAGATGTAAGTTGGCTAGTCATTTTCAGGTCTATTTAGTACCTCATGGCTTACGGTATCTTGACCTTATATATATACGATAATATAAAAACAAAGTTTTAGTTCATCCACCACCTGAACGTTCTATACTCAGTACCTGACTATCTTGACGTACTTCAACGACTGGACCCCTCTCTTAATGGATATCTTGAAGACAATCCGTTTGAGTTGGAACCTCAAAGAAGTTCGTTTTCCAGTTTCTTTGGACATCCAGGCAATCCAAGAAACTTGGCTATAGCGAATAAACAAAAACTAGCCTACGACGTCTTCTTTAGGCTTCTGAAGATGTGCTACGAAAGGTTCAGAGATCCAGTCAAGACTATGAGGAAGGGCATCAAATTTAGTACTGTAAGTGGTGATACTAGTGTTGAATCTTAATATCTTTGTTATATTATGGTAGAGTACAATAGGATACGGTAGGGTAGGGTACGACACTGCACGGTAGAGTACATTAGGGTACGGTACGGTAGATTAAAGTAGGGTACGGTACGGTAGGGTAAGGAGGGGTTAGGGTGGCGTAGGGTTCAGTAGGATACGGTACGGTAGGGTACAAAGGGGTTACGGCAGAGTAGGGTATTGTAGGGTAGGGTAGTGTAGGGTAGGGTAGGGTAGAGTAGGGTAGGGTAGAACAAGCAACTTATAAAAAATGATACTATTACGTAACCTACATATCGTTATAGGACCCCGAATGGCAACCAGACAGCCGAGTAGTACTATTCCAATCATTTGGTCAAAACAATCGTACTTGGGTCCTAACAGATTTTGATAGACATATTATTAAACATTGGCGACCAAATGGAATTCAAGTCATCTTTGGTGACGCATACTTGGAAAAGAAGCAAAGAGCTGGCTACAGTCTCTGCGATTACTGTGGAATGCTGGAACAAACAAAGGCACAGTTTCCTGTTTATCAGAAACACAGGTAAGTTAGTTTAATTTGTTTTACTGCACTTTTGATCTAGTCTTAGCTTTAGCCTAAGGTTACGCTTAAGCAAGGGCTTGAGCTTGAGCTTGAGCCGAAGTTGAGCCTGAGCCGGAACTGGTGCCGGAGCTTGAGCTTGAGTTTAAGCTTTAGCTTGAGCCTGAGCTTGAGCTTGAGCCTGAGCCTCAGCTTGAGCCTGAGCCTGAGCTTGAGCTTGAGTTTGACCCTGCGCCTAAGCCTGAGTCTAAGCCTGAGTCTGAACCTAAACTTAAGTTTGAGCCTTAACTTTAATCTTAGTCTTAGCCTGCGTTTGAACTTGAGCTTTAGCTTGCGCCTGAGCTTGGGTCCGAGCCAGAGTTTTAGCCTTAATTACTTCTAGTTCTAGTCTTTATTTACTTTACATTCTTCAAGCGTCTACAATTACAATTCGGAAGATATAGATTAGATTAGTAGTTTGATGCCTTAGATTGTAACGTACTGTGCTGATGTGCAAGGATGTTCAAGGTTCAGGTGAAGACCAACGGAGCAATCCTTGAGTCTGACGTTTCCCATAATTGGGCCTCTCCCCAGGTATTTCACTGTTCCTCGCGTCACTGAGTCGTGGGTGCTCTATAAGACTTCTGGCGTTCAATCATATACTCGTGTAGGCGCGGGGTTGAACCAAGGTGTTTCCGAATAGCGAGCGGTGCCACAGCCATTGCGCTACCAACGCACTAAATCCCTCTCTTTGTTATAGTACTTGCTAACAGGCTTTTCTCAATCTTTACTGCCGAAATTTTGAATTATTTGTGTAGAACATTTTATGAACCGAACCCTAATGTAGGTTACATATACGTAATTTTCAGATTCTGTTCCGAACAATGTTTTGTAGCTCTACTAGACGGAAAGAAGTAGAAATTGGACAGCTAGACACCTATAAAAGAGCAGAAATAAAAATAATGTAAATACAATATCAACTGGCATTTAAACATCACTGTTTTACGAGTAATTGAACAAAGCACTACATACAACTACAATACCATTTTCAATTTGAAACGTATTTTATGATTTTTAATAATTTTGTTATTAGCAATAAATTCCTTTCATAATATACTACGTTACTATTTGAGCTTAATTAAAAAATTTGAAGAATTTACAAGGAAAGTGCCCGACCTGCCCCGCTCTGATTGCCTTCAAACTTTTTATAAAGAAAGACCATCTAAATATAAGATCTTCAGCAAAGTACTAAATCGCGCTTTCCAGGAAATCTCGAGAAAATCGAGATTAAAAAATGACATTTTGAATTTCCCGCCAACTTGGCATTGTGTTTCAAGCTAGTAACTTTGTCATTTTTTGACTTTTTATCATTTTTCTTTGATATACTAGTAGAATACCTTTAAATGAACCTACATTTTTAAATTTGTAAGCATATCTTGTCTGGAAAGCCGAAAAAAGTGCTTGAAACACAATGCCAAATTTGCTAAATTGGCGGGAAACTCAAATAATTTAAATTTAAAACTCAAAAGCGCGAGCTAAAATTTGTTATGGGTACTATTGGTGGTACAAAGAATTCATATAAAAATATTGAGCTGATTCTGAGCGGGGCAGGTAGGGTACTTTCCTTGTTAGTTTCTTCTGACCCTACCACAACATCGAAACTCAAACTTTGCTCTTTTATCTTTCAACTTTTTAATTTTTTTTAAAGACATGAGGTATAGCAACAAAGAAGCTCAGATTCCGTATGAATAATCACATGAAATGCTAGTAATACAATAACAATCGATTCGAAATCACGTGAACTGATCAATCGACTAATTCGCTTTATCAACGAAAATTTCATAACATTTTATATTAAAAGGTAGTTGAAACTTCCTAAAGGTATTTGATCGGTGTTTGGTTTAGTTTTTACGGGTTTTGGTAGTAGTAATGTAAAACAAGTGTTGCGTTCTCTTAATGGTTTTAGGGCAGTTAGGTTTAAGGTAAGCTTGAGTCTGAGCTCGAACTTTAGTTTGCGCTTGAGGCTGTGATTTAGCTTGAAGTTAACGAAAAGCCTAAACTTGAGTCTAAGACCAAGGTTGAGCTTGAGGCAGAGCCTGAGCCTAAGTTTGTGTCTTAGCTTGAGCTTACGCTTAAGAGAAAGCCGGAGTCGGAGCCCATGCTTGAGCCTGAAGCAGAACCTAAGCAGGAACCTTAGACTGAGCTTAAACCTAAACTTAGAACTAAGACAGAGCTTAAGCGTAATGGTAAGCCGAAGTCTAAGCTCAAACTTAAGCCTGAGTGAGGCAAAGCCTTAGCCTGATCACAATTTGAACCTAAGCTTGAACTTGAGTTTGAGCTTGAGCCTGAACCTGAGTCAGAGCTTGAACTTGTACTTGACCTAAAGCTAAGTCTAAGTTTTCACTTAAGCTCGATGCATGAGCGTGAAAATAGGGTAAGCTTGACCTAAGGTTACGCTTAAGAAAGGGCCTGAGCTTGAGCTTGAGCCAAAGTTGAGCCTGAGCCGAAATTGGTGCCGGAGCCGGAAATTGAGCTTAAGCTTTAACCTGAACTTATGTCTGAGCTTAAGCCTGAGTCTGAGTCTGAGCTTCAGCTTTAACTTAAGCTTGCGCCTAAACCTCAGCCCAAGCATTAGCCTTTACCTAAGTCTTAGCTTTGGTCTCAACTTGAGTCTTGGCCTTAGCATTAGCCATATTGTTCTTTGTTTACAAACAAATTTAGTTGTTTTTTTCAAGTTTGTGTACTTTAAGTTGTGTTGTTTCAATGTTATTTTGACCTTAACACAAGGATGGATATGGGGAATGAACAACAAAGAACAGGGTTTATATTTTCATTGACTAGAGAAGGGTAAACTCAAAATAATGAAGAACAATAGGTATCTTAGGATAGAATGAGATAGATTTCAATTTTATACCTAACTATGACAATATTTCCAAATTCCTAATAACCAGACTTTTTTATATTTGATCGAGACAATAAATTTAGTAATTGATAAATAGAATTGATATTGTTTTGTGTGACGTTCCGATCACAAAGCGTATATTTTGTTATCAAATTTAGCGAAAAGCTTATAATGGTGTTTGGGGCGGAAGAAGAACCGATTCCTCGCTCGAAAACCCTGATTTTAGTGTAACTTACTGACCGTTGCGGGGTGGTTATGACGCAGGATTTTATGTTGTTACTGTGTAAATATATTACAATTATTTGGGGTTACAAAGTAAAGTACAATAGAAAAGGGTAGGGTTGGTTATCAGCGTAATAAAATTTTACAGTTGATTTGAAGGGCATGGTAGATTTTGTAAAGCATGCTGAGCTTGTAGGGCATGGCGGATTTACTGAGCATAGTAAATTTTTAGGGCGTGGTAAATTTATAAGGCATGGCAGCTTTGCAAAGCATAGTAAATTGATAAGGTATGATAAGTTTATCAGACCGGGTAGGTCTTGGTAGATTTTTAGGGCATGGTAGGTTTGTAAGGCATGTTAAATGTTTAGGGCATGGTAGATTTTTAAGACATGGTAAATTTATAAGGCATGGCAGCTTTGGAGAGCATAGTAAATTGTTAAGGTACGGTAAATTTGTATCACTGGGTAGGTTTGTAGGACATGACAAATTTTTAAGGCATGGTAGATTTGCAAAGCATGGTAAGTTTGCAATATATGGCTGTTTTGTAAGGCATGGTAGAATTATTGGCAAAGCTTGATTTGAAGATAGGGTAGGGTAGGGTAGGGTAGGGTAGGGTAGGGTAGGGTAGGGTAGGGTAGGGTAGGGTAGGGTAGGATAGGGTAGGGTAGTTTTTTCGTATTTTTTTAAATGTCGTTTTTGTTTTGCGTCTTATAAACTATATATTACACCTTTCAGCTCATATTAACGTTTGTCGATCGCTCAAAAAACTACTTTTAAAAGTTTTATCAAGAAGAAGACCCCTTAGGGTTTAGCGCGCAATCGTGACTAACACTCTTGCAAATAGTATATTATCATATGGGCTTATTTCAAAGGGTTTAGCTGTCTATATGATACACTTTTGTATCATTTTTTGTCAAAATTTTAAGTTTTTTAGTATTAAAATTTTATTTTTATATAATACGAAGGCGCTCACATATACGACGTGCTGTAAAACCATTGTAAAATTTAAAAAATGTAAAGTTTATCCTTGTTTTCATCGAATTTTGTAGATTAATTTTGTAAATTGGGTATAAAAGACAAACAAGACTGGTCAGAATGGCAGCGGAAATGTCACATTCGGCTTCGATGCCTGTCATCAGTGTGTCACAGGTGAGTACTGTATTTTTTTGAAAAAATTTTTGAATTTTTTAGGATAAGCATGGGGGTAGGGCTAAAATAGAAAAAAAAAGATTAGTTCACCAGTAAGCTAGTCTAGGCTTGGGCTTGTGCTCACAAATAAGCTTAAACTCAGGTTTTGACTTTGGTTTAAGCTAGCTAGGTTATATGTACTTTAAGTTTAAGATACTCTAGGCCATGCGTAAGGTTTAGATTTTGGTTAAGCCGAGGCTAACTTTGTGCTAATGCTAGCTAGGGCTGTGGGCTAGGGCTGTGGGCTAGGGCTGTGGGCTAGGGCTCTGGGCTAGGGCTCTGGGCTAGGGCTCTGGGCTAGGGCTCTGGGCTAGGGCTCTGGGCTAGGGCTCTGGGCTAGGGCTGTGGGCTAGGGCTGTGGGCTAGGGCTCTGGGCTAGGGCTAGGGCTCGGGGCTAGGGCTCTGGGCTAGGGCTCTGGGTTAGGGCTCTGGGCTAGGGCTCTGGGCTAGGGCTCTGGGCTAGGGCTCTGGGCTAGGGCTCTGGGCTAGGGCTAGGGCTCTGGGCTAGGGCTTTGGGCTAGGGCTCTGGGCTAGGGCTTTGGGCTAGGGCTCTGGGCTAGGGCTCTGGGCTAGGGCGCTGGGTTAGGGGCTCTGAGCTAGGACTCTGGGGAACACTTTTTTTGACCTTTATACACGCTTAAACGTGTTCGCACGCTTTATTTATAAAACTAAACATTTAAAAAGCAAGAAAAACACGTTACTAGGGAGAGAAACAAGGAAACAATATTTTGTTCTTTGTCCAAATGCCTTATTTCTTAATATTTAGTGCTTATTTCAATTAAAATCGTTTTAGTCTATCAAAAATATATCTAAATTCTAGACTACTTAATTAAGAGCCACCTAAATTTTAATTTATATCTTGGTAATGAAGATTAAAAGAGCTGTTTTGTTTTGTTTTCCTTGCTTTTACAATAACAAAAAGACAAAAAATGGTGTAAGTTTTAAAAATTAAATTAAACTTTTTGAAACTTCGAACGACAACTCGTATTTTACAAAAAAAATGTCATTTTGAATTATTAGGTGCCGACATAAAGAACCCGCCACTTTTTACAGGAAAGTACAGGCAACATATGGCGGGTTCTTTATGTCGGGGCCTAATATCTAATCTAAAAACTAAAAGAAAACATGTTGTCTACAAGGGCGGGCGGGGGCTTTTGGTCTGGGGGCGGGGGTCGAAAAAGTCCACAGGGGGGGGGGGGACCACGTTCAACTTTTTTCGAAATTTTTTTTCCCGGTGGGGTTTTAAGAGCTCTAAACTATCCTTTCTAAACCCACAACCCTAGCTTATTTTTAACCTTTAAATCTGAAAGTTTTTAAAATTAAAAAAATTTTTTTTTATTTTTAAATTTTTTAACTGCTCCTTTCAGCCCTCCCACGGTAACCACCCCACGCACAGTGTGTCGACGGCACATTTCCCAAAAATCGACGAATTTCCTTTACCGGCGAGCAAATCACAGCTGGGCGATTGGAAGGAAGAGGATGATGGATGTGACGAAGCTCAAGACATTGACTTTACTACTGAACAGGAGATCCTTAAAAAACGTAAGAGATATAAAAAATGGCATGGGTTTTGGTTTTTTAGTTTTTTTTCTTTTTAAAATTACTTTAAGTAACAAAAATTTTTAAGTTTAGGTAACAAAAAAAAATTTTTTTGATTTTTAACTAATGAAAAGTAACAGAAACTCAAAAAAAAAATGATTTTTTTTTAAATTTTCAATTGATGAAAAATAGCAGAAACCCAAAAAATTAGAAGTTTAGGTAACAAAAATATTTTTTTTTTATTTTTAACTAATGAAAAATAGCAAAATTCAAAAAAAAAACATTTTTTAAGTAACAAAAATACAATTTTTTGAATTTTAACTGTTGAAAAATAGCAAAAAACTTGAAAAAGTAATTTTTAGGTAACAAAAATTTAATTTTTTTTATTTTTACTTAATGAAAAAAAGCAGAAACCCAAAAAATAGAAGTTTAGGTAACAAATTTTTCAAAACTTCAATTTTTAGCCAAAAAACTTCAAAAAATCTTCCAAAACAGTGACACTTTGCAAGTAGATGGATCTTTGACCCACGGTTCCTCCAAATCCTCAATGTTAGACGACGCCGAAATGAACGAGGATGATACAATAAACGCATTAGACGAATTGGACAAAGAGGATATGGAAGATTACACTAATCAACAACAAGCAGTTGACAGCAATAACTAAAGATGGCTTTGAGAACGGTGATTTCATAAATATATACACTATCGTATTGGCTTGAATTGAAAGACTAAAGAATATCATAGCCCCGAGCCCTAGCCCCGAGCCCTAGCCCCGAGCCCTAGCCCCGAGCCCTAGCCCCGAGCCCAAGCCCAAGCCCCGAGCCCTAGCCCCGAGCCCTAGCCCAGAGCCCTAGCCCCGAGCCCTAGCCCCGAGCCCTAGCCCTAGCCCAGAGCCCTATTCCAAAGCCCTAGCCCAGAGCCTTAGCCCAGAGCCCTAGCTCGAAGCACGAAGTCTTAGCCTAGAGCCCTAGCTCAGTGCCCTAGCCCAGAACCCTAGCTCTAGCCTTAGCCTTGGCTCTAGCCCTGCCGTACCCTGGCTTTGCAGCATAAGCTAGCTCTGCCCTACGCCTCACAGTACATTATGAACTTACCATAAGTTAACCTTGCCGTGTAATCTGATTTTGTCCTTCTATTATACTTCTACCCCTACCTTCGCCTCTGCCTTTACTTCTACTTCTTTTATTTTTACTTCTGCTTTTACTTCTACCTTTACTTCTACCTTCACTTGTAGTTTTACTTTCACTTCTATCTTTACTTCTAATTTTACTTCTTCCCTTACTTTTACCTCTAACTTTACTTCTACCCCTAACTTCGCTTATACGTTTAATTCTACCTCTACCTTCACTTATACCTTTACTTCTTCCACTACCTTCACCTATACCTTTACTTCTTCATATTATTTATTTTTTCGTTAAAAAAATTTATTAAAACAGTCATTTACAAAGAAGATACTATAACTTTTACCACTTTATCATTATGAACATTTTCGCATATAACTTATAGAGTAATATACACACAATACCTTAACCAACATAGGTACCGCAACTATATTACTCTCCAGAAATAGATATGACTCTGCTTCTTCGTCTGTTCAGATCCTCAATTTCTTCCTCTTCCATTACTGTAAGTACCGAATTTCGACTCTTTTTGCTCCTAAAACTGCTCCAAACCTCGAGTGGTACCACTAATGGTACCATTCGTTTGTACATTAAGCACCATGCAAGTATGATGACAATGAGTACGGCGATTTCAAGTAGCCATGCTGAGCGAGGACCGAACTCGGAGTAGAGATTACTTATGATCAGTGGTCCTAATAGTCGTGCTATTCCACCTGTCATGTACATTAGGCCTTGTTCTGTGCCCTGAAAGTGAGAAAATTGAAAATTATAGTATTATGGTTAGTACGGTACTTAGAGTGTACTAAAATTAATATTGTACTCTTATAGTACTAGTATTGACTAATACACTACTCACATAGTACTGTCTATACAATACATATACAGTGTAAGTACAAAACATATAGTAATAGGCACAGTACAACACTTAGAATGTACTGAAATTTATATTGCACTCACATAGTACAAGTACTACCCAATGTAGTACTTATGTATTAGTACTGGTATATAGTACTAATACTTCATACTATATAGAAAAATAATACAAAAATAATAAAATGTAGTACCAATAGCTCAGTACTAAAACTACAGTACAAAAAAACTATAAACTAAAAGTTACAGTAAGCCACCTACCATATGTCTCGGTCCAATAATTTTAGAAAACAAAGTATTGATTGTAATACTGATACTAGGGAAACATATCCCAATAAACACAATGTAACTCAAGTAAAACAACCACGGATTCACAGTGTTAACTTTGGTACACCAATCATACTTGGCTATGTCGCAACCTGGACTGGTTATATTGGGGGTGACTGAAAATTAGAGTCTGCTTTACAGCTTCCGAGATACGCAAGGTATGGTGGAGCAAGGTATGGCAGGGCGGAGCAAGTAGGGTAAAGGAAGGCAAGGTAAGTTAAAGCAGAGACAAGCAAGGTAGAGCAGAGCAAGGCATGGTAGAGTAGTATAGGGCACGTCAAAGTAAGGTAAGGCAAATTAGTGTAGGGTAAGGCACAGCTAAGCGTAGTAAGGTAGTTGAGAATACCGCAGGGTAGGATACGGAATGAGGTAGGGCAAAGCAAGGCAAGGCAATGCAAGGCAAGGCAAGGCAAGGCAAGGCAAGGCAAGGCAAGGCAAGGCAAGGCAAGGCAAGGCAAGGCAAGGCAATGCAAGGCAAGGCAAGGCAAGGCACGGCAAGGGCAGGGCAAGGGCAGGGCAGTTCTTACCGTCAGAATCGTATGTATTAAGTTTGTCTCCAAAAAATGGCCATGAAAACGTAGTAAAATGAAAGATAATGAGTCCAATTAGGGCAAAAATCGTTTGATTTCTGTTGTTTATACTGAAAAAAAATTCATTTTTTAGATTTTTAAAAAATATTTTGATTTTCAAAACGAAATTTTTCATTTTTTCTAATCTAATGTCATAAATACATTGTCATCATTTGTCATCACTTTTCAAACCCAAATTTAAAAGATATAAGGTTTGAAAAAAGTCTTGTCGCCAAGATACACTGAGTTTCTGTTAAAAAAACGACAAAACTCTTTTAATTGAAAAAACACAATTTTACTTTTAAAAAATCGTTTTTAACGTTAAAAACACAAATTATTACCTAAAATAACTTACAACTTGTCCAATTTCCCAACGAAAAACAGTAGATAAACCAAGAAAGCGCAAAAGCTGAGTGCTCCATGAGCTAGCCCAATATACTTGACAGTCTCCTCGTTAGACCATGAGAACATGATGATACTGAGCGGTGATGCTAGTGTCTCAATGTTCGTGAATGTGAAACGTTGAGCGAACAAGGTGAGACAACATAACACCATAGCAGGCTTGTCATATGAAGGCAGGAGGGGTTCGTCTAGGGACTTGGGCTTGTTTTTCTGAAAAGCTTGGGTGGATTCAAAATTTTCAAAATATATTTGGTTTTTAGGCTTAAAAATGTCATTTTAAGCTTAAAAAATTAGTTTAAAATTAAAAAATGTTTTAGGTTTAAAAATGTAATTTTAGGCTTAAAAATACGAGTCTAGGCTTACATATTCAATTTTAGGCTTAAAGATTAACTATAGGTTTAAAAGTTCAATCTTAGCTTTAAAAGGTCAATTTTAGACTTATAATTCAATTTTAGGCTTAAAATACAATTTTAGGCTTAACGTTTAACTATAGGTTTAAAAGTTCAATCTTGTGCTTAGAAAGTCAATTTTAGGCTTTTAATTCAATTTTAGGCTTAAAATAAAACTTCAAGCTTAAAGTTCAAGTTTAGGCTTAAAAATTTAATTTTAGGCTTGAAGTACAATTTTAGGCTTAATCGTTCAATTTTAGACTAAAAAGTTCAATTTTAGGCTTAAAAGTATAATTTTAGGCTTACAATTTCAATTTTAGGCCTACAATACAAATTTAGGCTTAAAAGTTCAATTTTAGGCTTAAAATTCAACTTTAGGCTTAAAGGTTCAACTTTAGGCTTAAAAATCCAACTATAAGGTTAAAAATTCAATTTCAGGCTTAAAAGTTCAAGTTTAGGCTTGAAATTCATATTTAGGTTCAAAATTTGCCTAAGATAGGGTAGGGTAGACTTACATTTTTCTTAATAACACTAGGAGCCAATCCAGCGTATATTTCCTTGAACACTACCCATAAGTACACCGTCCCTATGAGATTCACAGCACACGCTACGAAAGCAGGTGATGTATACATGTTCAGATATACATTACCAACCACCTGCCATCCTTTTTCTCCTATTGGACTGAAGGCTGACTGCATCACTAAAACAATATTTTTTAGGTCTAAAACTCTGGGCTAGGGCTCTGGGCTAGGGCTCCGGGCTCTGGGCTAGGGTTAAGTGCTAAAGCTTTAAATTACCATACATGGTCCAGTAGTAGCACCAAGAGAAATACCACCAGTCAGTAAGGCAATGGCTCTTGATCGATCTTTGCTATTCGATGCCATAGCTGAGTAGCCTTTTAGTATGCTAATGTTACCTAAGGTAGATAATATAATAGTACATTATTTGGTTCTGTAAAGAAAGTTCTTGCCATTTTTTGTTTTGTAAAGAAAGTTCTTGCCATTTTTTGTTATGTAAAGAAAGTTCTTGCCATTTTATGCTTTTTTAAAAAAATTTTTTGCTATTACTATCAATTTTCATCGTATAACATGTCCCCCGCACCCTGCAGCCTCTATAACACTTACAAGATCCAATCCCAACCACAAACCTAGCAACCAGTAGAAAATATTTAGCATAATTCGATGACAATTGAGCCAAAATGTAAATCAGATTGCCAATAAATGACACTATCAAACACAATGTTATAGGTATCTTGATACTGTCCAATCTGCTACTCCACCAACCAATAATTGGAGCACCGACCGTTTGGCCAAGTGAATATGAAGATACGACCAGACCGTAGAAGTTTACTGTTGAATGGGGGTCTAGCTGAAAATTTTAAGTTATAAAGAAAGTTTTTGCCATTTTTTGTTTCGTAAAGAAAGTTCTTGTCATTTTTGAATTTGTAAAGAAAGTTTTTGCCATTTTTTATTTTGTAATAGAAGTTTCTTCCAAAACTCAGAAATCTTCAAGAATGCCATTTTCTATCATTATAAAAAAAGTTATTACCAAAAGATTAATTTTCGCACCGTGCAGCGCAATTTGTCTTCTTTGCACAGTGCGAAAGCGCGATCCCGTCCGATCTGGCAAGTTAAGCAACGGTGCGCTTGATTATAAAAAGTTTGAGGAACACTGGGTGGAAACTAAGTTTTTGACGCTTTTTAACATACTTAATGTAAATTTTGTCATTTTTTGATTTGTAAAGAAAATTATTGCTATTTTTCGCTTTGTAAATAAAGTTTCCACCATTTTTTGTTTTGTAAACAAAGTTATCGCGTTTTTACTAAGAAATATTATTTTGGGTATTTGGAAATTAAGTCTTGACTTTTTTATTATTCTTAACTCGAAAAATAAATTCAACGTATAACTTGTCACTCGCAGACTGCAAAACGTTTATCGCTTAAAAACGGTCATTTTAAAGCCGGTAAAGGAAGTTTTTATACATTGTATATGCTGTACAGTAAGTTCATACAAAATTTTTGTAATTGGTATCATAAAGAATGTCATTATCAATATAAAATCAGAAAAAATATAAAGTTACCTTACACTCTGCAGGTACGGATACGTTGAGCCAAAGTAGATACTAAACTGCACTGAAGCGAAGAATGCAAAGCCAGTAGCAGCCCAAATTGAAGCCCATGGTGTTGGTTTTGGCCCAATCATGATCTGAAAATGGCAAAATTTTAAAAATAAAATGTTTTTAATTTTAAAAACGCAAAAAAAATAGTTTTTGAAGTGGAAACAAAGTTTCTCCGCTTTAATTTTTTTATTTTAAAGGCCATTTTTGGCAACAACTTTCTTTACAGAACACAAAGTATCAAAAACTTTCTTTACAAAACAAGAAATGGCAAGAACTTTCTTTACAAAATAAAAAATGGCAAAAACTTCCTTTACAAAACAAAAAATAGCAAGAACTTTCTTTACAACACAACAAAATTACAAAATATAACGAAAAGCCACAGAAGTTATCGAAAAATTAACATAAATGGCAAGAACTTTGTTTCTAAAATATAAAATACAAAAATTTTTGAAAAATTATATTTAACTTTAAACTTCCTAAACTTCTCATAAAATACAAAATTCTTCAATTCTTTTCTTTTTTCTCAAATATTAATTATATTAACATAGAGTCTTATCTCTGCTGCTCGTTTCATTGTCTCAAACTTCAAACGTTTTTGATAAAAAACAAGCACTGAATGATACAACCAGGAATTCGATTATTTTTGTCATTTTATAACCGTTCTTTTGAACAATAGCATTAGTGTATCAGTAAAAAAAAGGTTAAAAATAGGTGTGGACAAACTTAAAAATGACGTAAATTGCACTGCAAATTAAAAAAAAGCGGCAAGAAATTTTTTTACAAAACGAAAAACAACAAAATTTATATCAAGCATGTTATATATTGTCAAACACTTTGTTTCCACCCAGTGTTCTTCGAACTTTTTATAATCAAGCGCAACGTTGCTTAACTTGCCAGATCGGACGAGACCGCACTTTCGCACTGTGCAAAGGAGACAAATGGCGCTGCACGGCGCAGAAATTAACCTTTTGGAAATAACTTTGTTTACAATGATCGAAAATGGCATTTTTAACATTTTTGGAATATTGGCAGGAACTTTCTTTACAGATCCAAAAAACGGCAAGAACTTTGTTTACAAATTAAAAAATGAAAAGTATTGATCAAAAACCGAATTTTTAACTAAAAACCCACAATTTTTAAAAAAGCCAAAACTAATGACGCTTTTAAAGAATTCTAGAACGATACAAGCAAATGTTTGTCAATTTCCGTTTCAACCCCTAATTTGCTTTTTAATATTTGCACAAATGAAAGATTATTCAGAAAAGGCCTCTAACTTTATGAGGCCAATTTAAAAGTTATGGGATAACAGTTCGGTTTTGATAAAGTTTGAGGAATGATTAATGTCATCGTTGAAGACAATATTGACGTAGGCATACAAAAGGATTTCAATTTGTTAAAGATACAGCTGCTCTACTCTACCCTAACCTGCCCTGCCCGGCGTTGCCTTGCCTTGCCTTGCCCAGCCCTGTATCGCCCTGACGTGCTCTGCCCTGCTCTGCGCTGCTTTTTTCAGCCTTGCCCTACCCTCAACCGCCGTGCCCTGTAATTTCCTACTCTGACCAACCTAACCCTACCCTACTCTATCCTACTCTTCTCTGGCCTGCTCTACCTTGTCGTGTCCTGCCTTTGCTTGCCTTGCTCTACACTACCCTACCTTGCCGTTACACTACCTCAAAGACATTACAATCACCTATATAAACATCAAAAACCACATGAAACTGTAAATAACCATAAATATAAATTTCCGTTTTTCACGTAAAAATAAAATATTTTGACAATTCATTGTTCGATAAATACAATTTGTTGCTCAATTCCGGTATCAAACTACAAATTGGCTGATAAGGATGAGAATAGTGATTCTCAAAATTATAATTCAAACTTTGTTTGAGCTCTTCATCTTCATATCAATTAGTTTTGTCAAAAAAACCAGAAATTTCAAAAACTTCTTTTACAAAACAAAAAATGGCAAAAACTTTCTTTACAATCCAGGAAATGGCAAGAAATTTCTTTACAATGCAAGAAATAGCAAAAACTTTCTTTACAAGACAAGAAAATGGCAAAAACTTTCTTTACAATATAAGAAATGGCAAGAACTTTCTTCACAAAGTCAAAAAAAAACGGCGCTAGGACAAATGCGGTTTTTAGACACTTGCGGATTTTGGACATTTGCGGATTTTTTAAAGGGGTTTTTTTTATTTTTTAGTTAGTTTAGTTGTATTATGGTACTAAATGGTACTAAAGTTTAAATTGGTACTGTTTTAATATGTTTTAGTGCTAAATACTACTAAATTTTAAATTGGTACTGTTTTATATTTTTTGGTACTGAATGGTACTAAAAGCCCAAAAAGGTACTGTTATGTTAAAGCCGCACCAATTTAAACTTTAGTACAATTTAGTACCATACTACAAATAAATAAACTAAAAAATAAAAAAAAACCTTTAAAAAATCCGCAAATGTCCAAAATCCGCAAGTGTCCAAAAACCGAAGATCCGCAAGTGTCTAAAAACCGCAGATCCGCAAATGTCCAAAAACCGCATTTGTCCTAGCGCCAAAAAAACGTAGTTTTCAAGCAAGATAAAGTGCAGCCTGCGGGTGTCAAGTTATACGACGAAACCGTACTTTGAGCCAAAGTTGTAAAAAATTCTAAAACTTTGTTTCCAAGATTTTTTATTAAAAAATAATATGAATTAGCTGCGGGAACTTTCTTAACAAAAATTAGTCTCACTACGAAAGCAAATCTTGGCGTTCGGAAACAAATTGACGGCCGGCCAATTTTTTATCAAATATCCTTAAGCCAAGAGATCGAATGTTGCGGTAGCTGTAGATCAATGTGGAAGATGCAAAATGCATAAAAAGAGCGAGAAGAAGATGGTTTTGGATACAAAGTAAGTTTTTTTTATTTTTTGTTGTGTTTTTAGGATTTATGAAGGAAGAAGAGAAATAGGCAATGTTACACTTGATTTGAACCTGGAATTTGATGTTATATTTAGTGAGATTGATGTTATTTGAAGCAATAAGGTTTATTTTAAGTTTACGAAAAGTTTTTTTTTAAGTTTGTTAGATATTTTTTGAAATTTGTTCTATTTGTTATATTATACTAAAGAATTTGTTGTTTCTAATGTAATTATGATGTTATTCTTATTGAAATTGAAGGTAATAAAAGCAGATTAGTTTGTTTTAATTTTACAAAGAATCATTTAGTGATACTGTTTTATATTTTTTGAGTTTTCATCAATTTACTATGTTACACTAGGTGTCAAGGGACTTCAAATGCTCTTTTTTATAATGCGGCTAGAATTGTTGATACGGAAGGTTGATTTTTACCTTTATAGTCAGTATATTGATATATTTACGTGGATAATTAGTTTTAGGCATTTATGTTTGTTAGTTTTTGAGATATGGCTAGTTTTGTATATTACACTTGATCTCTGATGTTGTTTTTGTCTTTTAATCTTTGACTGGAGTTTAAGATTAGCTAAATATAAGTATTATGGACTAGAATGAAGTTTAATAGTGTTATAATTTGATTTTAGACTTATATTTTTGGTTTTCGACGTTATTTTATGTTACACTTGACATAAAACTAACAATTTTGATTTCAGAGCTCCGATTCATCGAAATATGCTAATTTCCATCGCAAGTTCAACTTCTTTTGAGCCTTGTTTAAATTCATTGGATTTGCATTGGGACCTACCATTTATTCGAGTTTCCTTCGCTTCAACCAGTCGTGTTGTGAGTGTTGCTTCGCGTGAAACAGCGGCAACATTTTCCGGGAATCAGGAACGTCATCTGCTACTCTTGTCACCGTGAAAGGCTTCTGAATCAGAAACCTATCAAGCTGTAAGTTGTGGTTTTGAATTTTTTGTTGAAAATTGTGTTTTTGGTACTACTGGTACCAGAAATGGATTTTGAGTACTATTTTTATATTTTGGTACTGTTTTTGAAAAATTGGTACTAAAGTTTTGACTTTAGTACCACTTTTTTGCTTTTGGTGCCAGTTTTTTTATTTCAGTACCAGTTTTGTGATTTTAGTACCAGTTTTTTGAATTCAGTACTACTTTTTTAGTGTCAGTACCACTTTTTTCTCTTTTGGTATCAGTTTTTTTGAATTCAGTACTATTTTTTTGATTTTGGTACTTTTCTTTTAAATTTTAGTACCAGTACCACTTTTTCAATTTCAGTACCAAAAATGGCCGCCCCCAACCTGAACCCGTACACGGACGCGGAGAGCGGCTGGCTGGACTCGGTGATCAGTCGAATGGAGAGTTTGTACAACAATCTCGACAAGAGCATCTGCAACGTCCTCACCGGCGACGAAATCTTGGCTGTGCTGGCGTTCGTTACAAAAATCATCAACCAGGAGGGGTCGTTGGTCGAAGTCGAGGTCCCAATTAAAGTCATCGGCGATATTCACGGCCAGTATCAGGTGGGTTAGGCTTGAACGGTTAAGCTTGAGACTTAGCTAATTTTGATTTTTTATTTGGCTTAATAAGCTGAAGGTTATTAGGCTTAGACTTAGGCTTAGAAGGCTTTAAAGCTTTAGTTTATAGGCTTAAGGTTTAGGTTTAGGATTTTAGGCTTACGCTGTTAGCTTGAATTTTTAGGCTTAGAGTTTTAGGCTTAAATTTTTAAAACAAAGTTTTAGGCTTAGATGCTAAGGTCTCAGGCTTAGGTCTAAAATCTTAGGCGTAGTGTAATATTAGTTTGCTTGGTTTTATTAGGCTTAGGTTTAGTATACTTAGGCTTAGAAGGTTTAGACTTCTAGGTGTAGGCTTAAGCTTGGTATAGGCTTAGTACGTTTAGGCTGAAGCGGTCTAGGCTAATGAAGTAGGATCAGGCTTCTAGGCTTAGGTCTCTAGGCTTAGTCTTCTAGGCTTAACATTCTAGGCTTAGGTGTCTATGCTTAGGCTTCTAGGCCTAGGCTCCTAGGCTTAGGCTTCTAGGTTTAGGCTTCTAGGCTTAGGCTTCTAGGCTTAGTCTTCTAGACTTAGTTTTCTAGGCTTAGTCTTTTAGGCTTAGGATCACTTTGTCATTTCCAGGACATGCACAAGCTGTTTGACATGATCGGCCGCGTTCCGGAGCAGCGTTTTTTGTTTTTGGGCGACTATGTGGATAGAGGACCCCAAATGATGGAAACGATTGTCTATTTGTTGGCATTGAAGCTGCGTCATCGTGAGCGGATTTATTTATTGCGTGGTAATCACGAAACTCCGGCTGTCAACCGTATTTACGGGTTCTACGAGGATTGCGCTCGGAAATATGGGTAGGATTTGTAATTTTTTTATGCAAGATTTTTGTAATTAAAGTTTTTGCAAGTACGAAAAATAAAAAAAACTTGTTTTATTAGTTTTTTGATCTTTTTTTGTTTTGTAAACAAAGTTATTGCGCTTTTTTTAAAAGTTTGAAAGTGTAAAGAAAGTTTTTGCAAAATTTAAAAAAAGTTTTAAAATGCCATTTTAAATCATTGTAAACAAAGTTATTGCCAAAAAATTAATTTCTGCACCGTGCAGCGCCATTTGTCTTCTTTGCACAGTGCGAAAGCGCGGTCCCGTCCGATCTGGCAAGTTAAGCAACGGTGCGCTTGATTATAAAAAGTTCGAGGAACACTGGGTAGAAACAAGGTTTTTGTCAGTTTATAGCAGGGCTAATATAAATTTTGTCATTTTTTTGATTTGTAAAGAAAGTTTTTGCAATTTTTTGTTTTGTAAAGGAAGTTTTTTCTAAAAATGTCATTTTTCAGCGTGGGAATTTGGTGGGAGTTCCAAACAGTGTTCAACCGCCTCCCAATGGCCGGCCTCATCTCGAAGCGCATTCTGTGCATGCACGGTGGACTGTCGCCCGAACTGACTACACTCGACCAAATTCGCAACATTCCTCGACCGTGCGAGCCCCAAGATCGTGGTATGTTGATCGATCTGCTCTGGTCTGACCCCACGAACAAGGGCGACGGCTGGTTCTACTCCCCCCGAGGCATTTCGTACGCGTTTGGCAAAGAAGTCATGTCGGCGGCGTGCAAGATCCTGGGCATCGACATGGTGATCCGAGCTCATCAAGTGGTACAAGACGGCTACGAAATCATGGTCGGAGGCAAGCTTATCACCATCTTCTCTGCTCCCAACTATTGCGGACAGTTCAACAATGCTGCTTCTGTGGTTTGCATTGATGCTGATCTTCAGGTAGGGGTTTTTTGGGCATTGGATCGTTTGGAAAGAAAGTTCTTGCTATTTTGTGGCTTGGAAAGAAAGGTCTTGCCGTTTTTCGATTTGTAAAGAAAGTTCCTCTCATTTTAGTCATTTTTTCGATCTTCCGATAATTTTTGCGGCTTTTCGTTATATTTTTTGATTTTATATGGTGGAAAGAAAGTTTTTGCTATTTTTCATTTTGTAAACAAAGTTCTGGAATTTTTTAAATTTAAAAAAATTTTATTAAAAATATAATTTTAGGTGTCATTCCAACAACTCCGGGTTTCAGCTCCACCCACCTGCAACCGCCCCGCCCCACCAATCGCCTGTGATCCGGCCGCGCCCAAGAATGGCCCACTGCCCACGTTCAAGATTGAAAGAGTCGGCTCGGTGGATCCGAATGCCAAAGAGGGCGAGAGCAGTAGTGCCAGCGCCCCAATAACCGACCCCAACAACAATCAACCCAAAGAATAGCCTGACTGACTGTATCGACCGGTTTGAGAAATAAATTTGCATTTTTTGTCGCTGGAGTGGTTAATGTAGCTTTTTGTGTTTTGTTCACAAGATATTTATGAAAAATTTTATGGTAGGGTATGAGAAGGATAAGGTGGAACACAGAAGCCGTTTTCGATTATTGTAAACAAAGTTATTGCTAAAAAATGGAAAAAATTGCTTTTTGCACCGTGCAAAGCTATTTATTTGTTTTGCACTGTGCAAAGACAAAAAACTTGAAATTTTTTATAAAAATTGTAAAGAAAGTTTTCGCAAGTTTTCAAAAAAAGTAAAAAATGATATTTTTAAACATTGTAAACAAAGTTATTGCCAAAAAGTTAATTTCTGCACCGTGCAGCGCCATTTGTCTTCTTTGCACAGTGCGAAAGCGCGGTCTCGTCCGATCTGGCAAGTTAAGCAACGGTGCGCTTGATTATAAAAAGTTCGAAGAACACTGGGTGGAAACAAAGTTTTTGACAGTATATAATGCATGGTACAAATTTTGTCATTTTTTGTTTTGTAAAAAAAGTTCTTGCCATTTTTTGATTTGTAAAGAAAATTCTTGCCATTTTTTGTCATTTTTAAAAAATATCAATTTTCCGATGATTTTTGTGCCATTTTGTTAAATCCTCCAAATTTTTAACATTTTTTTATTTATTCATTTTCTAAATTTACACTTTTGAGGCGTAGTAACCTTGAGAATAATGGTAATCAAATGGCAACATGGTGAAGTAATGAAAAACATTGACTAGAATCGTATAACAAATATTAGGTTGTTGAAATAATTCTGTGCCTCATTTCAAAGGAAATTTTTTTGAATTAAGGACTCAAAACTTTTTGAACCCGGTGGGGGGCGAACTTTTTGAAATGAAGGGGCTCAGTATTTTTTGAACATAGGGGTTCAGAACTTTTTTAACATAAGGGGCACATAATTATTTGAACAACCTAACATATTAACGGCCGTAAAAAGTCTTGTCGCCAATTTACACTGGTCTGTAAGGCAAAAAACGAAAAGACTTTCCTCGCGCGCTAATATTAAACAGAATTGAGCAGAGAACAATAAAAAATGACAAAGATTATGTGGTGTTCATGATACGATATAGTTAGAGAGCGGTGATTAAGTTATGGCAAAGAATTGGTTTTGGTTGCGACCCATTGTTAATAGCCATGATGTTATACATGGCTCGAGATTGTGAGGAGAAGCGGCGGGGTTCCCGTAAGGTTATATTACTTTTTTTGGGACAATGGAGATTTTTATAACGAACTTCTGTATACCGAAAAGCCTTTTATGCTTTGTAAAGAAAGTTCTTGCCATTTTTTGTTTTGTAAAGAAAGTTCTTGCAATTTTTTTCATCTGTAAAGAAAGTTTTTGCGAGTTTTCAAAAAACGTTAAAAATGACTTTTTCAATCATTGTAAACAAGGTTATTGCCAAAAAACTAATTCCTGCACCGTGCAGCGCCATTTGTCTCTTTTGCACAGTGCGAAACCGCGATCCCGTCCGATCTGGCAATTTAAGCAACGGTGCGCTTGATTATAAAAAGTTCGAGGAACACTGGGTGGAAACAATGTTTTTGACAGTATATGGCATGCCTAATGTAAAAAAACTTTTTTTAGTTTTTAAAATTTGTTATAGAAGAGTTTTGGTATAGAGAAGTTCGTTATACAGTAGTTCCACTGTGTTTTGTGACTAAAAATGTCATAATATTGATAGGGGTGGTAGGTATGACAAAAAATGACAGAATTTCAAATTTCATGACGTTTTAAATATATTTAGACATAGTCACATATCGTTGTAGGCACTTGGTTATTGTCATCCCAATAGATGATAATGATGTTTCTATCTTGTTGTAGGGCTCAAGAACGTGACATAGCTCTCGGGGCAAAACTTAAGAAAGGATAGCGTTTTCTGAAAATTTTAAAATATATTTTGGTACTGTATAGTATCGTACTATATTGCATGGTACTATATAGTATCATTCAAGTTGAAAATGAAGTTTAGGTCGTACTGTTGCTCAAAAGAAAATTTTAGGTTATACTGTAACAAAAAAGAACATCAAGTCATACTGTAGCTCAAAAATGAATTTCGAGGCATACTGTAGCTTAAAAGTAAATTTCATGTCATACTGTAGCTTTGAAAAAACTCACCGGCAAGAATTTTTTCGTTCCTCGAAAGGACTTTCACTACCAGTCGATGCTCTTACACTGCTAACAACTACCCCGTTATTGACCAGTCGATTGTAGGCATCCACTGGTGTCGCCGAGTAAATAACGGCTGGATGCAGGGCGCGAGCTGGGCTTATACTCTGAAAATGAAAGTTGTAAAAAGTCATTTTTAGCACTAAAAAATTATTTTTAGCACTTTTTTGTTTTGTAAACAAAGTTATTGCGGTTTTTCAAAAATTGCGAAAAATAATGATTTCTATAAAAACAGTGTAAAGAAAGTTCCTTCCAACACTCAAAAATCCTCTAATACGCCATTTTAAGTGATTGTAAACAAAGTTCTTGCAAAAAACTCAATTTCTGCACCGTGCAGCACCATTTGTCTTCATTGCACAGTGCGAAAGCGCGATCCCGTCCGATCTGGCAAGTTAAGCAACGGTGCGCTTGATTATAAAAAGTTCGAGGAACACGGGGTGGAAACAAAGTTTTTGACAGGTTCTAACATTTCTATTATAAGTTTTGTCATTTTTTGGTTTTGTAAAGAAAGTTGTTGCCATTTTTATTCATTTCAAGCCGTTTTACTCGTAATCTTGGCCTTTTTCAGCCAAAAAACTTCATTATTCACCCCCAAAAACCATTTAAAAACTCACCCCATCTGTCATACGATTGCCTGGAATCATGCCCTGACAATCGCTCCGTCTTCTCAGCCTTCTTCGCCTTCTGATCTCTCTTTCTTCTTCTTCCACCGTCAGTCGTCGTGACGAAGATGGCGAATGTGGACCATTATGTGAGCTGGTACTGCTCGCACTGCCAAGCCCACTTGTGGGCGTGGTCGCCGTGGAGTTGGGGGTTGTGGGCTGGAGCTGTTGCTGTTGTTGCTGACGTTGCCGCGCGTCGTCAAGACTTATGCCACGAGAAAGCGAACGCTTTCGCACGTGCCCAAGCGCGTTGCTGCTTGCCGTGTTGAAGGACTGAAGAGGGGAGGATATAATATAAAAAATGTCATAAACGTTGAGAAGTGAAGATGAAAAACAAAAAATATAGTTAAAGCAGGTCACAACATTGAAAAGTTGACAAAAAGCATCAAATTAAGCTGTTAGTTACTATAACGTTCCTTTACTCAAGCACAAGGAAAAAAGAAAAACCTGTAAAGAAAGTTTCTTCCAAAACTCAAAAATCTCAAAAATGCTATTTTAGGTCATTGTAAACAAAGTCATTGCCAATAACTGAAGTTCTGCACTGTGCAGTGTCATTTGCCTTCTTTGCACAATGCGAAAGCGCGGTCCCGTCCGATCTGGCAAGTTAAGCAACGGTGGGCTTGATAATAAAAAGTTCGAGGAACACTGGGTGGAAACAAAGTTTTTGAGTGTTTTAAAGCCTACCTATTATTTATTCTGTCATTTTTCAATTTCTTTCAAAAAAAAATTTTTTTCGAAAAATTTTGAACTCGGTTCCCCCTGTTGATTTTCTTGCAAATTTTTTTTACTTCTTCTGCCCCTACTTTTGCACCTATCTCTACCTCCATCTTCTCCTCTTTCTCTACCTTTACCCTAATTCTATTCCTCTCCCTTAGCGACGTCCCTGCCTTCTGTTATATTAATTTACCCCGCCCAAAAGCCAAAAGTTAGTAATAAGTTGTTCAAAAAAGTCTGCGCCATTTAACCATGAAAATTTGCTTTGAGAGGGGCGCAGCATTTTTTGAACAAACTAATAAGAAGCTGAACAATAATTGTTAGCACTACAACTAGTATCGTTAGTACTACAATCAACCTTGTTATCACTACTACCAAGCTTATTATCACTACATCAATCTCATTAGCACTACACTTAGTATCGTTGCACTACAATCAAACAGTCAGTCACGGTGAGCATGTTTACCTCAAACCTGTTAGAACGTTTTGGCAAGACGGGTCATACGAAAAGTGGCACAACGGAGCTAACTACTCACATTAACTAGGCCCTTGAGATGCGACATAAGCCCACCACCACCATTACTACCTGGCGACGACTCTTTCTGACCGTTTTTTTCCTTTTTGCCTTCGGAAGGCGCCACGATGCTCTGATTCTTGGGCGTGCACGCCTGGATCGTGGCCGAGACGTTGAGTAAGGGAGCGGTCGATTTGGACGAAGTGATCAGCCTTCGACCAGAGCGAGGTGATAGGTAGCCAGCTAGGTCACCGTTGAGTGTGGTTGAGGATGGGAGACCATTGGCAGGGGTTTGAGCTTGTACTGTGGCGATTTGTTTGCTTCGAACGTACCGTGGAGGGCCTGGGGAACGGCCACCGTCCATGGAACGTTCCAGACCGTTCAGATTTTCTTCATCTACTGAGTCGTCAAAGGAATCTGAAAAGTGAAAAAGCATTTTATGCTTAATATAAAGTTTCATTTTTTGGCTTGTAAAAAAAGTTCTTGTCATTTTTTAATTTGTAAAGAAAGTTCTTGCCATTTCTTGATTTGTAAAGAAAGTTTCTTCCAAAACACAAAAATCTTCAAAAATACAATTTTAGATTGTTGTAAACAAAGTTATTGCCAAAAAAAAAACAATTTCTGCACCGTGCAGCGCCATTTGTCTTCTTTGCACAGTGCGAAATCGCGGTCTCGTCCGATCTGGCAAATTAAGCAACGGTGCGCTTGATTATAAAAAGTTCGAGGAACGCCGGATGGAAGTAAAGTTATGGACGTTTTATAACATACCTAACATAAATTTTGTCATTTTTTGTTTTGCAAAGAAAATTCTTGCCATTTTTTGCTTTGTAAAGAAAGTTCTTGCCATTTTATGTTTTGGAAAGAAAGTTGATGCCATTTTTTGGTTTGTAAAGAAAGTTATTGCTAAAAAATAAATTTCTGCGCCGTGCAGCGCTTGCACGGTTCAAATCAGCGCTTGCACGGTGCAAAAAATAGCTTAAAACCCTACTCTGCCATTTCAAAACACAAAAATCCTACCCTGCCATTTCGAGACGATAGTCTGTCCCTTATTCTGTGATATGTCTTTTCCAATAATTCCGTCATCGTCAGCGACAGCGTTGGTGGTGTTGGAAGGTGTGACATTTCGTTTGCCATTTTGGTATTTCTTGCCAATCGATAGTGTCAGGCTTTTTTGAGACTTCTTCTCGTTGTTGTTGTTCTCCTTATAGGCTAGGTTCTGAGAGTTGTGGGTTGAGTTTGGCATTGAGTTGGGGGTGAGGTTCTGGTTTTGGGTACCGTGCTGAGTACCGTGCTGACTTTGAGTACCATACAGACTTTGGGTACCGAGCTGATTCTGAGTACTATTCTGATTCTGAGCACCATTCTGACTTAGTACCGCACTCTGATTACCCATAGTACCACTAGCACCATGCTGATTCTGCCCAACATTTTGATTTTGCCCAGTACTGCCAAGCTGATTTGTACTATAGTTTCCAGGTTGTCCTATCGTCAACTCCACCTTCTCGTGCACAGGATTATAGTACTTGGGGTCATTCTCGACCGAAGTCTCGATCCTCAGGCGATTCATGAGATGAACAGGACCATTCCGAGTACCAACTTCACCAGCCGAAGAAGCAGCGGCTAGCCGTGCATTCACAGCATCAATCACGTCAAAGCTCACAGCACCGTACTTGGGCCGCATGAACTCTTGTCGCTTGTACTTGGGCCGCTCGTGCCCGTCAGCTTCGTGCTGAGAGCTCTTCATACTGCCTAGTGCTGGGAACTTGTAGTTGTAGTTGCCGGTCTGTTCGTCCTCGTCCTCGCCCATGGTGATCGGTGCTTGTGTGTCCATGCCGCGGTTCTTCTCGTCTCTCTGCACATCTCGTACTGCCGTAGTATGAGACCGCATCCTCGTACTGGCGTTGCCATTATTGGTCGTACTCGACGTGGTTTTGCTTCGACCGCTGATGTTCTCATAGCCAATCTCCCAGTCGTAGGGGTCATCCATGTTGATACTCAGTCTAGCCATGCAGGACCACAGAACCGACTCGAGCATACTGTAGTTCGGTTCGTCCGGATAGCCCAGGGTCTTGAGGTGTTTGGGTATGGCTAGCAACTCGACTGGACAGCCTTCTAGTAGCTTTTCTGGATCGGCTTCGTCCTTCATCCGGCCCACCTCGTCCTTGTCTTTGATACGACGCCATGGTAAGGCGCCTTGCAGGAACTCGACCAGCATGTAAAACAACGACCACAGGTCGTCTTGTCTACCCATTTCCTGAAAAAAATTTGAATTTTAATTTAAAAAAATTTTAAAAAATTATCACTGTTCAAAAAAATTTGAGCCCCCCCCCCTCAAAGCAAATTTTCAAAGTTAGGGGCACAAAACTATTTAAACAACCAACTACAAACTTTTTTATTATTGGGCGTGGCAAGCTAATAAAAGAGAGAAAGTTTGACTATTCGTCGTATAACTTGTCCCCCGCAGCCTGCGGAACCTTTTTCTGCGTAAAAATGACAGTTTTAAGGCGCGTAAAGAAAGTTCTTGCCATTTTATGTTTTTGTAAAGAAAGTTCTTGCTAGTTTATGTTCTCTAAAGGAAGTTCTTGCCATTTATTGTTTTGTAAAGAAAGTTCTTGCCAAAATAATCAAAAATTTACCTTATTTTTGTGAGCCGAAACAGCGGCGTACCGTACTGTGCCGCGGAAGCCGGCCGCCGTCCGCGGACTACGGATTTCGCCCCGATTGTTTAGGTATAACCTGGCCAAACCAAAGTCCAACATGTACACTACTCGCATCGTCGAACTCGTTCGACCCATCGCAAAATTGGACTGAAAATGAGAGAGAAATTAATCGTGATGACAGAATTTTTGGAAATTTGAAAAAAGATGTCATGATAATACAATTTGAAAAAAAAATTTTAAAAAATATGTCATGATGACACATTTTTTTAAAGTTGAAAAAAATCGTCAAGATGACACGTTTTTTGAAAATAAAAAAATCTGTCATAGTGACACTACATATTTTAAAAATAAAAAAACGTTGTCATGATGACACAATTTTTTCTCTCATAATGATTTTTATTCTAAAAATAAAAAAATCTGTCATAGTGACACTATTTTATAAAAATTGAAAAATATGTCATGATGACACAATTTTTAAAAATGCACAAAAAAGTTGTTATGATGATATAATTTTTGGATAGAAAAAAGCTGTCATGATGACACATTTTTTAAAAATTAAAAAAAGTTGTCATGGTGACATAATTATTAAAAAAAATAAAAATTAGAACTACCCTACCCTACCCTGTTCTACCCTGCCCTTCCCTGCCCTACAACAACATATAATCTACCAAACCCTCAAACCAATAAAAACCCCCTCCCTTACCGGTTTGACATCCCTGTGCAAGAACCCAATGGAATGAATTTCTTTGATTGATACCAGAATCTGTGAAGCCAGCCTCAGCGCGGTCGATACCGAAAAGCATTGTTTCGGAGACTCTCGGCGTAGATCCGCCAAGTTTTTACCTTGTAAAGACATGACCAGGTAATTGTATCGTTCGTTTCGACCACAACCGTAGAATTTACACGCATGTTTTTTACCTAGAAATTGTTTGATATACAGGTTCTTTATATTGTAGTAGGTTTAGAGGTCAAGAAGATAAGTTCTTTGGTAAGAAAAGGATGAGTTTTTTGTAAAGAAAGTTCCTGCCATTATGTGTCTTGTAGCCAAATTTGGTTCATTTCCAAGTTTTGTTCAAAAAGTTATGGCAGGTTTTATAAAACTTTCAAAAAATTGCGCAGAGGGGCCCAAGTTCAATTTTTTCAAAAAATTTTTTTTTGCCAAAAAAGCAAGTTTTTAGGTAACAAAAGATGAAAAGTTGTTTTGTAAAGAAAGTTCTTGCCATTCTACGGTTTGTAACAAAATTTTGTCCATTTTCGAGTTTTATCTAAAAAGTTATGGCATGTTTTGTAAACTATCGAAAAATTTCACAGGGGGACCAAGTTCAATTTTTTCAAAAAAAACTTTTTTTTGTCAAAAAGGTAAGTTTTTAGGTAACAAAAGAAAAGCATTTTTGTGTTGTAAAGAAAGTAATTGCCATTGTATGTCTTGTAGCTAAAGTTGGAAGTTCGACTTTTACAAAAAAAATTTTTTTTGTCAAAAAGTTAAGTTTTTAGGTAACAAAAAATGAGAATTTTTTTTGTAAAGCAAGTTCTTGCCATTTTATGCCTTGTAACAAAATTTCGTCCATTTTCAAGTTTCGTCCAAAAAGTTATGGCATGTTTTGTAAACTATCGAAAAATTTCAAAGGGACCAAGTCTAATTTTTTCGAACAATTTTTTTTTCTAAATTCAAATTTTTAAAACTTAAAAAAGTAAATAAAGACCATAGTAAGGTATTCCAGATCATTCTTTGACCAATATACACCTAAGAACCACCAAAATTCTTACCTTGAAGCCTCCGAAGCACCGCCACCTCCATTTTGAGGACTTGTTTCGTTGCTTTGGCCGATTCCACTTTGACCGCAACTCTTTCATTATGATTTTGCATGTCCAAGGCTTCGTATATCTCTCCAAATCCACCACCACCTAGCTTGCATTTCTGGAATTTGAAAAATTTTAGTTTTTATTTGAAATTTGTGAAAAAGTCCGCTTTTTGGCTGAATTTTGGGGGCTTTTAGCTAAAATCAATACTTTTTATGTGGCTTTTCGACTAAAAATATAATGAACTGATAAAGAATGAAAATACTTATAATCAATACTATCTAACTTTTTTATTTTTTGCCTTAACTTTGTGAAAAAGTCCGCTTTTTGGCCAATTTTTAGGGCTTTGAGCCAAAATCAATAATTTTTGTGGCTTTTCAACCAAAAATATAATAAACTGATAAGAAATGACAATATTTACAGTTCTTCTTATTAAACTTTCTTATTTTTTGCCTTAAATTTGTGAAAAAGTCCTAATCCCCCCATCCATAGTATAACATGTCACCCGCAGTCTGCAAAACCCAAAATTTTACAAAATTTAGAAAAACTTACTATTTTCCATCGTTCCCGGATGATCTGATTACTCTGTAGAATCTCGCCTTCACTCGAACTCGTCATGTTTGTAACCAGCTCGTACTATTTTATGGTATAACTAACTACAGTATATAAATATGTATATGTACAATGGTGTCTGGACCTAGAACAATATCACATGAGCTTTTGTTTTGTTATATATTGACTACAAAGTTGTAGTTTGTTATCACGGCACGATATTCGGATTTGGAAATGATGTAGAGTACAGAATAATATAAATAAAAGGTGAATATTATGTTATACTTGATGTCATGGTGAATATTCTTGATGAAATGGTAACAAAGTTCAAAATAATAGTAAAAAATGTAATCAAAAATGTACAAGAAGTCCTTAAAACACAAGAAATAAGCTAGTTTTTAAAAACAACAGCAAAATCTTCTAAAAACAAAGGTCCTGCACCGTGCAGTTTGCAAAATTGAAGTTATACGATCAAAAGTGCCTAAAGAATTAAAATTCAAAATCAAATAAAAAAAACAACTAAAAATAACACAAAAACAAAATTTTTATTTTTTCCAACTTTTAATTATAAAAGAGATAGCAGTAAACCAAAGATTTTAACGTTTTGCACCGTGCAGTCTGCAAGATCAGTGTTATACGACCAAAAGTGTCTCATAACAAAAAAAACTTAAAATTTAATAAATAAAATAATTAAAAATAGCTTAAAAAATAAGTTTCTAAAGTTTTTTTGACTTTTTTATAATAGTAAAATTAGTAATAAAACAAAGAATTAAAATTCTTGCACGGTGCAGACTGCTGGAACTAAGTTATACGATTAAACCTGTCCCGATGTAGATTTTTAAATATGGGTTGAAAAGTTAGTTTTTAAAAAATAAAAAAAACAAAATAAATCCTTTTTTTTCAAAAAAAAATTTTTCCACCCCCCGAAAAAAATAAATTTTTCAACATCCTTACGTCTACCCTTACTTTTAATTCTAACCGCGTTCTGTCCTGCCCATCGTTTTTCTACCTTAACCTGCTATACTGCTTCCTCCCTCACTTTTAGTAAAAATTTACCCCGCCCTTCCAAAAAAAAGCGGTATTGCCTACATTACTTTAAGAAAAATTATACTCTTTTTTAAGTTTTTCATGTTATATTGTTCCACTGCCCTACCTATCCCCCCCCTCCTCCATCAAAAAAATTTTCAAAATAAAGAATCAACCCGCTCCTTTCTATCCCCCCCCCTCCCCCCTCATCACAAAAAACTAATTCAGAAGAGATTAAATTGTTGTGCCAACAATCCAGCCCAAGAATAACAAGCAAAAACATTTTCCGACAGACCAAAACTGCGTTCGGACCCAACTTTTGCCAAGATTTCATAAAAAGCGGCCTCCGGCATCTCGCCGCTTCTTATGTCCCCAAAAGTTTTGGGAAAACAAAGGGAGAGGTTATGCGACTTCTGACCCCCACCCGTGTGTATTTTCATTTGGACGCGGGTTTGATGGATTGGCAACGGGCTGGGTAATTAAAAAATTCGGGGAAATTTTTAAGTTTTAATACGAAATTTAAAAATTAAAAAAAAATTTTGAAAAATTTGAAAAAATGCAATAACAAGGTAAGAATGATAAGATAAGTCAAGCTAGAGCACAACCATACCAAAGTTTTAGTATTAGGTCCGCACCGTACCCTACCAGAAAACTATTAGGTGCCGACACAAATAACCCGCCATACTTTGCCTGTTATTTCCTGTAAAAAATGGCGGGTTCTTTATGTCGGCACTTAATATTCTAGGTAGACATGTGGAACGGGCCAGTATTTTTCTAATAGAGTAGGGTAAAGTAAGATAGGGTAGACATGAGAAACAGTCCGGCCTAAATTTTTTTTTGGAAACGGACCGAGCTTCTTGAGACGGACCAAGCTTTTTTGAGATTTCCAGGCCCGGCTCGGCCAAATTTTGCTCAGACCCGGCCCAGCCTGTTCTCCATGTCTAATAGGGTAGAGTAGGGCAGGACAAAGCAGGAAAAAGCAAGGCAAAGCAGAATAAGACACGGCAGGATTGGGCAGGGTAGAATAGACTGAGAAAGAATCAAACAGAACAGGGTAGAAAATGTATGGCAGGGCACGACAAGGCAAAGCGAGAGTTGGGTAGGATAAGGCAGATTAAAGCAGATCAGGGCAGAATAAAGCATGGTAGGGCAGGGTAAGATAGAAAAGGAGGAAGTAGGGTAGGATAAGCTAGAGCAAAGTAGGGTTAGGAAGGGTATTAAAAGGTAGGGTAGGGTAGGGTAGGGTAGGGTAGGGTAGGGTAGGGTAGGGTAGAGTAAGGTAGGGTAGGGTAGGGTAGGGTAGGGTAGGGTAGGGCAAAGGCAATTAGTTTCAGACACATGCCCTAAAGCGTTCAATTTCCTTTGCACTGACCAAAGAACGAGGCTAATTTTTAAAACCCTACTAATGAAATGTCAGTTCCAGGGAGAGAAAACCAAAAAATTTCAATTTATTTTCCGTAGGCTTTTTGAAAATTCATAACATTTGTTTCAAAATGAACAAATTTTTATCAATTTAGTTTTTTTTTGAAAAAAATACAAAATGAAAAATCACTCAATTTGTCAAAGTCAGACGTGCCTAGTCTAGAGCTATTCACATTTTCAAATTTCACATTCAAACATTTCAAAAATTTCAAAAAATTAAAAAAAAATTTTTTTAAAATAAAAAAAACTTCAAAAAGTTCAAAAAAATTTTAAAATATCTAAAGAAGCTTAGCACCTAGACCTTAGCCAAGGAATGCACAGCCTAATAGCCAATTATGTGTTAAACATAACAGCGTTTCATTGTCCTGCGTCATGGAGATAAATAGACACTATAAAAAACACATGTCAGCTAACCCAAAACCAAACTTTTTTTGAAGAAAAATGGGTAAAATAGAATTGAAATTATATTTTAAAAAATAAAATAAGCCTAAACATGTAAAAGTTATGTAAGAAAAATACGTTTTTTAATTATAAGGCTAAAATTCATAACGAGAAGCTCAGACTGAAGCTTAAGCTTAGGCGTAAACTTAAGCTTAGGTTTAAGATTAGGCTTAGGCTTAGGCGTAAACTTAGGCTTAGGTTTAAGATTAGGCTTAGGCTTAGGCTTAGGCTCAAACTCAGTTCAATTTCAACCTTAAGCTCAGGCTCAAGGCTAAAAGCCTAAGCCTAAAAGCCTCAGCCTACGAGCCTAGTCTAAAAGCCAAAGACTAAAAATTTAAACTAAAGAACCATAGAAACCTAAGCCTAAAAGCCAACCCAATGTTTCAATTAACAGCGTAAAAATTTTGAAAATTCGGCTGGCAAACATACAAGCCTAAAGGCTTACAAATCCTAAAAAACAATCAAAATCCCAAGCTAAAAATCCAAAAAGCATAAGCCGTCTCTATAAGCCAAAACAGCTGTATAAATTAGCCTTGCAAAACCCCCTCCCTTGTCCTCCTCATCATATCCCGTCCCCCCTCCCCCCCCTTTACCCTTTAACTTAGACTTGCAAAATCTATCCTCCCCTCTCTGAACCCCTTTTTCCATTTCTTTTTCTTGCTCTTACTTCCTCCCCTCCCCCCTCATCCCTTAAATTAGGCTTGCAAACCCCCCCCTAATTCAAAATTGCTTCCCCTTCCAGAATAGCCACATTTATAATAAGAGAAGTGTCCGAAGACAACAAAAAGTTCCTCTTCAAATGCCCTTTTCAGATTCCCTCAACATTTTTCTTTTGGCACCGGCTTTAAATATCAAAAAGAATTGGATTGACAAAAAACAAAAGTTGTTCTCCTTCTATAAGTAGCATCTGAAGAGGGGCTTTGGAACGAAAAGGGAAATCGACAAGTTTTTTTCGACATTTTGACGCGTTTTTGATAAAAAAAAGGTCAACTTATGTATAAGAAATAAATGTAATATAAGCTTACTTTTTGGCTCTGTAGGCTGACGCTTGGGTTAAAAAACTAAGGCTTACAGACTATCTTAGTTTTAAAAAAATACTATTTTAAGCATGCCTTTACAATTAAGCCTAAGACTATTTTTAAGCTTAAGCCTTAACCTAGTCCTGAGTCTGAGTCTATGGCTAAGCTGAAGCTCGAGCGTGATTAAGCTTGATTTTCAGCCTAAGCCAAAACTTAAGCTTCAGCCTAAGCCTGAGCCGGAGAAACAGCATGAGCTTAGGCTTAAAACTGAGCTTGAGCTGAAACTTAAGACTAAACTTGAGCTTGAGCCTGAGCCTGTGCCTGAACCTGAGCCTGAGCCTGAGCCTGATCCTGAGCCTGAGCTTGAGCCTGAGCCTGAACCTGAGCCTGAGCCTGAGCCTGAGCCTAAGCCTGGGCCTGAGCCTGAGCCTGCGCCTGAGCCTGAGCCTGAGCCTGAGACTAAGCCTGAGCCTGTGCCTAAGCCTAAGCCTAAGCCTAAGCCTAAGCCTAAGCCTAAGCCTGAGCTTGAGCCTGAGCCTGAGCCTGAGCCTGAGCCTGATCCTGAGCCTAAGCCTGAGCCTGAGCCTCAGCGTAAGTCTAAGCCTAAGCCTAAGCTTAAACCAGAAATTAAGCCTGATCTTGAGCCTCAGCTTAAGCAAAAAATTAAGTATAAACTTAAGCCTAAGCCTAACTCTAAGCCAAAAAAACAAAGCTAAAGTCCAAGCCTAAAATTAAAACTAAAGATAATCCTATACTTAAATATAGTAAACCTGTAATTTATATCTAAGATTAAGCCTTAGCTCAGGCCTAAGTCTAAACTTAAACCGTCCCCTCCCCCTTTTTCGCTACTATAAAAACGTAAAAAATAAAAAAATATTTGAAATGAACTATAAAAATCTGATGAATTTCCTCAAAACCGGCCCGAAACTTCATGGTTCATGGCATAAACCATGAAATTGCAAGTAGTTCGAACAAAGCAAAGTTTAAAAATAGTCGGGCATTGTCATTCCTCAAGGCCCTAACAACAAAAAGTCGAATGAAATCCGGTTTAGGGGGTCGTGATTGACAAACTGCTTAAAGACTAGACTATTCGGAAAAAAAGAAGAAACATGCATACAATATGACAAAGCACAGAAAAAGAATAATATGACAAGAAAAAAGAAAGTAGCTAGTCTCAGGAATAGTCAAACTAAAGATAAATTTAGCCTATGTTATAGAATAAGGCTTAGTTTAAGGCTCAATGGGAGGCTTAGAATTCACATTAGATTTATGAGCTCTAGGCTTAACAAAACTTAACAAGCTTAGACTAAGGTTTGAGTGTAGGCTTGATCTTAAGCTTAGCCTTAGACTAAAAATCTAGCTTTGACATAGGCTTAAACTTAATGTTAGGCTTAAGCTTAGGCTTAGTCTTAAGCTTTAGTTTGGCTTAAGCTTAGAGTTGAGCTTAAACTTGAGGTTAGGCTTGAGCTTAACTTGAGCTTAAGCCTGAGCCTGCGCCTGAGCCCGAGTCTGAGCCTAAGCCTGAGCCTGAGCCTGAGCCTGAGCCTGAGCCTGAGCCTGAGCCTGAGCCTGAGCCTGAGCCTGAGCCTAAGCCTGAGCCTGAGCCTCAGCCTCAGCCTGAGTTTGAGCCTTAGCCTTAGGCAAAGCCTTTAATCTAAATTTTTAATGTCAACTAAGCCTTTCCTTGATAAACACTTTTCTAAGCCTAATACGCCAACAAACAGAAGCTGTCTCTATAAGAAAGCATGATATCATCGATATTGCTATACAATTTAGTACTACCTAACATAATATCAATGTACTACAACTCTTTTCCTCTTCTCAAGAATCCTATTTCCGAACATTCCCCCTCCCTCCCTCATCAGCCATTAAAAGCGAGTTTAAAAAGTTCTGGAAAAAGTTGCGTGAAGTGCTCGCGGCCCTAAAAATGTCTGTTTATATTTAGAAAACAGGCTCGTACACATCTTCTCGGATGTGTTATTTTGTCGTAGAGACGAGGAAATGTTTTGACAATTTTCGAAGACAGAGCTATCTGAGGCTTTACTGGGCATGGCATAAAATTTTTTGTTTAAAAAAATAGTATATTGAATTTTGGTCGATTTTCAAATTTGCTTTTAAAGTTAATTGCCCAAGGCTAAAATTGCAGCCAAGACTAAGGCTAAAGTTTAGACTGAGAGTTAAGGCTAAGAAGTAACTAAGAAGAGACCAGGCCAAGACTAAAGTAAAAGTTAAGGTTAAGGCTGAAGCTCAAGCTCAACCTCAAGCTCAAACTGAAGCTCAAGCTAAAATTGAAGCTGATGCTCAAGCTGAAGCTCAGTCTTAGGCGACGGCTCAAGCTGAAGTTCAAGCTAAAACACAAGTTGGAGCTGAAGCTGAGGCTCAAGCTCAAGCTGAAGCTCAAGCTGAAGTTGAAGCTGAATCTGAAGCTCAAGCTCATGCTCAGGCTCAGGCTCAGGCTCAGGCTCAGGCTCAGGCTCAGGCTCAGGCTCAGGCTCAGGCTCAGGCTCACGCTCAGGCTTAGGCTTAGGCTCAAGCTCAGGCTAAGCTAAAACTCAAGTTGAAGCTGAAGCTCAAACTTAAACGAAAGTTCAAATTCAAGCTCAATCCTAAGCCAAAGTAGAAGCTCAGGTTCAGGCTGCCTAAGGCTATTTTTTACCCAAAAATGAAAAAAAATCCTAAAAATGTTGCCATTCTTTTTTTGACCTTCTTATCCCCTCTCCCCCTCCCAAAATTTTTTTTCAGATATCCCATGCCAATCCCACTTTACATCCGGCTTTCTTTTTTGCGCAGCTATTTTTTGGGCCGAAAAAACTTCCAACTTCCTCGAGGCTTGGTTTTTGAAATCGGATTAAGCTGAAAACGCGTTTTTCTGCCAGCCAAATATCAATAGTGTTATCCCAAATAGTGTTACATGTTTTTTGGAAAATAATTTGATTTGCGAACAATAAAGGGTAGTGATAGTGTGACTGTTTATTAAAAGAGGCTTGGGCTTAGTAGGTTTAGGCTTAGTAGACTTGGGCTTAGTAGGTTTAGGCTTAGTAGGCTTAGTAAAGTTTGGTCTATTACGCACGCTTTGTTTTAGAATGCTTCGGCTTAGTAGGCTTAGGCTTGGGTTTAGTAAGCATAGACTTAGTAGGCTTAGGCTTAAAAAGCTTAGGCTTAGTAGGCTTAGACTTAGTAGGTTTAGGCTTAGTAGGTTTAAGCTTATTAGGCTTAAACTTAGTAGGCTTATGCTTATTAGGCTTAAACTTAGTAGCCCTAGGCTCAATAAGCTTAGGCTTTGTATTCTTGGTCATGGTAAGCTTAAGTTTAAGATGTTCAGACCTAATAAGCTTTAGCTTTATAAACCTAGGCTTATATTTAAAAATAATGAAAATTAAGGCTCTAATTCTTTTGCTAACAATCATGTAGAAACAACATCACTTAAAGCCTAAATTTCAAAAATAAATCCATGGATTCTTCGATATGACACCAATAAACATATTAAGCAGCTTGTTAACTGCACTATGACATAAATAAAATCTATGATGCATTAACCATTTTAGAAAACATAAGGCTTCACTTTTCTTGCAAAATGAGATTTAACCCTTTTTCTTTTAACAGTTCCTGGTCTTAAACGCCAGACTAAACCAATTACAATGTTTACTTTTTTCGGAAAAACACTGAGAGTTTAAGAAACCAGATAAACTTGAGGTAAAATACGAAAAGTAAGCTCTTTTCTCAAAAAAAAAAAATTTTTTAAATAAAATTTTAAAAAATTATCCCAACCTACCAAAAAAATGTTTTTTTAAAATAAAATACAAAAAAAATTACCCCACCCTACCAAAAAAATGCTTTTTTAAAATAAAATACAAAAAAAATTACCCTGCACTCCCAAAAAAATTTTTTAAACAAAAAAATTAAAAACTCACCCCTTAAAAATTAAAACCCATGCCTTAAATTAGTAACAAAATAACGTTAAAATATTGCGTTTCCAAGTGAAAGTAGAGGCTTTTTGGGTTTGTTTTGCCATAAATCAGGCAGCGGATTGACCCGGATCCATTCGTTTGAGACGAAAACAAGCGACACTCATCTCAATAACTGCCAATCAGAAAATGAAATTTCTAGCTGTTTATACGGATCAATGACAAGTGTTATTAATGATTGAACTTGTTTTGGAGTTAGGTTTGAAAAGTGCTTATCATGCTTAGGCTAAGAGGTTACGTTAGAGCTAGTGTTATGACTAAAGCTAAGGCTAGATCAAGCTAGAACTACAGCTAGGGCTGAAGCTAGGTCTTAAGCCAAAAATCAAATTATAAGCCTAAACTTAAGTCTAAGCCTAAGCCCAAGCACAGAAGCTAAAGCCAAAGCCTAAGCCTAAGCCTAAGCCTAAGCTTAAGCCTAAGCCTAAACCTAAGCCTAAGCCTAAGCCTAAGCCTAAGCCTAGAAGCCTGAGCTTAAAAGCCTAAGCCTAGAAGAAGCCTGAGTTAAAGTCTAAGAAGTTAAGTTTAAAAACCTGCCAAAATGCTAAGCCTAAAAACCTACTCTTATAACTCTAAGCCTAAAAGCCAATGCCTAAAAACCAAAGGGTGCCTAGGCCTATATGAAAAGCCAACTACTACAAAAGCCTAAAGAAACACGAAGCCTAAGCTCTTACCTTTAGACCTTTAAGCCTAAACTTCAATTTTTTAAATTTAAAATTCCAGAGTAAGACCCAAAAAAAACGACAAAGCGTATTTCGGTCACTCGATACCTATAAATTTAATCATTCGAAAACGAAATCCAGCCAAATGCCCACACATTTTGTACTGACACCAATCTAACTTGTTATTATCTTAAAGAATTCCAGCGATTTGTCAGATTTATGAGACTATGATCAATCGAGAAAACTGAGCGGTGATAATTGGCTGTTATTAGTTTTGGCATGGGTTTAGGCCTGAGGCAAAATATTTTTCAAAAATTTCAATTTTTTTTGAAAATTTTAAATTAAAATTTTTTAAAATTTTTTGAAAAAAATTTAGTTAAATTTTGAAATTTAAGCCAGTTGTACCTAAACTATTTTCAAAATTTTAATTTTGGTGCACTTGGTACCCCTTTTTGTCAAAACCACCCCCCCCCAAAACATTTTACACCCGCCAAACAAAAAAACCCATGCCAACCCAAAATCAACCAAAAATCCCCACAAATCGACCAAAAATAGGCAAAAAATTTTGGTACACTTGGTACCCATTTTTGTCAAATGCACCCCCCAAAAAAAATTTTACCCCGCCCAACAAAAAAACCCATGCCAACTCAAAATCAACCAAAAATCCCCACAAATCGACCAAAAACCCTTTAAAATTGACCTGATTACCAGTTTAAATCGCGTTTTAAACAGACAAATAAAGCCCCGAGGGCTCCGAAGTGGCTGTCCTAAACCTTTTTTCAAATCCTGGAATGTCAGCTGTCGATCGCTTACCACTTTGAGTTAGTTAGGTCTCAAGAATTAGTCAAACGCTTAGAAGTTTACAAAAAAAACGTAATTGAAATGTGACATACCCTACCCTACCCTACTCAACCCTTTCTTCCCAAGCACTGCTTTTTCCTGCTCTACCCGTCCGGCCTTACTTTAACTTTTTCTACTTCACCCTACTTTTGCCATGCCCAAAAAATATTTTTTAAAAATTACCATACCCCCTTAAAAAATGGGCCCCGCCCGGTCGGTTCCTCATTTCTATAGCCCAGATCCCCAGCCCAGAGCCCTAGCCCAGAGCCCTAGCCCAGAGCCCTAGCCCAGAGCCCTAGCCCAGAGCCCTAGCCTAGAGCCCTAGCCCAGAGCCTTTGCCCTTGCCCTGACTTGAGCTTTTACGTAAACCGTAGACTTATAGCTCTATCCCAGAGCCCTAGCCCAGAGCCCTAGCCCAGAGCCTTTGCCCTTGCCCTGACTTGAGCTTTTACGTAAACCGTAGACTTATAGCTCTATCCCAGAGCCCTAGCCCAGAGCCCTAGCCCAGAGCCCTAGCCCAGAGCCCTAGCCCAGAGCCCTAGCCCAGAGCCCTAGCCCAGAGCCCTAGCCCGGAGCCCTAGCCCAGAGCCCTAGCCCAGAGCCCTAGCCCAGAGCCCTAGCCCAGAGCCCTAGCCCAGAGCCCTAGCCCAGAGCCCTAGCCCAGAGCCTTTGCCCTTGCCCTGACTTGAGCTTTTACGTAAACCGTAGGCTTATAGCCCTATCCCAGTGACCTAGCCCCTGACCTAGCCCCCAATCTTTGATCTCGAAATCGTCGAAGCCCAATAAATAAGCTTCGACTAAATAAAAAGGTTTAATTTAGCGAGAAAATAAATAAATAGCCTCTTTAACCCGACCGATCCGAGCTGCTCTCTATCAGCGAGAGAGCTAGGGGAATCAATTGAAAACCGACACTTTTATGCCATTCGAGCTGCCGCCGGTGGGCCGTTTCACAGGTTTTTTGGTAAAGCATTTTGGGATTTTTTTTAAATTCAAGTTTTAAAATAGCAAGAACTTTCTTTACAAAACAAAAAATGGCAAGAACTTTTTTTTACAAAACAAAAAATAGCAAAAACTTGCAATTGTTGACGAAAAGCCACAAAATTTATCGGAAAAATGAAAAATTAGGTGAAAATGCAAGAACTTTCTTTACAGAACAAAAAATGACGAGAAATTTCTTTACAGACGAAAAAATGGTAAGAAATAAAAAAAAAGAAGCCTTGAAGGCCTAAAACAAATGAAAAAATTGTAAATTGGATACGAGGATTATCGTATTAGTCTTGTGTATAATACATTAATAAATGTCTTGTTAACAAGAACAAATGTATTAAAGTTATCCTGCCAAATCCATGAGTACATTCTCAATTATATACATTGCATTATACAATGGCAATATGTAAAATAAGGGATGTCCAACTGCAAAACACTTTTAGGGTTAGGTTTAGGTTTAGGCTTAGGCTTAGGCTTAGACTTAGGCTTAGGCTTAGTCTTGGGCTTAGGCTTAGGCTTAGGCTTAGGCCTAGGCTTAGGCTTAGGCTTAGGCTTAGGCTTAGGCTTAGGCTTAGACTTAGGCTTAGGCTTAGTCTTAGTCTTAGGCTTAGGCTTAGGCTTAGGTTTAGGCTTAGGTTTAGGCTTAGGCATAGACTTACGATTAGGCTTAGGCTTAGGTTTAGGCTTAAGGATTAGGCTTCTAGGCTTAGGCTTCTAAGCTTAATCTTAGGCTTATGCTTTTAAGTTTAGGCTTTTTAACTTATGCTTTGACGAGCTTATAGGTTAAAATAAATTTAAAATTTTTGGAAGTTTTAAAAATTTAGGTAACAAAAATGCTTTTACCGCATTAAAAACGACCCTAACCTTCTTTACTCTATCTTATTTCTTTATACTCGAACCTACCCTACCCTACTATACCCTACCATACCCAACCCTATACCCCACAAAATTTATACCCTTTAATGACAAAAACATAAAACACCCCTTAAACCATAAAATCTGAATTGACACATCTCTTTTCTTCGAGAAATCCCCTTTCAGCCCAATTAAAAGTCCCCTAACACCAGCTG